GCACTCTCACAAGCTGGGGGAATGGAAGTATATACTACTTCAAGCATTTTGCATTTTGGAACACTGTTTATTAAACTAACACAAGGTTGAACATGTGTCTTATGACCTAGCAATTCTATTCCTTGAAATTGGCCCATTGAACTGCATGTATTTGTTCGATAAAAGACATACAAAAATGCTTATAGTAACCCTATTTGTAATAGCCAGCTGAAGACAAACCAAACATTCATCAACAGTAAAATGGATTACAGATAAACTTATGCACACACTGAAATATTATAAAGCAATGAAAAATGAATCAACTGCTATATGTAATTAAAGAGTGACTCACATAGATATGACTTTACTGTATGATTTCATTTATATAAAGTTCAAGGAAAGACAAAACTTAGTTCTGTGTATTGGAATCAGATAACCTCTGGAGAGAGGTGGGAAGTGGGAGGGGCCGTGGAGGGGTGGTCTGAGGGTTCTGGTCTGTGGGAGAGTTTACAAAGGTATGTTCGCCTGATGAATGTTCTTTGAGCTGTGCTCACGATCTGCAATGAGAGGCAAATCCTGTTTTTGAGTGCTCTTTCAACAAGTGACAGGAGAGCTCTCATTTGTAAATAGAAGGAAAAGCACTCAAGCGGCTGTAGGAAATGCCCTGGAGAAATGGCCTAAGACTTCATTTTCTGGGGAAGGAGAAATATACTTCCTAAGTTAAATTCCTCTTCTCCTGATTCTAAATATGACTCTCTTCTGTTGCACCACACTGACTCACAAAACAGTGAGTTACTCTTGCCCTTTTCACCTATTTGAAAAGAAATAGATTAGCCTAACCTTTTGGGAAATACTGAAAAATCTCAACTGTGCCAGAAGTAAAACCTGAGTCTGTTTTCACATTTTATTTATTTATAAAGTAATTATCACAGCCCAGAAATACTATAAAGGAAAACAGATAATCTCTAACATGAACAAAGTTATTCGGGCTGCCAACCTTTTTCTTCTGCATGTTTCAACACAGTTGCAGTTGTGTCTGCACATACAATCATGTAGTCTATTTCTTCTTCCACATTCTGTCAGAGCATTTCCCCAGAGTGCGATATGGCCTTTGCAAACCACCATTTTTAACAGCCTGTGATAGTTGGCAATGGCTGTGCCATCCTTTACCTAGCCCCAATGGCGAGTAATCCGGCTTTTGATAAGTCTCTGCTGCTGTAAATCACAGTGTAACAGCTGCTTCTTTGGAGTAGCTTTTCTACATTTCAAATTATTTTCACGTGAAAGGGAATGAACATATTTGTGGCTTTAAATATATATGCTTTGTCCATTATTTGGTTCTATTTTGAACACATGTATGTTTAAAAAAAATACTATGAAATTCTGGATGCTTAATTATGTAAGACTTAGAATCCACTGACTTCCGAGATAACTTGAGATGGCTGATAAAATAGAGACAAAAATTGGGGCTGGAGACGTGGCTCAAGCAGTAGAGCACCTGCCTAGCAAGTGCAAAGCTCTGAGTTCAAACCCCAGTACCATCAAGAATAAATAAAGACATATAAATAGAAATAATAAAGTGGACAAATACAAACAGCAAACTAAATCACAGGTGGGCAAGTGACGGCCTAAGGGCCAAATCTGATCTACAACCTGCTCTTGTGAACGAAGTTGAATTGGGTCCTGGCCATGTCTGCACCTTTTATGACTGCCTTCATATTATAATGGCACTCAGTAGTTGTGACAGAGACTGTGTGGCCAGTAAAGTGACAATATTTACTATCAAGTCCTTTACAGGAAATGCTTATAAATCCTTGAACTAACTTATCCATCTTACAGATTTTAATTTTAAACTGCAAAAGTTCCCATCTATTCTAACTTTTATTTCTGACCAGGATAGAGTATCGGTGATCTGACAAACCCTCCCATCAGAAACAACATGAATATGCAACAGTTTTCAAGACAACACACACCAGGAAATGAAGGACAGTGATCACCAAGGATACAAAGCTGTAAGACAAATCTCAATAAATGTAAAAGGATTCAAGTCATCCAAGGTATGCTCTCTGGATACTATGGAATTAAACTGGAAACCAGTAACCAAGATACCTGGAAAATTCCTAAAAACTTGGAAACTAAATAACATACTTACAAACAATATATGGGTGAAAAAAAACAAAAGGGAAATTATGAAGTGTTCTTATGTGAATACATGTAGAAATACAACATACAGTTGTGAGATGCCTCTTAAGCAGAATGTAAGGGGGAAATTTATACAAAAAATGCCTCTATTTCTTTAAAAAGAATTTTAAATCAAGACTTCAGTTTCAACCTGAAGTTATGAGAAAAGCAAATTGAACCTGAAGTCAATGAAGGAAAGAAATAATACAGATCAAAGTGAAGTCAATGAAATAGAAAACAGAAGAATAATAGAGAATGTCAACGAAACTAAAAACTAGTTGTTTGAGTGTAATAAAATTGATCGCCCCAACCTCAGGAATGAGAGATGACATCTCTAGATGCTACAGACAGCGAAGGACAATAAAGGAACATTTTGGTGGGTCTGGAGACCTAAGGCAGATAAGTGAGTCAGTGTCCCATTCCCCATCGAGCACCATGAGCCCTGCACCCTGAGGAGTTATAAACCTGCATTCCTGCACCCTGAGGAGGAGATACAGGGTCTCACAAACCTGCCATGGGGCTGATGAACAAAATGCTCTCAAGACTGTTTCTCCCTGCCTCGCCAATAAAGGGCAAACAGACCAGCTCATCTAAGAGAGGCCACATGCAAATACATGGCCAATAGAAAAACCCACCTAACTGATACCCTAACACAGAGTTAAATTGTCCATAAAAACCCCAGCCTTCACTTGTGCAGCGAGCTACTGGCTTCCGGGCTCTGATACACTTCTCTATCTGTAGCCTTTCCTTTCTCTCTAATAAATCCTACTTTATATACCGGCTTTGGCTCATTCAGCTGCCTCATGAGCCAGTTCCCTGGCCTGTGAAGGCAAGGACCCTCGACACCGGCATGTAACACTTCGACACCAGCTCGTCACATTTATGACTTTATACCTACAAATTCAGTAACTAAAGGGGAAATAGACAACATTCTTGAAAAGCATAAGTACTAATGCTCTCTCAAGAACAAATAGAAACGAGAACAACTGTATCCATGTGTTGGTCTGTTTTGTGCTACTATAACAAAATGCCATAGACTGGGTAATTTATAAAGAACAGATTTTGTTCGTGAGACTGGGGTTTGAACTCAGGGCTTTGCACTTGCAAAGCAGGCGCTCTATTGCTTGAGCCACAACTCTAGCCCATTTTGCTCTGCTTATTTTGGAGACAGGGTCTCTTGAAGTATTTGCCAGAGCTGGCCTTGAATTGCAATCCTCCTGTAGCTCCAAGTAGCTAGGGTATAGGCAGGAGCCAACGGCACTGGGCTAAGAACAGAAATTTACTTTCTCCAAGTTCTGGAGGCTAGAAGTCCAAGATTGGGAAGAAGGCACAGCATCTGGTGAGGACTTCTGGCTATACCCATGGAAGGGGCAAGGGGTGTGTGTGTGTGTGTGTGTGTGTGTGTGTGTGTTTAGAGGGGGTCTACAAAGAGTATGTGTGTAGCCCAAACTTTACCTTTGGTAAGGAATTCACTCCCATGCTAACAGTGCTAATCCATTCATAAGGGCAGAGCCCTTTTGTTCTAATCACCCTCCCCCGCCCCCAGGCAGTGCTGGGGAACTAAACCCAGGGGCTTGTGCATGCTAGGCAAATGCTCTATCTCTGAGCTATACACGCAGCCCAAGGTTCCACCTGCTGCATTGGGGATCAAGTTTCTAATACATGAACTTTGGGGGATACATAGCAATCTATCAAAGAAATAGCAATTTAGTTAAAAACTTCCCCATACATGAACCAAATAAACATTTTTGCTTTATAAAGTAATAAAAAACAAAAGAAGGCTGGAGGCATGGCTTAAGGGGTACAGTACCTGCTTCAAAAGCATGAAGCCCTGAGTTCAAGCCCCAGCACCACCACAAACAAACAAACAAACAAACAAAAAATAAACAAAACACCTGTCCTCAAAGAAACTTCAGGCCCTGGTGCCATCATTGGTGAATTCTATCAGACAATTAAGAAAGAAATAATATTAAAAGTCAAAGATGAGGAAATGCTTCCTAACTCATTCTATAATACCTGTGCCCAAGTAAAGTATCATACTTGCAGCATACAGTCTAGGACACCCGATCAAAACTAGACAAAGTATCACAAGAAAATTTTCAAAAAATTAAGGACTTGGCAGATCATGCAATTATTTAAACACAACTGACATAATGTAGGAATGACGGGGAGCTTCTCCAAATCAACTGAGTTGTGTAATGCATGTGTGGGAATTTAAAATTGTTTTTGAAATTCTTTTGATTTTTATTTATTTCTTTTTATTATTTTTTGACCACACTTGATCAAAACAATGTGCAATAAAACAGGTTTACTGTATTTCATTACTTGATTATCATGTGTACTATCATTTGGTTACTTTGAGAGGAAGTATGGTGTGATGCTTTAGGAGGTGGAAAGTCCTGGGTTTGAATTCCAATTCTGTCTCCCATAACCCTGGGCATATAATTTATTACCTCTAAGTCTCAGCATTATCACCTGCTAAAGAGAGATAATAATTGCAGGTTGGTGGTGAGGATCACATCAGATATGGTATCTCAATGCACTCAGCAAAGCACTCGGTATTTCCCAACACACATTTCTAGTATAGTCATAGCACAACTGCCTATTAACACCACATTTCAATTATATAGGCACCACATTCAAATTAAAAGCCAAGGAAAGAAATATGCAACCTATTCTTAGTAGATGTTCCGTTGAGCCCTCCTAGACCTAAGGAAAGTCAGGCTACTTTATGATTAGCCATCTCTCTGTTCCTGGCCTCAGCTCTCTTGGAAATGAAACCTTCTATATGAGGTCTGATTCCTTTTTTTTTAATGTACTGGCTGTTTTCTACCAATTACCTGTTTTCCAGTCCACAGAGGAAAGGGCTTCAGGATGGCAGGAGGAAAGAGCTTTACGCGCCCCACTTTGTCGGTGAGTCCTCGGTACACCAGCTCCATATATTGTTCCCGCGTGAAAAAGCAACTCCGAATAGTCATGTTTACACCTGCAACCATGTGATCTTGGATCAGTCCCGCCAATGGCTGGCCATCCTTCAAACCAAAACAGATACGAAAAGAACAAAGATAAGATGTGATTCCAGCTCTAACCATCTGCTTAGAAGCCAAATGGTTACTAAGAGCTCTCCCATATAGACCCAAATCTTACTGCTCTTGCCCTCACCAGGACCCTGCTCAGAAACAAACTACCTCTCAAATCACATGATTAGGGCTTACCAATGGCGTCTACTTTTGTCATCTGCCCACTGTCCCATGTTAAACCTCTTCAGGGCTGGTGGAGTGGCTCAACTGGTAGAGTGCCTGCTTAGTAAGTGTGAGTTCAAACCCCACTACCACCACCACCACCACCACCAAAACTGCCTCAAATTAATCCAGTTTTCCAAGCCTTCTCTGCTTAATACCATCTGGTTCTAGTTATTCCAGCAGATTTCTGGCACAGATACATAAATTTTCACACATTTTGGGCCTGATTCTTCTGTAAAAGTTATCTATTCAACAAATATTTATTGAGACACTACTGTATACCCAGGCTTGGGCAGACCTTCAGCTTACCCCTGGGAAGAGCCAGACGGTAAACAAATGATGGACAAACACATGATCAGAGTGTTTCAAATGCCATAAAGAAAAGCACAGGGAAGACCATAACACAGATCGGGGCAGGGACAGCCAGGAATGGTCTCTATGAGGACCAGTGGTACAGCTGCGGCCTGAGGGGTGACCTGAGAGTCAGCCAGGACAAGGAGGAAGGTCTAGGCACAGGTTCCTAGACCAGGTCTTGATGTACATGACTGCAAAAGGAAAGAATATCCATTATTCGTACTTCTCATGATAGTGTGTGGTTGAGGCTGGGCCTTTAGTAAAGATTATTATCTACCAGATGCCAAAACAAGAGCTTTTATAAAGACCCTATATTTGGTAGGTACATTCATTTCATTTGACACTTTCACAGTCTTTGTGAACCCCAGTCTCCTTAACCTTATCTGTCGAGTCTGTGTGCATGGCAACATAAGGCACACTTAAGTAAAAATAGCTATACTTGCTGACATTCTGCAAGTAGTTTTTGCAAACTTTTCCATGTTTATAGGAATTTGAGAAAAACCCAGACTTAGATCTAAAGACTGTTATCACTAGATTATTTGTTAAATACTAGCCAATATTATGGTCATGTTTCATAACTAAGGCTAGAGGAACTCACAAATGCAGCAGTGGAGAAGTGCCTGGAATTTAACCCCATGCACTAATTCAAAGGCTAAAGAGGATTCTTGTCAAATGGTCTAAATACTACTGCAATGGGCTGTATGTAAACTCAAAGATAATTATTATAGATGGGCTGAAAAGGTTCCATAGATGTAAGGACTCCTTATGAAGGCTTTGAGTTATTAACATAAATAAAAAATTATACTCTATATTTTGTTCCAAAGATGGTTTTATTTTGCTTGGGGGAAAAAATCCAAACCAGTATTATGCATGACGCATCCCACAGTGTTTGGGGAGCAGATAGAAGTTTTTTCACTGTTTTCTTCTTTTAAAGAACATAATTATTAGTTATGTGATATATCCCATGCTTCGCCTTATCTCTATCCAGATTCTTCCATGACTAGAAAATTACTTGAAGGGCTAAAGTGCTTTCAATACAATAAATCACAAATTCTAGAAAGGAATGATGATTAAAGCAATTACTAAAGGTCAGCCAGAGCAGGGAGGTAGAGATTCAGGCACAGGTTCCTGGACAGAGCCAACACAAGGCCTAGATGTACAACTGTAGAAAGAAAAACTCTATTATCAGTATCTCTTCGCCACACAGCACGTGGTTCAGGGAGCTCTTAAAAAAGATTTATCTACCAGATGTAGGTTTCATGCTCTTAAATCCTGTTTAGGATTAGAAAGAACACCTATAAATCAAAACTCCAGAAAATTGGCAGTTATCCTATTCTGCTAAACATCACAGTAAAATGACATTAAAAATTAATGCCAGAAATGACTCAAACATTGTATGCACATATAAAAAAAAAAAAAAAAAAAAAAAAGCCAGAACGCTTGCAGACCAGGGTCTTTTGTCTTGAATTCACTAGCTAAGTAGAAGAAGTCAGGAAACTATATCTCAAGTTTGTTTAAAACAAAAACAAAACCAAAAAACTTTCCATAGGCTGAGCACTGGTGTTTCTTCATCTGAAAAATGATACCTAATAAGGCTGTTGTGGGAACAATTTAGGAAAATGCTCACAAATCGCATTGAGTTGTGCCTGAGGCCCAGGACCTCCTCAGTAAGTGGGGGCTTTTGCTGTCACCACTCCTATAGCTATTACTGTTGTTATTGACATGAAAAGACAAAATGCCAATTTTTACATTAGCCAAACTATATTTTATGATTTCCAAGTGATCAGAGTGGGCCCTTAATCCCTCCTTACAGCTTTTAGTCCTTTTACTAATCAATAGTCCACTAGGTGGGCAGAGAAGGCAAAGTTAAATGCAAATTTGCTCCTGTGTGAAGCTGCAGGGTGCATCTGGTGGGAAGAGACTAGGTTGCTGGGCTCCCAACCACCTAAGATTCCCTGGATGGCAAATGGCTGATGGGGAAAAAGAAGCTCCAAGGAACAGAGAGCACTAACCAGTGCTAGACACCTCCGAGCAGCCCTAGTGATCCCAGTGTATAGAGCTAAACATCTCTACAGCAGAACCAATGCCAAGAAGATACGGGAGCTCCTTGTCCTCCCCACTTCTTAGTCAGGCATTCTTAGGCAATTCTTTGAATATAAAATGTGTACATCAATAACAACTACCTCTAAAGATTGTGGGCAGGATAAAATAAGCCTCCAAAGTGCTTTTCACTGGCTGACCCTAAAATCGTGCTTGGTAAATAGCACCTGTAGTTTTACATCACTATTCCTGTTCTTTCAGACTCTGCTACAATCATATAACTGTGAATCACTGTGATGAAAAAGACTTACACTTGAAAAGCCCTGAGACCTTTGGGTAGGTGATGAGGCCTAAGTGGGGACTAGAGCATACTTCACCCTTTCTCCTGCAGTGTGACCACTTCCTTGCTCTGTTCCTCCCATGAACACACACTAACTCAGGCTCCTACACTTCTGGGAACAAGTCAGCTGCTAGGCAAGGTAAAAGGAAGTTACACCCATGGGGCTGCCCATGAGGATGGACCTTAGAAGGAGAAGGAAGAGATTTTATTTAAAGAGATGCCTTTACGGACAAGGGGATTTTCCTAGGCCCCTGGAGTTAAGCTGCATCTTAAAACTCAGGCTTGTCAGAGCTTAAAGGATCAACGTCATCTGTAGGCCATCACATTTTGCATGCTAATGCTTACTAGGGGCCAGTAAGTTGTAGAATCAAAACATTACATCTGGAAGACATGACTTATTATGCAGCTATTGAACTTGGCTTTTTGGGATGGCTTCTCAATTTCTCTACTGACTTACTTTTTTTTGGCGGAGGGTGGGAGGTAGGGCAAATACTGAGATTTGAATTCAGAGTCTCACACTTGCTAGACAGGTACACTACCACTTGAGCCATGCCCCCAACCCTTTTTGAATTTAGCTATTTTTTGAATAGGGTGTTGGGTTTATGCTTGGGGTGGCATGGAGTGTGATTGTCCTATTTACACTTCCCATGTAGCTAGGATGACAAGCATGCCCTACTACATCTAGCTTTTCTTTACTGAATGAGATGGGATCTTGAAAACTTTTTGTCCAGGTTGGCCTCAAACTATAATCCTCTGCATCTCCGCTTTCCAAGTGGATAGGGTTACAAGTGTGAGCCACCACATCCGGCTCTGACTTACATTTTAAGACACAACAAGATGAAAACTTTCCTCTAGTTTTAGTCAATTAGAGGCTGAAAAATCCAGCTGGAAGAAACTAGGACCCTCTTTTTCAAGTGTGCATGCCCTGGGGCCACCCATCGATCCCAGGAGCTCGCTGGGGCCCAGGTTCAATATGCCAAATCATGTTGATGGTGACTGTGGAAGGGCCCCAAGGTCAGACTTACCTTGGGAACAAGGTACTGCTGACTGGTACAGGCCAGAACGTAGGCTTCAGCCCGGCCCAGCTCACTCTGGGGAAAGTGAGCATTCATCTCATCTCCATCGAAGTCAGCATTGTAGGCCTTGCAGTTGGCATAGTGGAGCCGTAGCACTTTCTCTTCAGGCAGGATGCGGGCATGGTGGGCCTGGATGGAGGGTCTGTGCAGGGTTGGCTGCCGGTTCAGTAGGAGAATGTCCCCGTTCTTTACATGTCGGCAAACCTGGAAGCCGAGTGGACAACAAGTGGGTAATCTGTGGGAACTTCAGCATTATCACTGCCCTCTACAAAGGCTCACCTAACCTTGGCCTGAGTGAGTTCTGCCTATTTCATTTTCTAGGGAACTAAATGCAAGGAGAATTTCTAATCTGGAGCAAAATCCTAGAAATGTCTGAGAAATACTTGCCAGAAGGTCCCTCTGGCGAGTATGTGCACAGTCCAGATCCTGGCTGTGGACTCAGGTACAAGGAATAGGTCACTGGTCTCTGTCTAGTAATCACTGTCTTCTTCAGAGATGCAGATCCTGGGTTCCTCTGAGAACTCATTTTAGCAAAGAAACTCCCGAAGGCTAAAAACCTGCAAACAACCATAACACCCCTGGGGTTTGAAAGAATGTGGCAGACTTCTTAAATCTCCCTCATGGTCACACGTGAGTACGTTACTCTAAACACGAATTTCACATTTTAGAATAATTAGCCCATTATACATTAGCCCATTCATACAACAAGCCAGGACTAGAAGACAGGGTTCTTAATTCCTACTTCAATGCTCCCTGAAAATATTTTATTGCACTTTCAAAATGCGTAAGAAACGTAAACTGCCATAATCTTTTTGGAAAACAGTTTGAAAATAGCTATTAGAACATTTGAAGCACATTTCCTAGTAGCCTTTTAGAAAAAGCCCCAATGTAAGGTTATATTGAATAATGTTTATGTAGCAGTTTTTATAGTAGCAAAAGGTAGATATAACCTGAGTGCCCCACAGAAGGGGCAATAAATTGCAGTGCATCCACACTACACAATGTTATGCAAGTATGAAAAGGCTAGTTAAATAATGCCAGTCTGGAAGTGGTGGCAAAGAAAAACATACCACTAGCACATTAGGGGACAGGATCAGTGATTTAAAACCTAGACCAACTCTGTACATGTCTGCACACATGTGTGTATCTCAAAATGGTGCCTGGGGCTTCCCTAAGCTGTTACTGTGGTCTCCGGGGCATGGGCCCTGGAGGGAGGATAGTTAAGGCACAGATTAAAACCCTAAGCTTTATACATCTTAGTACTGCTCACATTACAGTGAACATATATGACTTCTGTAAAAGAAAAAAAAATTATTTTTTGGAACAGGGTCTTTCTATGTAGCTGAGGTGGCCTTGAACTTGTGATCCTCTTGCCTCAGTCTCACAAGTGCTGGCATTACAGAAGTTCGTCACCTCCCATGCCTGGCTACTTCCGTATTTTTATTTTTTTCCTTGTCTGAAGTACTGAGGTTTGAACTTAGGGCCTTGTGCTTGCTATGCTAATACTCAAGCACTTGAGAAACATCCCAGACCTTTCTGCTTTTTTAGGTTATTTTTCAGATTAGGGTCTAACCTCAATTATTTTTACAGAAAGCATGAAAAATCACACAAGTAATATGCTTATATGGAAACAAACAATATACCGACAAACTTAAAGAGAATTAAAAAAACCCAAAGCAATTTTACCCTTCAAAGATAATCACTAGGGGACAAGGTAAATAATGTATAATATAAGTCTAATCGGAATTGTCACTACGAATCCACCCTGTATAATGAATATTTCCTAATAAAAAATTTATTTAAAAAAAAAAAGATAATCACTACTCATACTTTTCCCCCCTTATGAATCTGGTCAATCACGTCCTTGTGACCAAACACATCTCCCACAAAAAGTGACTTTACTGTAAGGCTCATTAAATCTTTTGCTATCATATGTTATCTTCCAGGGTTCCTAATGATGAACCTAAACAACACTTCTACTGCATGAAGGAAATTCCTACCTCAATAACTTTGAAGCCCACACCCCTTAAGCCCAGAAGAATTCGAGACTCGACAATAACCTCCCCACCCCCACCCCAAATCCCTAAGTCACAGCAGATAACAGGGTAGGGGAAACAAGACTACTCTAAATCCAGTGTCTTAGTCTGTTGTCCACATTTATGAGGCTGCATTGGGAAGCTGCTCCCCCTCTCTCTCCTATTCTTGGTTAGCTCAACTAAAGCTCCCCAGCTCAGGAAGGCAGGGAGCAAACTCCCTAAGTACTAAAAGGCAGTCTTAAAAGCACCTAGCATGGAGTCTGTCTTTCACTCCCTCAGGAATTCAAACCCTCCCCTCCCACCCCAAGTCCCAAGTTTCTAAGGAGACCTGAACTCTGAGGATTCCCATGAGCAGCTGCCCATGGCAGTGGCTGCTGACTGCGTCACACAGCCTGAGGTCTTCTTTCTTTAGCCTCTCAAGGGAAAAGCTGCCCAGACCTGTGGCCCAGACCCAAAAAACTCAGGCTGGGCCTAGGATCTGAGTCTAGCAAATTTGCAACATCTTCCAGCGTAAGCAAACTTGCCACAGCTGGGAAGGTACGCAGGCCAGCCTGGCAGGCACCAGCCAATCCAAATAGAAGTCCTGGAACATGGGGTGCAACCCTTGCCAACCAAAACCCAAGGCCTTTCCTTTCTCTTGTCTCCAAATAAATACTTCAGTGAAAATTAAGTGTGCCCCTGTGCCCGGGTCAGAGTTTCCAGAGGCAGGCCTAGGGCCAAAGGCTGCTTTGAGCAGCCGCTGGGTAGGGAAAAGAGCTGAGGCTGTCCTGGCCACTTCCTCCCTTCTTTATGAGGTCCAGGGGGAAGGGACAGAGGTTTCCCATTTCACAGGGGAAAGAGGACCTTCCTGCCAACCTTCCCCCTTTCACCTAATCTGTAGCTCACCCTTACCAAACCATAGTCTCTCTATTGCTCACCTCCCCCAGATCTGTACTGAACTATAATACAACACATCAACCAGTCTTTAAATTAAAAGCACCCATGTATTTTATCACGAGCAGAGGTATCACATATAACTTTATGGGACTTCAGAAAATGAAGTTAGCCATCTTCAGTCCCTAGGTCCTGATGTAAAATCACTTTTCTTTTATAAAGTCCCTTTGTGTCTTTGTACTCCAGTCATGTCATCAGTTCCAATGTGGTCCTCACACCTCAGAGCCTCCTGCATCTCAACTTGGACCCCAAGAATTTCCCGAGTGCCTCCTACATGTGGGATACTGGAGAGTGGTGAGCAGAGCATATCCTGCCCTTGAACTCATGAGATTAGGAACTCAAGGGCAGGGAGATGAGTGCACATGCATTAGCGATATAACACCATGAGAACTACAAGCAGGGGGAGCAATAAGGGTGGACATGGTGCCAGGGGGAATACATGAAGAGTACCTATCACAGGTTTTAGGAGCAGCAAACTATAGTCTGCAGGCTGGCCATCTTAGTTTTGTCAATAAAGTTTTACTGGCACAAAGCCAAACAGAAGCCCTAGAGCATGGAGTGCTCCCCTTGCCAACCCAAACATGCTTTCACACTACACAGTACAGCTGAGTAGTTACAATTGAGGGTGTATAGCCCATGAAGCCTGAACTATTTACTATCTGACCCCAGGGGAAAGAGGGCTTTGCTGAAACCTTAAAGGAACAGCAGGAGTTGGTTGGGAGAGTCAGGGAAAGAGCAACGCATTCTAGGCAGGCATTTGCCAAGCCTGGGGAAATGAACCCAGCATTGACAGACACCACTGAACAAAGACCTTGAAACAGGTTGGGTTGAGAGGTGGGCCGGAAGAGAAAACAGGGACAATGTGAAGACTCAAGAGCCTGCGAAGGATCTGAGCTCAAACTGGAAGACAATGACTGAACCACCTAATGCTAATCTTCCATTTACTTCCTGTGAACTGATTAGCACACTGTACAAGGCCAACCTTCCCTCTCCTGAGCTGTTGCTCACTGCCCTGTCCCATTCCCCACCCCACCTCAGAGCCTACAAAGTAACCACATGAAGGGACTTCCCTTATACCTTTGCCTTACCCACATATCCCAATGTCAGAAACCCCTGGATCCTTTTTGCTTTGCTTTTCAAGTGCCCTTAGCTACATTGCTTTTCTCATCACAAGGGCTAAAACCTGGCTCCCTTCCCTCTGTTCACAGATGACCTTCACTTGACCCTGAAGAACCCCATAACCACATACAAGAGATAGATACAGACACAAATTGAACAATCTCCACCCTGCCCCTCCCCTATCTTCCCTCCTGTTTATACATTTTAGCCTTTCTAGGGTCCCCCATTTTCTCTATCTATTATACTCTATGTTCAAAGAGTTTAATACTCTGACAGTACCCTAGATCTAAGTCCCATATTTCTACTTTTTACTGGAGATGGGCCCCCTAGTTTCTCCACTATCATCTCCAAACTCAGAAAGGCCTAGAAGCATCTCCTTTCTTGGCACTTCCATTCTCTTCTGCTGAAAATCATAGTTTTGAGTTCATGACCTCTTTTCCACATCCCTAACACCCAATCTATGGCCAAGAGCCCACGGTTTTCCCTCTGAAATATCCCCTGTAGTCAGCCTTGTTTCTCCCCGAGGCCCTCTCAGTCAACCCATTCCCTGGCTCACAACAGCCTCCTGCTGACTCTCAGCTTTCCCTCTACTGCCTTGCACATTCCTTCAAACTCATTTCCTCTTGAGTACCCCATGCAAAAAGTCATGGTTTCCCACTGCTGCACTCCAAGGTGTCTATCATACCATTCGGCAGTAGGTGTTACATTTGCATGTATCCATTTATTGGCAGCCCCACCATTATACTGCAAACTCCATCGGGGTAGGGGTCACATCCACAGTGCCTAGTGAAGTCCTAGCATGTAGCAGGCCCCCAGTACTACCCGAGCCCTCCCTGCATTCTCCTCTCAAAACTTTTCTCTTGTAATTTCCTACTGTGACTGTTTGACTTGAGTGAACAGAAAGATTATTTCATATTTGCCCAACTTCACTAAGTGAAATACACTTTGCTTCCTCTTGCATCTCACACAGCTCCAGTAAAATAGAAAGCACTTAAGAAAGGCCAAATGATCCTATGAACCTGAAAACAAACCTGACTTAATGCACTAGAAAAGAAGAAAACTGATGATTTGATCTGATTTGTCTGGATGTACCCGTCACCAAAGGAGAAGGATACAAGCAGAATTTAACTTGGGTAGAGTTACTGCTCTACTTGAGGAGATGTGTGAGAATGAGGAAAGCATGAGGACAGACCCATTGTGCTACTGTCCCTAGGGAGGAACAATGGGAACCAAGGGTCACCATGATAAGGCTAAGAGTATGTCCTTTTCCCACTCTGTTCCTTCAAAATTCCTTCAAGAATGAAGGAAATTTTGTGGAGCCTAAACCCATTACTATAGGTAGCCATTGGGTATGACAGGTCAGAGGGCAAGGAGGTCTCACAGCTGCACAGACAGGTAGGAAAACACAGTCAGTAACCTCTTGGCTTTGGACATTATCTTCTAAGTTAAACCTAAATTAAATCCACTTCTCTCTGACAACTTCTGCTTCATCTATCTACTACTTCCCTCTCAGTAAGAATGGCTATTACTGGATACAGATGCAAACCTGCTGACCTCATGCCCTCAGCAACACTGCCAAAAGCTCATAACAAAGCATTACGATCAGGTATCAGCAATTGTACAAAATTGCAGCATTAGTTAAAACCTGCTACCACCGACACTACGGATTTCTTTCCCACAGAGTAGTTCTTAAACTTAGTATAGAGAAAAAACCTCTGAGAACCTGTTAAAGATACCTGAGGGCTGGTGGAGTGGCTCAAATGGTAGAGTATCTGCCTAGCAAGCATGAGGCCCTAAGTTCAAACCCCAGTGTCACCAAAAAGTAAAAACAAAAAAAAAAGAGAAAGATACCTGTACCTCATTCTGAGATGCTAATTCAACATGAGGGGTGAGAGGCATGGTAAATTTTCATTTGTCAAAAACCCTAGAGATTCTGCTACTGATCTGAGGACCACCGTTTGGGGGAGAAGTCAGACAGGAGCTAGATAGGCCCCTGACCACTACTTACAATTTTTGTCCCCTGGGGCTTAGGTGTCCCTGTGGCTGGTGTCAAGAGCTGTTTGGCCACAGCCTCCCGCTGGGTTATGTCCACAGCACTCAGGGCTGTGCGACTGCCATCCTCGCTGATGACCATTGAGGCTCCTGGGTGCACATTGGGGCCGTTGATGACTGCTGCCTCAATTCCTGGACATTCCAGGGTGTAACTGGCTGAGGGTAGGTCAGTTTTGTGGCAAATACCTAGAAATGAAGAGTGAGTACAGAAATTCAGGGTGAACAGATAAAGTTCACAGGGATCCAAAATCTAATTCAACAGTCTGGTTCATTTTCCCCCCAAGATGTGGGAAGCTGTCTGCTTAGCCAAGAAGGCCATTCAGCAAGTAAAGCAACAGCTACCTATCTTCTTCGTAGAGCCATTGTGTCAGACTTTTTCCCTTAAGGGAATAGACTGGGCCTCCTTTTCTGGCAGTATGAGGAGAGCAACTGAAGAATTACTGTTTATGCGTTTAGTTTTTTTTTTTTTTTAAACCACTCTAAAACTCCCTGTCTACCAAAAAATTAAAAGTTCCCAAAGAAGGTAATACAGCATGGGGCACTCACTTGAGACATGTGGTGAATACCTGCCCTTTAATACCACAGCTTCCCTTGTACCCCAGCAGATACCACTAACTGCTCACGGTATTTTCCTAAGCCCAGATATTGCCTTAGAAGCCTTTACTCAGCAGTTCTGGCAGCCATTGCTACCCATTGAGGCAGCACTTGAGATGAAGAAGATTTGCAATTGTCATACCCGAGAAAATGCAGTATGCTTCGTTAATCTTAAGCCTGCAACCTGCTCTAAGACAAATGAGTTCTCTGGTTAAGTGAGTTTCTGAATTACAGGACATTATAAATTTCTTTGATGCTTCAAAATGTATGTAAAGACATCAAAGATTCTAGGAAGTCCTACTTAGAGGAACTCGTCTTTTTCTAGACCTTTGCATAGTGGCACTTTATGAGCAGCCTCCTCTGACACCCCTGTCCTTGTGCTCTCACTCCCTCAGCCTATTCTGCTTTTTGCTAATGCACTTGTTTGTTTACTGTTTGTTTCCACCATTGGCACACAGCTTTACAAAACGATGCTGTAGTCTGTCTGGCTCCCTGCCAGATCTCTAGCTCATTCCCAAGCTTACCTCACCTCTTTGTTCCTGTAACACCTTTCAGCAGTGCTATTCAGAAAGGCTGTACTACAGGTGCCAAGAGGCAATTTCATCTGCTCTGCTTTTCCCAGCCACTCAGTAACACCTCCAGGGCCTCCATGGCCCAGAGGCTTGGGGCAGGAGTGGAGACAGAGAGGGGTAACTTCAGAAGCCCTCCTCAGTGGACAAGCCATTACCAAATGAACCCAGATCCAAGAAAGAGATACCTAGAACCTTTAAAGGTAGCTTCTCCCAAAGCCGGGGACACTCTCAGCACTGTGATGTCAATGCCAGCAGGGGGCCCCTGTCCTTTATCGAGGGAATGAACACACCCTGAACCTCTCCTCCCAGTGTTTCAGGCTTCGGAAGGTCACCACTAGGTTTCATAATGTCTTTCTTTGATACATGGCCCAGTTTTTGGATGTAAAGACTTGTTCCTGGGAGGCATGGGCACAAGGTGGAGCATTCTCTGCCTTGTCTTCTGATACATCATGCCTTTGCCCAGGAAGCCTAAGTGTTCCCCAGAGAATCAGAACACTTCAGCTCTGCTCATTACCAGCTCTCCCAAGAGAGACTGGATGGTGTGTGAGGAAATGAGACTCTCCACAGAGGGAATTAAACCATCTTCACATTATTGAACCCAAGGCCCATTAAGGAGGAAGTTGACTAAAGGGCTGAAGCTAATGAGCACAAAAGCTTGAACTGATGGGGAAGTGAGAAAAGGAAGCTGACTCGCCAAGGGAACACTAATGGGTGAACGGGGCAAGCAGCTTACCCAGGAGGAACTGGAGGGATGGATATGCAAACGGCTTGCTCTCTTTCCTCTGTGTACCCAAAGGCACACATTGTTGATGGGACTGAAATTCCCCTTGCCCCCTTCTTATTCTGTCATGTACTCAATTGAAGGAGGAAGGCTTAAAAACTAGGCCAAGACAGGCAGGAGTAACACAGAGGCAGGGATGTGGAATGCCCTGCTGGGAGCTACCTAGTGCCCCAAGACCCGGGTCTCTCTTGTAGACTGGTATCTGGAGGCCTGGCAAGGAGAGACAGCAGCATTTTATGCAGCCTCAAGTACCTTCCCCATGGGCCCTTTTCCACATGGGGAGAAGCAGAAACCACTCCCCCTAGAGCCATGAGGATCTGCAGTACACCCTTGTCCCCAGCCCCTTAGGGCACACCCATCTGCTGCTCAGGAGTAGTAAAATGAGCTCCTCCCGAAACACGCACCATAGGAATGCCAATTTCATTGGTGTTGATGTACATGTCGGGGCAGATGACTGAGCGGGCTGCGTAATCTACTCGCTTTCCCATCATGTGCTTTCGGAACAGTCCCTCCTTCTTCTCCAGGATCTGTACAGAGCAAAAAAAGTCCAAAGAAAACATTAAAAACATTCAATTATGTTCATTAGTATTTTTTGTTTCTAAAACAAATATTTCTTATTCACACTCATCAGCTGGCAATGGAAATCCACCTCATAGCTCACCTGTCTAATGCCAGGGAACTTTTCCAACATTAATTTGTCCATTTCACTATCAAACACAATATTAACATGGCTCTGCAGGCGAATCCAAATGTTATAAAGTTTGTCTGTGAGAGACTGGCCTGGAAGCATAGTTAAAAAGGATCGGTCCATAGCAACTGAAAAGTCTTTATCCTGGAAAGATAAAACCAAGAAAACAGGGATGATGAAAAAAAAAACCCCTTCAAAACTGGCTTGATTTTATTCTTCTTTCTACTTCTGACACACAATGAGCTCTGGAGTTTGCTTTTGAAGATGACAGATGGCAAAAGTAATAGTAAACCTATCCTGTTAGTATTAATCAAAAAAATATCAGCCTTGTTACATTTGTATTAGTCTATCCCTTTCTGGTAGTCAAATGATCTCAAAATTTATAACCAGGCTCCTTTCTTATGGCAGTTGCTAAAGCCCCTTAACCTCTAGTCTCTCTAAGGCAAGAGAACCTTAGATGTCTTTCCCACATCAGTACTTCCTGACAGATAACAAAGTCTCATATGGAATTTTATTTATGGTTTTAGAAAAACTTGAGTCAATGTACTTATAAAAATGTAGGTAGATAGACTGGGGCACCTGCTTAGCAAGCGTGAGGCCCTGAGTTCAAATCATAGTACTGCCAAAATAACAATAACAACAATAATAATGCATTTTTAAAAAGAAAGTGTTTGCTATATATTATGTTATCAATTATAAGTGAGCTAGATCAAATTACTGGCTAATCCCCAAGCCTCTGAGTATTTACTGAATCCTTTTTTTTTTTTTTGGTGGGGGGGAGGTGGGTGGGTAACTGGGGTTTGAACTCAGGCCTTATGCTTGCTAGGCAGGTGCTCTACGACTTGAGTCACTCCACTGGCCCTGTTTTGTGTTGGGTGTTTTCGAGAATAGGATCTTTCGAACTACTTGCCTAGGGCTGGCTTCAAACCATGATCCTCCTGATCCTTGCCTCCTGAGTAGCTAGGATTACAGGAGTGAGCCAGCAGTGCCCGACTCCCAATCCTTTTTAAAGTACCTCTGCCCCCGCCCCCCGCTGTCTCCTCTCCTCTCCTCTATGTGCCCAAGGAAAAGAAATACACAGAGGCCTTCGGTTGCCTTAGAGCACCACCTACTGACACTGTCTGGCCACCTACTGACTCTAGTTTGCTGTATATGACCTAGGAGAGATGGATCACCCCATGTTCTCCAAGGGAGGTTAAATGAGAAAAGAAATTTATTAGTGTTTTGGGGTTGGCAGGAGTGAAGGTGGGTGAATATCCCAGACATGAGACTGTCTATGAGTGATCAAGTGGGCTTGTCCTCAACTCAGAGGAACATAGGAGTTACCTTTAGTTTTACAAGGACAGATATATTTCTGCAAGCAATGCTCAAGGCCCCCTTCTGCAGACAACATTTTGGTGCTCTTCATAGGAAGAGATGGTCCTGCATGAGGACAGGGGCCCTGGTAGCCTAATTCACTGCTTGTAATCTAATTCACTGCTTATAGCATTTGGTTCAAGGCCACATGACTACTAGTGAAATGAGTAAGACTTTATCCACTGGCTCACTGGTATATTGCTAGTACTTAGAACAACACCTGGAGACTGCTGCTGCGAGAACAGAAGGAGAACAAGTGGGGAAGAAACAAGATCATGCCCCTTTAATCAAAGGAAACTCACTTAGGGATCAGAAAGGATATTGTTTGTTTCTACAAAAACCAAGTCTTGCCAGGCACTGGTGGTTCATACCTGTAATTCTAGTTACTTGGGAGGCTGAGATTGAGAGGATCACAGTTTGAGGCCAGCTTGGGCAAATAGTTCTGGAGAGCTCATTGCCAAAATAACCATAGAAAATGGATCGGAGGTCTGGTTCAAGTCACAGAGTGCCTGTTTTATAAGTGTGAAGCCCTCAGTTCAAACCTCAGTCCCACCAAAATTAATTTTTCTCAAAGACTTGTCTCTATTTTCAAGAAACACTAAAGTAAAAATTTTCAGTCCTTGTAATCAGACCTGGTTACCCTATGGTCTTGCTTACTAAATTAGACCAAGGCCTACATATGGCAGATCTCTTATATGGAGGATCTGTTCAAAGCACACCTACATTGACCAATTAGAAAATTTAGGCAGAACCACAGAAAGGTCCAAGGAAAAGGACTAGATACCCAGAGTCTAAGTGTCCAGGAGACAGTGGTACCACCTCGTCGTGGGCCTGGCTGACAGCAAGACTATGCCAACAGCTGGCAGGGAGTCTGAACCCTGGTGCAAGTTTAGAAACAGACACTTTTATTTGTATCCACAGCACATTTTAAGGCTGGGAAGGACTTCAGTGACCTCAGTATACTTTCTGAGTGTCCAATTCATCTTTGTACCTTAAAGACCTAGTGCAGAACCTACCCCCTTGAAGTGGCTCAGGAAATGTCAGAATAGTGCTATTCTGGGAAATTCCCATTCTACAATACTGCCTTCCTGGCACCAGTGGTGGAAACCTTAACAAGTCCAAAACAGAATTATCATGTGACCCAGGGGGGACATTCTTAGGGACTGAGGGACGTATACCTTTTTTTTTTTTTTAAGAGGTATGAAACCTTACCACAAACTGTAAATACAATCACTATAATGTGGAGATGAGTCTAAAAAATTGAAGTGACTTCATTAAGATTACCTGACATGGTCATTAGGGAAGATCTTAGACTATCTCCCAGACCTGTCCATGCTCAGGCATGCTTCTCCTCCTGACAAATCCATAAACCCACAGCTCACACTAAGGGTGGTGCCAGGGGCACAGACATCCATCAAGCACCGTGCAGCACCCACAGGTCTGCATCCACACCATGTGAGGTTAGAACCAAGCCTGTGGGCCTGTGACATTAGCACCAAGGTAGTCCTGACCTTGTCTGTGGTGAGTGCTGCCACCTCGCAAGGCAGCTTCTGTTCTTGGGCCATCAATGCCAGAAGTTTCCGGATCAGAACTACATCCTTCATGACAGCTTGCAAGTTCACTGTCTGGCCATTGGTAAACACCTGGTCCCCCAGGCGATTGACAGGACGATACCTGCAGAGTGACATAGAACCAACAGATGTTTAGTGGGAGGAAACAATCACCTTTTACAGTCCCTGTCCCCCGCTGCCCACAGAGAGCAACATATCTCAACTTGCTCACAACAGAACAACATTCTACTGTGATCAGAACAATTGCAGCCTGGAGCAGACGACTACTTGATTTCTCAGTGCCCTTGACCCTTCTCTCCCTTTCTAGGTGTCCTTGCTTAATTCCTCAGTCAACCTATTTCAAGTAACATAAATTAACTGAAGGACATTACCTGGAGGGCGGTACCACCACAAAATCGAGAAAGAACATACTGGGGTTGAATCTGGATTCTGTGTCAACATTGCCAAGGCCCGAAAACAGGTAATTCAAAAAGAATCCTGTGTTTGAAATAAACAAACCAAAGAGATGATTTAAATATATATATTTAATATATATACATGGGCAGGGGAAGAAGACCACAAAAATATTACTGAGTGAGGGGGAAAAAAACTCTGAATACAGAATATGTAAAGTCACGTTTTTTTCCTTTAAAAAAACAAATGAACAATGGCATTTGTGTGCAGACAGTTTGTATGCCAGCAAGATGACAGTATAAAGATGATACTGCAGGGAAAATGTTGCAAAATCACAGGACTGAGATAGGCAGGGACAGGAAAAAGACTTTCTCTTGTTTTTAATTACCCTCTAGGACTTAATTACACTTAAAACACATATGTAATCAAATATTTGCTACTTTGGTATTTGTACAAAATATATTTGAATAAAGAAAGAAACATCAAACCCAAATTAAGTTTAACATTTTCTTTTTGGGGGGATTGGGCTTTGAACTCAAGGCTGTACGCTTGCAAAACAGATGCTCTAACACTTCAGCCACACCTCCAGTCCAAATTGCTCTCCCACAACAAAACATCTTCTACACTGGAGCTGCCAAGAGATCTTTTATGGGTTGAAGATATATTTAAAATTGTTGGTGACCTAAAGGAATGCTCAGCGAAAATGAATAAAACGTATGAGGGCCTGCCACAGAACCAATCATCCTAAGTTCAGTGCTCTTTTTTTCTTATAGCCTTTCATATCTCTTTTAATGTATATAGAGAGATAAGAATTGGTATTCTAGAACATATTCTCAGATGATGGCTATGGAGGCTTAAAAATACATAAGGGCATAGATTTTGTTACATATTCAAAAGGGAATGGAAGATTTCCTTTTTTTGTAGGGAACTCAAATGTATAAAAATACTAAACTTAAAAAAACAGTTCATTGTTTGATTCACAGATGGAATTCCTATAAAAACCTTTAAAACGTCTTTTCTTTATTGACATTTTAAAATGAGTTACAATGAACTTTTCCCCAGAAGTGTCACTGTATTAAGCAAGGGCCACCAATAGCTATTATTTAATGACTGGGCTCAGTTATAGCAAGTTCTTGGTGGTGGGACTGATATCCCCTCCAAAGTAAATGTACCCTGCCTCAAACCTGTGAGTGGTTATTAAGAGAAAGCTACAGTAACCACAAATTAAAAAAAAAAAAGGTAACACAGGGTTAACAAGTCAAGGAAATTAAAGCCTGGAAAAGACAGAGGCTCTTTCTTTAGCTGGTACAGCACCTTCATTCTTCCAAATGGCAAAAAGATGTTCTTGGGCACTGTTGGGTGTCAGGTACCCTCGTTTCCCCATCTGAGCTTCCTCAATTCCTGGAGCTGGTAGAGGAGGGGGAGAGGAGAATAGATAAAGCACAGTGAATCAATAGAAGGCCCTCCTTCTGTAATGACATTTACTAATGTTTTGTTCTCATTCTACAAAGCTTGCAACTTGACTACAAAGATCAATGTCTAGGACAGTGCCGGATTTCCTCCCTCAGTCTAATAGCTAAAGTAAATGAGAACAGTGTAGCTATCATGAAAAACATGACAAATAAAGCAAAAGAAAACAGCACTGCTATCTCATCACATTAACATAACTCTTAGTATTTTTCCATTGCTAAGACAAGTACTTTACACGACTGCCACCTTGCAAGACATGGTGGTACACACTTGTAATCCCAGTGCTGAGACAGGAGGATTACATGTTTAAGGTCAGCCTGGGCTACACAGTGAGATTCTGTCTCAAAAACAAAGAAGAAAACAAACAAAAATGTAATCTTAAGAGTGGATCTATTTTGAACACTACTTTGCTCATTTGCTGTCACCATGAGAACATCTGCATGCTGCTACACACCTTTTGCCTGCCCACCATTTGTAATGGCGGTGTGATACTTCACAAGTTTTCTAACTTGATTAACTATACTCATACTTGGACATTTGGATTGATTCCAGTTTGGAGTTTTTTGGTTTTTTTTTTTTTTTTGCTGTTGTAAGTAACATTATCTTTATGCACATAAGTGTTTACCAGAAAGGATCATAGAAGCAAAGCTGTGGATAAAATTATATGAATATTTTTATGGATAAAAATACGCTGATTTCTTTTTACAACTATTCTGGAAGACAAGGATTAAATTGAGCTTGTTTTCTTAGACTAAGCAAGATCACTCTGGGAAACAGAACACCAGCCATCCCCAGATTAAGCATAAAAATCATACTTGGGGCTGTCATTCAAAGGCTGGAGCTCTAGGTACTAAACAAGAAAGATAGTTAAGTACTCTCTAGGTTCAAAACTACCAACCTTTCCTGGGATGCATTCACTGAAATTATGCACTGCTCAATTTTCCCTTTCATGGACTTTTCAGGGTAGGAACTATGCACTGGTGTTTTCAACACCTGACGCAGTACCTTGCACACAGCAGATGCTAAAGAGTTGCTGATTCAAACATACATGTTCAAGATATTTGAAAATAATCCATTCTTTAAAACCCTGTTCTTGGGCAGGGGGAGGCTAAAGTGATGGAGCACCTACCAAACAAAACCCCAGTACCACCTAAACTAAAAACACAAAATGTTCATTGTTTTTTTGCCTTTTCCTGTGTTTTAAAAAATCAGCTTGATTCCATCTCCAATTCTCTAATTTGTTTCTTTACAATCTTCAGGGAGTGTATCAACCCATGCTTTTAGAGAAATCTCTAATTTGGATAACATTAACAGATGCATCATAACTTAGTCTCCATTAATAGGTCATTGAGTCATGTCCAATTTTAAAATATTTAAACAATACTGTGGCTATTCTAATTCCTTAGGATAAAGTTACAGAAGTGGAACTCCTAGGTCAAGGAGTTTAAGTTCTGATACCTATGAAACATTTCAACCAGTCTGAAATCATTCTAAAACAAAAAAAATTCACAAAAATAGTAAATAGGTTTGTTATTTTCACCAAATCTTGCCAGAATTTTCAGTGTAAAAGACACAAGGAGCATCTTCATAGGGAGGGAACTTATTTCCCTGCCTATCCCATGTCCTCAACTCTGGGAAAGGTTTAGTACCATCATCTGCTATGGACTTCCACGCATATGCTTCCTCAGCTCTAGACAAGGCAAGAGGCTCTATTACTGCCACCATATGGAGGTGGAAACAGATGCTCTTAAAGCAGCCTTCTCTAAGCCACTTGTGGTATACAGCAGAGCCAACTGTCAATGGAGAGTCATTTTTTATACCCTGGCATGTAGATTATATGATAAAATAAACAGTACCCACTGTTAACACATACTGCATAGCACTTCATCCCAATACCTTATTTAATCCTCATCACTTCAGAATTAAAAAAAAACAAAGTTTAGTAATCCTTCCAAAAATAAGAAAGTGAGAACAGTCAGCTCTCAGTTTGTCTCCACCAAGGGCGGAGCAGAGCTGAGAAGATCTGCAGGGATCTGCGTGGATAGCTAGGAGCAAAGTACAGAATTTTGTTGAATTCTTGAAGTTCTTAAAAATTATGCACCTATATTTTACTCTACTAATCAATTCACACTTATTTTACATTGAAGTGCTTCAAAGTAATTGCCAAGCAAAAATTAAAATTTCCTATTCAACAATGTTTCAATGAAACAACTAATTGAGTGGCTGTAGTGGTGCATGTCTCTAATCCCAGCACTCATGAAGATCATGAGTTGAGGCCAATCTGGGCTACACAGCAAGACCTTGTCTTAAGAAACCAAACAAATGAAGGAACAAAACCACAACTATTTGAGGCAAGAGGCACCTGTGAGGCCCTGTCTTAGAGTACAGCCCTGCCCACCACTGCACTTGGGTGACAGCCCTGAGTTGAACACTTGCCAGGGTCCCCTCCAGAACTAAGCAGCATGCTGCTCCTCCACTCACCCACTAAACACACAGCTGAGGAAAGTATGGGAACGAGAGCCAGGTGTTCCCAAAGCTGCAGATGCATCTGCCAGCCACGTAAGAAACATGGCCAAGGAGCACCTGCTTACCTTGGGGCTCTGTGTCCTTCTGGCCAGATTTCTTGTGCACCATGGCTGGGTACGTGATTGTCAGCTTACTGTTGTGCTCCTTTCGGACAACCGACCGCCCAGTCCTACATACGAGGAAAGTTGTGATTGGGCCATTTAACAATGGCTCTGAGTGATGGGCCAGGGAAAGGGAAAGGGAAAAGCAGGTACCAAATACTCACTTGCAGTGGGGACATCGCTTAGCAGTCATATGTGCCTTCCAGAAGTAAGCAATGAGTTTGCTCCTGCTTTCACACACATTTTTCACCTGTTAAAAGTCAGTTAACCTTGGAGTGCCATTTTGAAAAAAATCTATGTATTCATTTTATGATTTTTCAACTTTTTTTTTTTTTTTGGTACTGAGGTTTGAACTCAGGGCTTTCACTTGAGCCATGCCCCTGGCCTCTTTTGCTTATTTTGCGAATGGTCTTTCTCATTTTTGCCCAGGGCTAGCCTTGGATCGTGAGCCTTCTACATATGCCTCCCAATACATGGGATTATACACCTGGCTTGTTGGTTGAGATGGGGTCTTGCTAAATTTTTTTGCCCAGGCTGGCCCTGAATCTCAATCTTCCTGATATCTGCCTCTGCCTCACATGTAGCTGGGATAACAGGGGTGAGCCACCTAGTCTCTAACCTCACCTTTTATTTTTAGCCAGAAGAAACCATCCTTTCTTTTTAAAATAAAGTTTTCCCCAGGAACCCTAATATAGCTGAGCTCTGCCAATTACTGAGTACTTTCTTTAAGGCAAAAGATTCTCACTCACATGAGAACAAGAATATTATCCACTTCAGTAAGCTGTTACTGGGGTTATGAATATAGTAGAGGCTTGAAATCCAGTAAGTACTCAGAGCTAGTTACCTTAACCAACCTCACTGGCTGCAGCTGGGTAAACTCCTGCTGTCTCTGTTGGATGGATCTCACGGCTGTGCTTGGGGCTGCACATAGGTACTACCTGGGAACTTGTATAACCTCCACGTGGGCTCTACCCCAGACCAATTAAAGGGTGTCACATCTGGCCATGAGGCGAGTCAGACGTCAAGATCAGTATTGTGGTTGATTATCTACCACAGTCACTGTACGAATAAATACTTATCCAGGTGCTATGGAGGGGACGATGACGCAGCAGTGTCTTAGAGAGAATGTTGGGGAAAAAAGGACATGGACTCATTTTCAGAGCAAGTGCTTGCTGAATGTTATATCTAATGAACTAATTTCACCTCACCTTCTCAGCAATCCTGCTGGCAGTCATTAGAGATGAGGAAATGGCCACTCACATAATTTTATGGATATGCAAGACCACAAAACTCAAAAGAGGCAGAGCTGGGACTGAAACTCAGGTCTATCTTGGGAAACCAAAACATGCAGATGACAGTGTAAAGAAAGTATGATAAGTATGCTAACAGCAGTGTTACAGAAAAACCAGATGCCAATGACTCACGTGTGCACACTGGGACCCCAGGAGGTTGTTCTGCAGAGTTTTCATTGTGTATTCTTCTAACTCTTCCTGAATTTCAGTGGCAGAAGGATCAGCATTTTCTTCCAGAAACTGGAAAACAGAGAGGAAAACTCTATTACCACAATAAAGTAAGTACATGTCTGTTGGGTGGCACCCCTGGGGCCAGCCTCTCCAAGGGCGAAGAGATAATAAAACCATTGCCTCTGTGTTGCATTTTCAAAACAGTGAGGTAGAGCTGGGATGTAGCTCACTGATAGACCAGTTGCTTGTCTTGCTTATACAAGGCCCTGGGTTCAATCCCCAGTACCACCAAACAAAACAAAATAGTGAGGCAACCTTAAAAAAAAAAAAAGATAAAAAGAAATCAATCTGGCCCCATTACTCCTAAATACTGTACCTATTTGATCAACCCCTTTCTGTGTTATCACTCTTCCATCACTTTCATCACCCTCTGCTCTGCATGGACTCATTCACCCGATTTGGACTCACATCCCACACCAGTCCCACCTCCTTGTATGCCTCTTCCACATCCTATTTAGGCTCATCTATCCCACACATTGGTACCCTCTCACTGACTCTTACGTACCATGCTAAGCGGTCATCCCCAAATGAACATCTTCTTCACCCTACTTGAGCTCTGGCATCCCTGGTAAGGCTGCCCACACCTACAGGGATCCCCTCCCGCTATGCTCAGGGCAAGTCCCCACGCATGCTTTTCTCCCCTGCTGAGTTCAGACACCCCACACTCGGCCATGTCCCTTTGTGGAATCCCACCCTGTTCTGCTCACCTAATATCTGTAGGACTGAAGAATTCAGAAGGGAAAGAGAACGAGGACAGGCTTCTCTTGTGACACGAAACAAAACAAGGATGCCCACTACCATTCAACATAATAATGTACACACTAGCCACCAAAATAAGGTAAACAAAAGAAATAAAATGTATATGGAGTGGAAAGAAACAAAATAGCCATTATTTGCAGATGATACAATTATGCTGAAAACCTTAAAATATCTACTAATAAAGTAAAAGAATTGATAAGATAATTTTGCCATACTGCTTTAAGCAAAAATTAATATTTTGGTATATCAACACAGAAAATGAAAATTTATATAAGAGCACCAGAAAACCTTTAGCAAATACTAATCATAAAAGATATAATGTCTGTTTACAATAGAATTCTGGTGCTCACCACCTTATCCAAAAGTAACCAAACTCAGCACAACCAATAGTGGAATACCCTGACAACATGTGTTTCCTAAAATGTGTAATATAAAGTATCCTTTATCATGTAAATTATACTCTCAATAAAAGTGAATTTAATGAGGAAATAATTACATAAATCCAGAGTATGAGAAATCCTACAAGACAACTGCTTGAGTCTTCAAAAAAGTCAGTATCATACAAAAGATTTTCCTTTTTTGGGCAGTGCTGGGGATGGGACCCAGGACCTCATGCATGCTAGGAAAGCCCTCTGCCACTGAGCTACACCCCGCCTCCTAGGTTAAAACAGACTAAAGAGGTATAAAAATTAAAAGCAAAACATACATCTTGATTGGGTCCTGGGTGGGGAATCACTATGGATCAAAAGGTTTTTTACTATTGTTTTTAACATTTTTTCAAAAACTTTTTTTTTTTTTTTTTTTTTGGTGATACTGGGGTTTAAGGCACACCCTCCATCCCCATTACTACCACTACCCACTTACCCTGTTCAGAATTCGCTCGAGCTCATAGACAGCTTGTAGGGCTCCAACTTCCAGAACCCTCAGCTGGCAGACCAATAGGTGAATCACAGCCCGAGGACAAGTCAGCATGTGACAATTTAAACAAGAGCCTCGGAGTAGCAGGTAGAGTTTCTAAAGAGAGGAATAAAAAGAAAGACATTATAAAGAGACACAGTACTCATGGTAATGTTCACTGTACTCATGAGATATTTCTTCCCTCAGTCAGTCTACTCCTTTAAGAATTCCACCACAGCCTATATGCTGATGTCCTTTTCCACCCTAAGAAAGTTTGACTGGGGTTCGAACTCAAGAGCTTTGTACGGGCAAAGCAGGCACTATACCGCTTAAGCCACACCTCCAGTCCATTTTGCTCTGGTTATTTTGGAGATGTGGGTCTCATGAACTATTTGCCCAGGCTGACCTCGAACTATAATCCTCCTGATCTCAGCCTCCCAAGTAGCTAGGATTACAAGTGTGAGCCACTGGTGCCTGGCTCCCTGTATTTTTTTATGGTTTCATTTTAACCCATTAAAATTTGAAATTTACTTAGGGAATATAGTCTGAGAAAGGCAATAACTTTTGTACCAACTACTTAACTGAGACAACAATCTTTCTTTAATATGATTACCAAATAGTGTACGTGTACACTGTCACATGAGAAGTCTGAACAACTTGTATGGCCCAGGTGATTTGATATAAAAGCTAAACATGTGTAAGTAGGTGGACAGGAGGTTCCTTTTGATCTTACTGTTGGACTTTCTAGGGCTTTGCTTCTCCTGCCCACAGCTAAGACCCTGAAGGATCACTCAAAGGACCCAGTGGCCTTGAAAGCATTGGAGTTCCCTGTTATCAGGGACACACCACCCAGGACTCTGAAGGATGCAGAGCCCCTGAAACTAAAGGGTATGGATCTAAGTCTTAACTGCATCCCAGGGCTGAGCGGTGGGGAAGCTTAATGGATGAACATTTTTCTCTCATGTTGATAGAATCACCTTGTGAATCTTCTAAACTGGAAGCAAACTGAAATTTGTTTAGTTAAGGCTGTAGGATAACTGAAATTACAGGTTGAGCATCACTAATCCAAAATTCGAATGAAAAATGCTCCAAAATTCAAAATTGTTTATTTGTGTATCTCTATTTTTGGTGGCACTGGGGTTTGAACTTAAGACCTTATGCTTGCTAGGCAGGTGCTCTACCTCTTGATGCATGCCCCAGCCCTTTTCTGCTATAGTTATTTTCCAGATAGGTCACTGAGATCCTCCTACCTACATGCTCCTGCACAGCTGGAATGACAGGCATGGGCCACTACACTGGCTTATTGATTGAGATGAAGATTTGCTAACTTTTTGCTTGGGCTGGCCTCGAGCTACAATCCTCCTGACCTCTGCTCCCCAAACAGCTGGGATTACAAGTGTGAGCCACCATGCCCAGCTTAAAATATGAAACTTTTTGAGTGTCAACATGACACTATAGGTACAAAATTCAACACCTGGCCTTGACCCTTGATCATTCTGCGTGTTGGGATTACATGTGTATGCCACTATACCTGGCTTCCTCTCAAAAGTTTTCCATCTCTTTCTAAATACTTTAACTCAAAGCACCTGGAGCTTAACCTCCTTAGACATCTCCCATGGGGAGAGAAGCAGCCTTCACAATCCCCTGGCAACCCCAAGATCATACCCCAGGGCAACACGTACATCAAAGAGGAGAGGGTTATACACTGTGAGCGGGAGCTCAATGTGGCCCAGGTGCCCAGAGCAGTTGCTGAAGTCCTGCACACAGGTGGAGCACACTTCTTTGGAATCTGCAGGGCCCAAGGCTAAATCATACAGGCCATTTGCTGAAGGGTTCCCCAGGTTGTCCACATAGCGAGGGTTGGTAATGCACTTAACACTTAATTTCCTAAGGAGATAAAAAAGACCAAGGGCAAGTTCAGGTTACCAATTTCTCTGATGGTGGTGTTGGGAAGGCAGAAAATGAGGCAAACGTAACTCCAAAGCCCCATCAGTTCAATGAATGGAATGTGACACAATAACCCCTATACATAATAGCAAACTCAAGAACATTAAACACAAATATTCAAAGTTTTGAGAAACAGAATTTGCTTTACAGAAGTTTTCATCACATTTTATGTTTGATTTAATACAGGCTCCCATACAACTGTTAAATTTATTTAACTATCAGGCACTGCCTAACAATGTCAACATCAGACTGCAGTATATATGTTATAGTTTAGATGTGTAGTAGGCTATGCAATAAAGGTTTGTACAAGTACACTCTGATGTTTACACAGTGAAACTGCCTAACAGTGCATTTCTGGAGGCACGATCACAAATGGCTGTAAGCAAGGACTGAAAGTGCCAAGTGCTGAGTACATTCCTTCACCCATTCAATCACAGACTTGACAAGTGTCTATTGAGTACTCACTAGTAACATGCCAGATGTGGCTTTAGGTGCTGGGAAAATAGACAAGAAACCCTATGTTTACAGGCCTTACATCTAACCAGAGGAAGATAAACAGACAGAAAACCAAAGTAAGTATCCAGTCTGTTAGATGGCAGAATTCCAATGCTATGAAGAAAACTGCAGAGGAGAAGGACAGGCTAGCCATTGGAGATACTTGAGCAAAGGCCTGAAGGAGATGAGGGAGCAAGTCATGTAGTCACCTGGGCAGAACTCTTTACGGGAAGGAGCAGAGGAGCAAATGTTCTAAAGTGAGTATGTGCCCGTGGTACTCTAGTACAGGAAGGAGGCATAGTGGCTAGAACAGAGGAGAGGTCAGGGACCAGAACAGCCCTTCCACATCATTTTAACGACAAAGCTTTGACTCTGAGTGAGACAAAGTTTACAAAGCCTTCTTAACAATAAAAGGAAGCATTAATTATTTTAACTTAATTATCTTAACCCTAGATCCAAAAAGATCCATGAAGTTAGTGATGAACATTCATGACGTTCCTGGCTTGAAAATTCTACCATTATCTTTTAAAAAATTCAAGCAACCTACAACATTTTTGCTTTTGGGTCAAATTGTATCTATTTATGATTGGGGATGATATCATTGGAATTTCTAGGCTAATACACTGTTTCAAGTGATCCTGTGGCTCCGGAGTTTATTCATCCATTTATTTAACCAGACTTGAGGATAAAAGAAAGGAATGAGACATACAGGAAGCGTAAGGCTAGTGGACAAATACAAATACGCACAGAAAGAAACTAAGGCACAGTGTATAAGGTATGGCAAGATTTCAGAAAACAAGGGACCCTGAACAGAGTCTTCAGTGTGCTTATTTGAAGAAGGAATGAGGAAAGTATGTCCCTCAGGCAGAAAAGACATTGAGTGCTAAGGAAACAGCTTGAAGGAAGGCAGAGATGTTGAAACATGACAGCCGTTTCTGCATGTGCTAGTGATTTAGTTGGGCAAGGGATGATGCTATACCTAAAATCAGCATTAGTCTCATCATGAGAGTCTTTCTAGGCTATGCTAAGAAAGCATTCTTTATCCAAGGACAACAGACAATTTTTGAAGGGTTTACGGCTGATGGTACATTGCTACATTCGCACTTTGGAAGAACAATTTTGACAGCACTGTGGAGGATGGCCTGGACTGGATGGGTATTGGGGTAAGGGGAGGAAAAGACAATTCAAACATGGCATAAAGAGCACGATCTAAGGCAGTAACAACAGGGGTGAAAGGAGGGTATGAAACATATGTAGGTGACACACAGCAAGAACCTAATAAATGAATTAGATGTCAGGACAGAGAAGTCTAGAATTATCTCTCTTTTTCTACTGACCACTCTGTACTAAGTCAGGTACACTATTTTGGAAAGACAAGTTCCCCTTAGTTTGGGGTGAGGGTGCAGGTTGATCTTTTGACATATGATTTTAACATCTCTCTGTGAAATACAAGTGAACAGTAAAGAACTGAGTAAAAGGAAATTCAGCTGGAAATCAGTAAAAGAAAATTGGGCTGATCTAAATTTAGGAGTATAAGATCATGCAAATGGTGAGACTGTATATGGACAATATAAAAATTTAAAACAAGAAAATAAACATGACCAGAATTAGACCTCAAAGGTACATCAAGGTTTAAGTAAAGAATGGACATTGTTCACCAATGTGTTATTAATGCCTAGCAAAAAGTGGATGCTCAATACATTTTTGTGGGTTGATCGAGGAAGGGGAGGAAAAAAGCTTGTCACAGAAATAGAAGAAAAACAGATTCTGAAAGAGAGGAAAATTTCAAGAGGGTGTGTTCGCGGCTGTCAAATGCTCAAAATGAGGACCTAACAGAGTTTCTGTGATTCAGTAAATAGGCGGAAAACAGAGTGGGGTCCTGGCAAAGAACTTATCGCCTGATCTGAGACTTGAAGGATAATCATTTTACGGACAGGAGAATTAGGTACTTAATTAACCGCGTGGGGGACATTATAAATTTCACAAACATTGATAACAAGGAGCTGAGCAGGCGGTAACAAGGCAAAGCACCCACGCCCTCCTCCCGGCATTGCGTTCTATATAGAACACTGCGGACCCCAGAAGAACACGCGCCAACAGCCTGGCCCTTGGACCACAGGCTGGGCGCAAGGCCTTTTGGGAACGGTAGTTCTCGGCGCCGACCTCACAAGACCGGCTCAGCATGCTTTCCACTAACTCCTTACTTGAGCTCCTCAGCCGAATACATTCCGAAGGAAATGCCCTGCAGCCGCCGCCAGGGCATGTTCTTGGAGGCCAACATCTTCCAGGTCAATCTCGAGATCCGACACACAAAGAGATGTCCAGTTAGCACCAGCAAATTCTTAACTCAGTCTCAAGCCCGGATTCAACATGTGATTTAAACTGCGCTTGCGCGCTGGAAACTCCAGTGGGCGTGTTTCCATGGACTAGATCACTTTTGCTGTGGGTGGGGGAGGAGAGGAAAACAGTTTCAGGATTCATCCTCTATTCTTTGTAAACAATAAAAAACGAGATATTAAAAGAGTATTTTAAGATAATTTCTTTGAGTTAAATGAGGTGTATTGAGCCTTTAACTTCTGTGACAAAGCATTACCAACCATGAACTTCCAACCTACCATTTCTAACTGGGATGTTCCGCGTCCCGAGGATGACCCTGAAGTTGAGGGCAAGCTTTCCCAATATGCACTGCGAAGAAGCCCAAGATGGCGGTGGTAGCTTCTGCCCGGTGGCTGCGGGTTCGCAGTGGGCTTCAGCTGCCGCAGACTACTCGACTTGCAAGTGTGTGTGCACGGGCACCCAGTTGCAGGTAAGAGAAGCTTGCGGTATCTACTAGGAAGATCCCTGGAGTTAAGTTAGTCCTACTTTTTCCCGAGACCTGTAGAACTAGGCGGGATGCAATGGTTTACGCATGCGCGTTCTTCTGCCCTCGTGTCTCCAAGGACTGCATGAGGAACCTCTTGGAATAGAGTTCAAAACGTATGTGCTTTTACGGAGGTGATTATTGATTGTTTCCAATGCCCTAGAATTAGAATTGTTAGCGAAACCAGGGCTGTGTCCTTGTGAAGCTTAGGTTTCAGTAAAAAAAATTTTTAATTATCCCTCCCTCTCCCCTTTATTATTCATTTTAACTCAGTTAGAGGGAATCGATAGAATTAATAGATTTTCCTGGCTAAGAGGCAAGGCAGTCTGTCTGTGATCGCCACTGTGGGCTGAATGTTGTGGGAACTTTGGACCAGAAAAATCCAAACTGCCAGGTTTTTATAAGAACAGAAAAATCCAAAACCTCTAAACCCTGCATCTTGGATATGGAGATACAGTTAGGGCTTGGAACATGTATCACCTATTCATGTACCTCTTTTTCTTCTCACCCACTGCAAATAGTGACCTTGTGGAAATATGAAGTGAAAGTTCGAGAGAAGCCTACTTTTATTTCACGTATTTACTCGTTATTGAACCCAAGACCTCACGCATGCTAATGTTGCACTCTACCACTGAGCTACACTCCCAGCCTAAGAAACACCTAATTTTTGACTTAATGTTTGCCCTTTTCTCAGTTGGATGATTAGTAGACACATTTTCTCATCCTCTGGCGCTAGTAATAACCGTCTGAAAAACTTGTGAGGAATAAGTGATCTATGTAAATTAGAGCATCTATTTTACCTGTACTTTCCCTCAATTCCCTTGAAAAGAGAGAAGATACTCCAGCTGGTATTGTAGAAGCCTTTAGGCAGTTCAGTCCCAACCCTCCTTTTTCTGGTTGTGCTTAAGTTAACATTTTTCTGTCTATTGACTTTGCTTAATAGTAGCATACTTTCCTTACTCATTCTCAAGACAGTGGTGATCCTCCCTAATATTGTGAGAGACAAATAGCATGAATTGAAAGAAGCATCCTTAGAGATATTCTTCCTTGGAGTTGACGCATGAGGGCTGGGAGCATAGCTCAGTGATAGAGCATTTCCCTAGCATGAGTAATGCCCTGGGTTTGTTCCCCAGCACCATGAAAACAAAAATAGTCAATTAAGGAAATGATGCTTGACTCCAGATACCAATGGAGGAAATATTTTTCTATTTAATTACATCTAAGTTTTCTGAATAGTTTTGATGCCATTTAGGAGGGGAATACAGAAAGTATTATTGTGTAATATATGTGTAATAATGTCGACTGCGTTTTTAGGATATCAAATAAGAGTAAAATAATAGTTGCCCATGAGTGAGACTTTTTAAAATTCAGTCATGGGCCAGTGATTCTATATCTTGGATAAAAAAAGTTTAATTCTCTGGGAAAATGTCAGTTCAGAGTCTATACTGGGCAAGTAGAATATAAAGCCATGAGTGATCTTACTTTGTCATAGTTGCTTTAAATGAGGTAGGCTTTTATTACCAGGGTGCTGTCTACATAAAAACAGGAGCTCACTAAATTGTTCCTCTAAACCTCAAAGTGCTTCAGTTTCCCAAAGTCAAAGTTTCCTGTATTTCAAACCACTTGCTCAGTTTATTTCAGTGCTGTTAAAATTTTTCTTACTTTTGCTGGGCGCCGGTGGCTCATGCTTATAATCCTAGCTACTCAGGGCAGAGATCAGGAGAATGGCAGTTTGAAGCCAACCCCTGGCAAATAGTTCGAGAGATCCTATCTCGAAAAAAACCATCACAAAAATAGGGCTGGTGGAGTGGCTTAAGGTGAAGGCCCTGAGTTCAAATCCAAGTACTGCAAAAAAAAAAAATTCTTTTTTTTTCCTGATTTCTTGTAATGAAATTGCCTGGTTTAAAAAACTTTGACCATCTTGTATGTTTTATCCATTGTCTAATAGTATTGAATATATATTGCTCTGAGTTATATGATCCATTTTTCCATGATAATTAGAAAATTTAGGCTCAAAATGCACAAAAGAGGAAGTAAGGTTTCTTGTTCGTTTGTTTGTTTTTTACAGATTTTATTCTGGAAGTGTAGCCCTCCCAGAGGTTGAAGGAACTGAGATAACAGGTGTGTATGTGTATAAATAATTCCATTTTTTGAAATTGAGCCATTGTATTCCTTTGTATTAATAATAGGAAACTGATTTTTCTTTTTTCTCATTAAGGGATTGATGAAGTAGTCATTCCAAAAAGGAAAACTTGGTGAGTGTTCAATCAGTGTTTATCCTGCAAGTGGTTGAGTGCTTAATGTAAGCATAATATAAGTGTCTGAACCGTGCCTGTCACATAGACAGATTTTAATAGACAGCTAAAGTTTTGGAGTATAGCCCGATTTTTTTATATGAACTGTATGTACACATTTAGTTTAGAACTGGACTGTTAGATGTTTAGATGTACTTTTTATTCTCCACTTTTAATTTTTAGCGGCTACATATATTTCTTCATATATTCAGATTCACTTGTGTTTTCCTTGGCCTAATTGAGGATCAGAAGGAAGAGTAGGATTGTAATTACCTATAAATGAGGCATTTTTCTGATGTCATTCAAGTCCATAACACTTTACCAACTGTATCCCCAAAAGAAGTACTAAGGGAAATACAAAAGAGGGATCATTTGGAGAGTGGTACAACCTAGTTGAGTTCCTGCACATCTCATACCTTACAATTCTATCATACATATGTAATTTATACACAAAGCTGACAAGAATATAGGATATGATATCAAGAATGGTTTTATTGTACTAACGAAGTTGATTTTTGTTGAAAATGTAGCAACTTGGCAATACCTTGTAGGTATATCTAATATGTAGGATTATTTTATTGGTATCAGGAAGTGCATATTCCTGCAGGTAGTTCTTGTCAACCCTAAATTATGAAGCATACAGATACACAGCACAGTAAGATGGAATGAGACATGATCATGATGATCTATGGTAGGAGTCCAGGCAGGCCTGTGGGAGATATATTGTTTAGTTTCATAATGAGGTAGTTGATACCATTGGTCTGATATTTTTAATATCAGACAGTTTCTGTACAGTACATGAGCTGAGAATGGTTTTTACATTTTTATATAGTTGTAAACAGGTGGATATCAAAAGAAGACAAGTCGATAATTGAAAGTTACATGAAATTCAAATCTGTCAAACTTTTGGGGGGACATAGCCTCACTCATTTGTTTACATATTTTATGCTTTTTATGCTATACTGGCAAAGCTGAGTAGTTTGGACAGCACCGTATATCTCATAAATCCTAAAATATTTACCATCTGCCCCTTCACTGGCAAAAAAAAAGTGAACCCTAGATATAGAACTTCTGATTTCAGACTTGGGAATCTGTGCATTTAGACCTGAGAGAAGCCTTCAGAGTATATATTCATTTTGTCTTATAGGTGAAGCATCTTTTAAAGGTGTAATTTCCTAGAACACACAGGTGCCATAGAAGACTTGAATAAATTGTAGGGAGTAACAAGTTGATAATTTGGAGTAAGAAGTAGAAATAGTCTACATTGTTACATGAGTGACTAGTAAAAATGATTATCATACAACATTTAAAGGCATTAGTCAGATCTGTGTATAGTTAATGTGAGCGGCACAAACTTATGTAAACACATGCAGAGTGTTTTGAGACAGAGTCTTGCCATGCAGCCCACCCTGGCTTCAAACTCAGATCCTCCTGTCTCAACCTCTGAAGTGCTGGGATTATAGAAATATATTGCTATGCTGGCTCCTTTTTTTTAATTTTTAGTTTTTTTTCAGCTACCTGCATGTAAAAGTACCTTGAAAAGTCTGGAAATACAAATATTAAACTCATGGTGGGCTTGGGCCACAAGATGACATCAGGCACTTTTTTTTTTAATATCAGACACTTAATCTGTAAACCTAGTTTATTTTTTTAAAAAATAGTCATTGTGATTGCTTTTTAAAATACATTTTTAAACAGTCTGCCTTTTAAAAAAAAGAATTAGTGAGGACCCGATTGTCAGTTTTCTCATTCACTGACTTCAGAGGCTTAAATATGCTAATGTAAGAATTAAGGAGAGGCAGGGCACCAAAGGGAGAACAGAGGAAGCTAGGCAGGTTGTCAAAAAAGCATATCTGAAATATATCTGAAAGGTAAGTCTTTGTTCCTCTTGCTGGAATTTTGTAAATGTGACTTTGAAATGGATAGAAAATCCAGCTGGGGTTTGGTGCCTCATGCTTGTAATCCTAGCTACATGGGAGGCTGAGATTGGGGGGATTGAGGTTTGAGGCCAGCTTGGGCAAATAGTTTGTGAGACCCCCATCTCTAAAGCAACCAGAGCAAAGTGGATGGGAAGTGTGCTGAAGAGGTAGAACACCTGCTTTGCATGTGCGAAGCCCTGAGTTCAAACCCTAGTCCTGCCCAAAAAAAAAAGAAAAGAAAAAAGAAACGGGTAGAAAATTCAGCCAGGCCTGGGAGGCTGAGACAGAAATAGTTTCCAGTGTGTTCTTTTGTTTCTCTGAGATGACCTACATTCTTCAGAATGTTCTGTTAGACTTCAGTAAAATTCTTTTGATTTATTAAATTTACTGTAATTCTCTTGGAAATGAAACACATTAAATTTAATAAAGGATTAAAAAGATTTGAAACCCAGTTATTTTGTTTGTCACTTACACTAGTGAAACTTTTTTTTAGTAGTTCAGTGACAAAGGTATAGTGGATAGTTGGCTTGTAATTCTCCACCACGGGGTTATATGTGGTTGAGAGGCTCTACACTAGGTGGTTCATCAGAGTTATCTTGGAATTGAGTAAGGGTGCATGTAACAGTCCTCCTTGCATCTTGGTAGTAAAGACAGGAGTGGCTTAGAAAGATGCAGTAAGAATGCATAGGAAAGTACATAGGTAGTCAGCAAGATAGTTCATGAGGTGAGGGTGAAAATCCTTAGTGCTGGGTGATGGTAATAGGGACTAGGCCAGAGAGTGCAGATGAAGCAAAGAGAGGAACATGTACTAACCTCTTCTGGGCAAAAGAACTAACAACTCCTAGCTAGTTATTCTAGTGATCTTAAGAGATAAGTACTGGCTTTAGGTGAGACCTGAACTGCAGTATTGGCCAAGGCTCCCTGAGAGTAGAATCATTGGTTCACTTCGTGCATGTGGAGAGCCCTGTGAGGATTAACCTGTGATTCTTATTCTTAGGGATAAAGTGGCTGTTCTTCAGGCGCTTGCATCCACTGTAAATAGGGTAAGTAAGATTTTTAGGCTAATACTACATATAATGTTCATATCTCTTTGTTAGTCAGAATTAAACTGTTGTGGATCTAGAAAATTAAAATGAATCCATCCCAAATTACTTTGGTGAATGAGGAAGCTAAGGCTTTTAAAGCAGTTGAACAAGGACTGGTTAAGATGTTAAAAACCTTAGCTCAGTGCCTTTTAATTCTAAATGTAGTGGGAACTTTTTGTATACCATGTTAATGATTTTTAGCCATCAGAAAAGCTTGTTGAAATATATGTTCCTGAGGGATCGTTTGAGTCTGGTAAGCAAGGTGAGCTCTATACTGACTTTGAGAAATAATGTACCTATCATGTGCTGAGTAAGATTTAGTTAAGGAGATGCAGGGCACCAGACAAGGAAGAACAGCTAGCTGGGGCAGGACTTCAAAGAGGGAACTACGCAAGTTTGACAGATGGAGGTAGGCAGGTTATAGAAAAGCAAAATATTTAGCTAAGGAATTCTCAGAGACAGAAGGAATTGTGTCTTTAAAATAACATGAACATGACTTTAGAAAATACCATACTCATCATGCTGGCAATAATGCAGTGATTAAAATGCAGGTCCTGCTGGGCCTGGTCCTGATGTATACACCTATAACTCTACCGCTTGGAAGACTGATGCAGGATAACTGCAGGTTCAGAGTCAGCCAGGGTTACTCAGCAAGACCCTGTCTCCAAGGGTCCTGAGGTTGGAGCTATAGCTCACTGGTAGAGTATATGCTAAACATGAGCAAGGCCTGGAGTTCAATTCTCAGCACCATGAAAAAAAAATTATGGGTCCTGGATTCCAAAGGTTTAATAGCTGGACAATCTGAGCAAATTACTTTTATCTATCAATGCTTCTGTTTCCCAATTTATAAAACGATCACTGGACCTCAAGTTGTAGTGAGAATTAAATGAGTAAGTGTTTGTTAAAGGGTTTGGGACAGTGTCTCACACAAAGGAAATGCTGTAGTCTGAAAGAAACTTTGGAAAGTACATCAGAAATGGAATTTTGTGCTTAATTACCTTTTTCATTATCGAGAAGCTAATTTTAATTTCAACTATGGGGGAGAGTCTAAAATAATTAAATCTTTTCATTATGTCTATGTGGATAAGACAGTATCATGAATATCCAGGATTGTTCTCTATTGTAGATTTTAAACTGACAGAGTTTTGAGTTAAGTACACTGATATATATTCTATCAAAAAGTAGATGTCCCAAGCCAGTCACCAGTGGCTCACGCCTGTAATCCTAGCTACTCAGGAGGCGGAGATCAGGAGGATCGTGGTTCAAAGCCCTCCCTGGGCAAATAGTTCTTGAGACCCTGTTGCGAAAAAATCCTTCTCAAAAAAAGGACTGATGAAGTGACTCAAGGTGTAGGCCCTAAGTTTGAGCCCCAGTACTGCAAAAAAAAAAAAGTAGAGATGTCTTAAGAGTGATGGGAAGAATCAGAACCCGAGATAGCAGCAGTTCAAGTATATCAGGAAGTAGTGTAGCTAGTTTTAACCTAGAACCACTATTTCAGTCTTTACTTACCTGCCACATCTTTGATAGCAAGTGTTACAACTAGATGAAACGGGCCTCACCTAACTGATAGGGGTTTTAAAAGTGGCTGCAGAAAGGAGGGGCAGCTCTCAAGGGCAGTCAGAAGAGATTCAGGATTTAGAGTAAGGTTTTGCTGTTGGAACAAGGCTCAGGTAGAGGACTCAGACTGAGGAGAGAAATAGAGTAAGTAATCCTGAGTCAGTTCTAAGTGGAGACCCTGTGCTGGAGAGTTGGTTTTCCTCAGGATTATGGAGTAGTTTTAAAGAACTATAGAACATTGGACACAGAACTGGATGAGCTACTGCTGTTCAGTTTGGAGGGACTCTTAGATAAGGTTGAAAATGGATACATAAATGAACATGTTTGAAGTGAACATTTCAGGAAACTGGTGCCAGGACTATTAATCCAGAGGATCCTTTACCTAGAGTTTGAAACTGCCTCCCCAGTGATAGCTGATTTAAATCTTAAGCAGCAACTGTGGGGATTTAAACATTATTTCCTTTAAGTTGTGCATAATTATAGGCAAGTCTTACAGAGCTGGTAATACAGCATAGGTAATAGTGTTTTCTGACTATTTCTTTATATACATGTCTATTAATATGTGTATATATATATATAAATATTTATGTGTTTGTTTATTCATATACATATGTATCCATACATACGTACATAGTCTTGCACAGATGTTACATATTTAATTAAAACTTAAGAATTTGTGATCATCACCAAAACTCATAAGATCTTAATAAAAATGTAGCTAAAAAGATGTCTTCATCTTTACAGGACCCCACAGCCGCCCCTTACACATTTCAAGATGACCCTTACCTCATACCATCGTCGTCTGTGGAATCTGTGAGTATTTTCTAGTAGCTTCTTTCTTTTTTTCTTTTATCGGGCCAGGGGTTTGAACTGAGGGCTCGGGTGCTCTATTGCTTGAGCCACACCTCTAGTCCATTTTGCTCTGGTTATTTTTGATATGGGGTCTTGTGATCTAGTTTGTCTGGGCTGGTCTCAAACTGATTCTACTGATCTCAGCCTCCCAAGTAACTAGGATTAGAGACATGAGCCACTGGCGCCTGGCAATTTTTTTTTTTTTAATCTTACTGGTTTGATACCTTACATAAATAATTTAATTGGAAAAACCTTTGGAACATTTATGCTGATAAATTGGTGAAATCCTAAACTACTACTATTAAAAAAAAACCAAAACACAAAAAACTTCAGATACCATCTCTGGAAAAGGATTTTTGTTTTAATTTTTAATTCTAGAATCTTTTTAACACTGGATCAAACCATTCAGTTTAACTATGTTGTTTTTTATATACTTCAAGCTATGTATAAAACATAACCTGAAATTGTGTCACACAGACAGAAGAGTCAAATATGTGGAGTACTGTAATTTAATTTTTTTGTTTGTTTCTTTGAGAGAGGGTCTCACTCTAGCCCACTAAGTAGCTCAGGGTGGCCTCAAACTCTCAGTCTTCCTGCCTCCACCTCCCAAATGCTAGATAGGTGTGTTGAGATTTCATGTATTACTGCATTCTTTTTTGGTGAAGGAGAATAATTCTTGCTGGGATTGTAAGTTTGAACTTGCTTGATTCTAAATTACATGTAAATACCAATTTGTATCTAAATATTTTCTTGTGTAGCGTTCATTTTTATTGGCAAAGAAGTCTGGGGAAACTGCAGCAAAGTTTATTATTAATTCACATCCCAAATATTTTCAGAAGGACATAGCTGAACCTCATATACCGGTAAGTAGAGGTAGTTGTGTTTTTCATAGAATACTGTATCACACTTTAATGGCTAATGAAAAGCCTTTACTAACTTTAAAGTTCCTTTTATATGTACTTGCTCTTTTTTGAGTTTTCAACACTTTTTATTAGTATATAATAGCTGTATGGGGGACACATTGTGATATTTACATATATGCCTACAATATATCTTAATTAGATTTACCCCCTCCGTCGTTCCTCCCACCCCACCCCATTATGTATTTCCTCTTTAGCCTAATCTTCCTAGTTTTGCTTCTGTGGTACCATACTCTTGGATCTTTACCTCTGTGGCTTGTTCTTTTTAGTCTCCTTCATTAGCACTCTATCCCTCCTTACCCAGTGGTGTCTTTCTCAGGTTTCTGTGTGCATTTTCTCTTTTTATTGTCTACATTCTTCTGTTTCAGTGACCTTTATACTCTATTTGGCATTCTTGTATATCTAGCCCAGACCCCTCTACTTTGAACTCTGTATTTCCCACTACCTCTTAGTCCTGTATTTATGTATTACCTGCATAATTTACGTATTGGTGATTGTACTTAATTATGTTAGTAGACTAGGGAGCAAACTAGATGCAGCTCTACCCTCCTGAGTACAAATACTGACCTGTTTAAGAGTATTCCCTTCTCAAATCATGCTGCTTCCCTGACTCATCCAAAACACAGCCCTTCTCCTCTCATACAGTGACTCCTGGTGACATTAGGAAGCCAGTGCCACTGAACTAGTGGCAGCCATAGAATGTGATCATTTGGTGGCCTGGCCTTTCTCCTTTGTATTTTGACTAACGGTTAACTCTCCTGTGCTTTTCTCCTGGGCAACTACTGCTTAAAGCTTTTCAAGGGTCTCCTGCCTCCATGGTGGGCACTGACATTTCCTATTATATTACAATGATTTTTTTTTGTTTTGGTGCTGGGAATGGAACCTGGGGCCTCATAGATGCTATGACTGAGCTGTAATGATTTCTTTCTCATCTCTGAATCCCCAGTGCCTATTATAGTGCCTGGGGTAAAATACCCTTTAAAATTATATGTGAATAAACTATCGAATGAGTAAAATCAACATACTTTGGTGGTATCAAATGTTTAGAAGCAAAGCAGCCTCCAGGATGAAAGTTTTCAGCCTTTACAAACTAGATACAGTCTGATGTTGTTAACTAAGATTGGGAACACAAAAGAAAGGTGTTTTGTTTGTTTGTTTTTGTGGTGCTGGGGTTTGAACTCAGGGGCCTTTTGCTTGCTAGGCAGGGACTCTGGCATTTGAGCCATTCTGCCAGCCATAAGAAAGGTTTTAGTAGGGCAAAAACAGTAAAGGTCATCTTAAAGTTGGGACTCTTGGTTGGAAAAAGGGGCCTTTGGTTATGGATTGAATATTAATGTTTGGGTGCTTTTTAATTCATCAGGGTATGGCATGGCTAAACATTCTTGTTTCAAACTAGAAAGTTTATTGTTTTTGTCTTTAATTTTTTTTCTTTTAAGTTAGATTCTCTGTTAAGTTCATGTTAAGATGATAAGCAGTATCTGGTACGGGAAACATGAATTAGAGCAATGAAGCTTTGACGTATTTGTGATAAAAGCTTTGTCCTAGTGATTATCTTACCACCTTTGCCTGTTTGTAGTAGTTGTCTTACACCTTTGCCTATTTATAATAACTTTAACCAACTTGTTTTCCTAGTGTTTAATGCCTGAGCACTTTGAACCTCAGATTGAAGACGTAAGTGAAGCTGCCCTGAAGGAACGTATCGGACTCAAAAAAGTTAAAGCCTCTGTGGATCTGTTTGATCAGCTCTTGCAAGCAGGTGACTCATTAAGTTAAAGCCCCTCTGGGAAAATGGGACCACAATTAGCACAATCCAGATAGTTTTTGGTAAAAGTTATAAGTACAATTGTAGTTACTCTGCTTGATAGCCATGTTTTTTTCTGTTTTCAGTGGCTTAATAATATTTCGTTTTAAAATGGGTGAGGTAGAATTGCAGCTTCATTAGTGTATTGTGCTGTTTCCTGCATCACTGGTAGAGATATTATACAGCCATTTAGATTCCATTTTTAACTTTTGGCAGATATATACTGTATTCAGTTTCCCTGTACTCTTTAAGTATATTTAGAAGGCAGGGCTGCACAAACCACATTAAGAAAGGTGTTTTAAAGGAAAATAACAGTAAACTGGGATTGGTGGTTTTGATACTTACGTAGTTCTGACATTTTTTCTCTGACATTGAAAAATTCCCTTCCTCAAAACCTGCCGCTCTAACGTTTGCTTTGAATTAGATTTAGATGAATCTCCACATGTATGCATCTCAATAGCATGACTTATAAGCTACCATGAAAATGAACATATAGTGACATCAAATCAGTTGGTATTATTTAAGTATTTGGATTTCAGAGTGCTCTTCAGTGATTTAGGACAAAGAGATATGCTAAGCATAGAAGAGGTGGAAACTGGACAGAATCGCTCAATATATCCTTGAACACATGAAACACTTGCATGAGTCTGAGTTGGGGGCTTTCAGCTATAATACCAGATGTACAGCTGATTAATGACAGCAGATTATAAATTTGTGAGGCTCTTCCCTTTGCTTGTTGGATATGAGTAACATCTGATATCTAATTTTACCCTCACTGGTACTAGGTGCATGCAATCATTCAATAAACGTTTTTCAAAGAGCATCAGGATAACTCAGTACCAGCAAGCCAACACACTAAGAGAGTTATCACAGAAAATTAAATTATCCAGCGCCTCTTACTTATTGGTATATTTTGTTTAGACAGATGCAGTTGCTTTTCATTTAAAATGACAAATTATATCACAGTTTTCTTATAGCTGACGGTTTTCTTTCGTATGTCCTTTTTCCCTTTTTAATAAGTGCTCTTGTCATAATGTTTGAATAATAGTTTTTATTTTTTAATTTCATTTACTCATCTTGTTGCCTATTCATTCATCAATGAGAATTGAATGAACAACTTTTAAAATATGCTAGTATTTCTAGCTAAGTTTTTAGTAAGAGTCTGGATCTAAGCAGAATAATTCTGTTTATGTTTGTTCTGAATGGATCTGAGCCAGGGGAACTAAATGGAAATTGTTTGTAGAGTATTTGTTTTGTAGATGATAGTTAAAACCATGAGATAGTTTCTCTGAGAACACAGGTGCATAAAATAAGTGAACGAGGATCAAACTTCATCTTGTATTTTCATAGTTTTTGTGAAACAATATGGTTAGTTGGGGTTCTTTTCCAGCTGTAGGGACAAATAAGTTGATGTTGAGTTCATCTTCATTAATTGATAAAGTGGTGGTTGATAGGAAGTATAAAGCCAAGAAACCCACTGCTAATAGAAAAAGAGAAGAATTTTAATCCAATAGGCTTTGTTCTTGGGTGTTTACAGGTTTCTTTCTCTTTTCCTCTCCCGTCCACAGGAACCACTATCTCTCTTCAAACAACTAATAGTCTCTTGGATTTATTGTGTTACTATGGTGACCAAGAGCCCCCAGATGATTATCATTTTCAACAAAGTCAACAGTCTGAAGGATTGGTAATAGCTTTCGGCATTGATTTTTTTGTTGTTGTTTTGTTATTGTTGTTTTTAAGTTTCTTTAGGAAATAATGCCTTCTCAGACTAGGACAAATTCCTGTGCTGAGTGTCAGAGTACTACTAGTAAGAGATGTGTACTGAGGTGTAGTGTGGTACAGTAGCCTTGATAAAAAGCATTGCAAAAGGAGGAAACTTTTAAATGATTATGTTAACCCTGATCCCCTTAGGAATATTTTGTTCTCAACTACCATATATTCAGGCAAAGCTTTGAGCAGAAATGTTTAGAACAGTCCTTCTGTCACTTAGGTGATAACATGATGTAAAATGGTCAAGGAGAAAGACTCCATGGCCGTGGCCCCTTCCAAAATTCATATATATGAGGGCAGAGGGAGGTGGCATATTAGGCTGGAATTTTAAAAATCAGTGTTGTGCCAGTGGCTGCCTGTAATAGAATCATAGCCTATCTTTCAAACAAAATAGATTAAAAGAAATCCTTTAGATCAGGTGAATGGCCGTGTGTGACTTTTTCATGTGGTGGAACTGGAATTTGAACTCAAGGCTTCGCGTCTGCAAAGCAGATGCTGTACTGCTTGAGCCGTGCCTCCAGCCCATAATTTTTGTTTTTTATGCTTTTAATTGCAAAGACTCTTTAAGCAATGTAGATGTCTAATAATGCATGACCACATTATGGTGAGTGTTTTGTACTCATTGAGGGTGCTAATGTAGACCTTTTAGTATGGAAAGATTTACAATGTAAGTGGAAAACATTTTTCCTGAAAGTGCTAAAATACTTAAATCTGAACTCTTTGAGCACTACTAGTGGAAAATTCCACACCTAAACTCATGTGACTGCTTGCAGTCAAACTCAGGCAGACTAAAGATACTGTATAAAATTATCTTTATGTTCTGTGTCTAAGATGTATATGATATATAATAGAATTTCATATTTATAATAGAGTCCCATTCCCACAATATTTTACATATGTATACGCACATATTCTAAGATCCAGAAACATCTAGAATCTGAAATATTTCTAGTCCAAAATGTTTTGGATAAGGGCTACTCATCCTGGCTATGTTTGTTTTTATAAATGTTTTTATGTATAAGAAAAAGGTTATGTTTAAAACATGCATCTAGGTTGGTGGGATTAGGGGCATTTTTTTTTTTCCTAAGTTTTTCTCCACTAAATAAGCTTTATTTATATGTAGAGTAACTTAAGCCTTCTGAAATACATAGGCAGTGGGTAAGTCATACCTATCCTTACAAAGTATGTTGTTATGAAGCCCTGGCCTGGATGGCCTTAGGCTCCCCAACCCCAGCTCCTGAAGCAGCAGGCTACAGAGCCAGCACTAGTCTCTGCAGTGCCAACCAAGCAAGCTTCTGTGTCAGCCTCATCCTGGAGCTTGGCTTATACATAAAGGACAAGATTTAATCTTTACTTTTTAAAGATTTTAGCTTGCTTTAGTCAGTGTTAGACAGTAACTATATGTTGTCAGATTCTCTTGCTTTCACCCTAATCATGAACAGTATTTACCTATTGATTAAGCTAGTTGTAGCCTCTGAGAAAGCAGGCTGTACTTTTTTGTTTTCTATTACAGGGGCCAGGTTTGCTTTTCCTTTTTAAATTCACTGACTTATACTCAAGAAATTAACTGTGGGTGTGAATATTTTACTGGATTTCTTTTTGCCTTTTGCTAGATCTATAGTCACTTTACTTTTTTGAATTCCCTTTGGCTTTCTGATTGTAAGTAGTCTGCCTCAGTGTGAATCTTCCATTGTCTTACCTTTTATATTTCTTGATAATGATCCATTCTAGGAAGAGGCTACAGAGGAAAATAATGAAACATCTAAGACGAAGGCTGATCATCCAATTGGAGTTACTTGGAAGTATGTTATGCCTAATTAGAATCTTGTATTTGTGGGTTTTTTTTTTTTTTTTTTTCCCATGGTGTGTGGAAAATAGGTTCCATTGCCTCCCCCACCTTAAGATGTAGCTGTGTGATGTTTTGAGGTAGAATTTGTCTTCATTGTGCAATATAAGTTTCACAGTTTTCAGTCATATGATTTTGACTCTTTTTTTCTTTTTAAAATTGTCTCACTATGTAACCCAAGGCTGACCTCAAACTCTCAATCCTCCTGCCTCAGCCTTCCGAGTGCTGGGATTATACTTCTATGCCACCACTCCCAACTTAGACTTTTTTTCTTAAATTCTTTACCTCCATCCAGCAGGACAAGAATCTGTTTAAGGATTGATCTGGGTTTTGTTTTTTGTTTGTTTTTTCTCCCATTTAACTTGGCATAACCTTCATGTCATATGGTTCCTTTGGTAGTTTTATCAGTAGTGCTAACTTGGTTTATAAACCCCTAATTCTGAGAGATTTGATATTTTGTTTACTGAAAATTACATAGACAAGAGAATGTACCATCAAATTAAGACTTGACTAGCAAGCAGAACTATTTAGCAATTTAAACAAAAAGTGAAATACCATGTATGCATGTCAGTAGAAAACTACCAAAAATCCTTTTTGAAGTGATTAATATAAGTGTAGATTAAATTTCTTGGTAGATATTAATAATTTTGAATAGTAAGCTGGTGAAGTAGCTCAAATGATAGAGTGCCTGCCTAGCGAAGCATGAAGCCTGAGTTCAAACTCTATTACCACCCCCGCCACACCACCATTTTGGAAGGTGTTCAGGAGTATGGGCTTTGGAGTAGAATCTTGGCTCACATCCTAGTTCTGTCTGATCTCTGTAATACTGTTAGGGGAGAATCAATATACAGGATCTTTTTTTTTTTTTAAGTTAAAGGAGAAGAGATAAATGTATACATGGCTAGCATATAGCATAAAGGATCAACCACTGTTGTCAGTGGTTGCCTCTGGGAAGTCTATCCTAAGATTCAAGGAGGATGGGAAAACTACTATCTACCCTGTCATACAGTTTGCTTTTTGTTTTTAATCTGGGTATTTATCACTTGGTTCATAAACATTTCCTCTTCAATCCTGGTTATGCCTCTTAACTGTAAAGCCCTGGACAATTTACTTAAGGTCTTTGAGCCTGAAATTTTTCTATTTTCAAGACAGTGATAACCATTTCTCTCTCTCTGGATGGTAGAATTACTTGGGATTGTAAGCATAAAGTAATTGGCATGTTGCCTAGAATATTGCAAACTCATTAAATGGCAGCAGCTATTATTACTAGTTCTCCCTTTCCCTGTTTCACAGTTTTTCTGTTGTATCTAGAGTGAAAAACAATGCTGAGAGAGTCTTCGCTCTAATGCCAGAGAAGAACGCACATTCCTACTGCACGATGATCCGAGGAATGGTTAAGGTACATTTGTTTTATTTTCATCTTTAAAGTCCATTAAGTTAAGGTTTCTCACCTCAGAACTATAGGTTAAATATTTCTTACTGAAATGCTTGAGACCAGAAGTAGTGTTTCATATTGAGAATTTTTAGGATGTTCACAAACATAATGAGATATTTTGGCATAGGACCAAATCTTATCTGAAGTTTACTTATTTTATATGCACTTTAGACACAAAGCAGGAATTTCTAATTTTATTTATTTATTTGAGACTGTCTCCCAAGTTGCCTAGACTAGAATTGAACTTGGCATTCCTCATGTTTTAACCTCCTGAATAGATGGGGCTACAGGCACATGCCACTGCACCTGCCACAAAAATAATTTTGGAGTATGTTTTTATGGCCCTGGATTTTGTCTGCAACCTGACACATGGGGTCAAGTCTAGAATTTTTGTGCTTGGGTTGTTATGTTCTCATCAAGTTTCAAATTTAGTAGCATTTTGGGTGTTGGACTTTTTTGGATTAGGCCTGCTCAACCTGTCCTAATATTTTGGAACAGGTAATTTGGCAGCGGGGGGGTGGGGTGGCAGGGAGCTATCTTATACATTGTAGAACATTTTTGTAGCCCCCTGTACTCTACCCATTGTATGTGAGTAATGTACTCCTCCCCCACCTTCAGTTGTCACAACTGAAATGTCTCTAGGCATTACCCCTTGGGTAGAAAACCAGTGCACTGAAGTATAAGCTTTATGAGAGTGGGAGCCTGGTCTGTTTTACTTGCTGCCACATTCCCAACCCTGGAACAGTATTTGTGCATATACTGCTATAATGAATTTGATGATGTTTTCTTTTTTCTTTCCCTCTTCAGCACCGAGCTTATGCACAGGCATTAAACTTGTACACCGAGTTGTTAAATAACAGACTGTGTGGTGAGTTCCAGAATTCCCCTGCATCCCTTTCTCCTTTGCTTTCCTTCTTCCAAGAATCTGTGTGAAATCTTTGAATCTTGCCTCAGTCATTGGCCCACATTTTGTTTTCTCCTGAGGCATTGATAATCTGCAGGAGTAGATGCCCAGTTTTATAGACTTGGTGATTAACCAAGAGATACTACTTTGTCTTCAGCTTGACTCTTTAGAGGCAAATCTTTAACCCCAAATTTTGTTAAAGTAGTTTTCTTTTATAGCTGATGTATACACTTTCAATGCGCTGATTGAAGCGAAAGCATCGATGATTAATGAGAAATTTGAGGAAAAATGGAATAATATACTGGTAAGGAAGAACTTCCACTCATCTTTTTATAGGCTTTTACTGAAAGACATGGGGTGGATATAGCATTCATTTGAGCATCTATGTGGCAGTCACTGCTCTCAAATAGCAGTTTTCTGTTTACTGCCTTTGCAATGATCCTGTAAGTTAGGTAGCTATATCTGACACATGAGAAGAAAAAGTTGCTTGACCCAGAGTATGCAGCTAGAATTTAGGAAAACTTTGCCTTAATCAGTTTTTATTGTAAAATTTCTGTTAGCTAAGTAACTCAGGAAGATAAATGTGTTTTTATACCATACTGGTCTGTTCTTTTGCTTGAGCTTGTTTGTTTGTTTTTGTCTTTGTAAAAGACTCATTAGGTGGAAGGCTGAAGACAGACACTTTGATCATGTAGGGTGTATGACAAAATTAGCAGGTCTGGGAGTGTGGCTCAGTAGGTAGACTGCCCGCCTAGCAAGTGCAGTTCCCTGAATTCAAACCCCAGTACTGCCAAAAAGAAAAACTACATAAAAGACAGGATCACTAGTAGTGCTGATTAGCAAAAAAATTTTTTAAATAGAGGCTGACCTGCTTCAGATAGCCAGAAAGTTAAATTTTCTTTGTATAAAATACTGTTTTATCAGATTATCCAGGAGTAAAAAAAATAATCTTGCTTTGGATTCAACTAGGATCTGCTGAAACACATGGTGGCACAGAAGGTGAAACCAAATCTGCAGACTTTTAATACTATTCTGAAATGTCTCAGGAGATTTCATGCACTTGGAAGAGTGCCAGCCATACATACCTTACGTGAAATGAAAGCTATTGGAATAGGTAAGGGTGCATCCTGACTAAACTGCTGACTAGAGATTTCAGGCCACAAAAGCAAAGAGGTCTAGAAATTCTTTTGCTGTCTTATAATGTGTTAGGATTTCCTTTCCATAATTTGGAACACTTAATTACAAATGCAGTTGGCCCTTTGAATCCATTGATTAAACAATCCCAGACTGAAACTATTGAGGAACAGAATTCTGAACATGTACAGGCTTCTTCTTGTTTTCTTTATTCCCTAAACAATGCAGTGTGAGAACTACTTATGTAGCGTTTGTGTCATGTTAGATATTACAGGTCATCTAGACATGAATTGAAGTATGTGGGGTGGCTGTAAGTTTCATGTAGATACTATGCCATTTTACATAAAGAACTCAGGATTTGAACATGGGGGCAAGTCTGGAATCCATTCCCCATAGGAACATCTTCATGTTCTTCACATCAGATTGCACTGATTTTAGTATTTTGTTTTTTTATTTATAGATGTCTTAATTCTGAAGCGGACTGATCACTTTGTTAGCTAGTTTTAAATTCTGTGACATTTTGCTAGCATAATTAGCTATTTGAACTCAAACATCTATATATGTGTATTTCAGTAATTATTAAGGGTTCATTGAAGTAATTATTTCATTTTTTATGAATCAGTTCATTTCATTATGCTTTACTGTTCTCAGTGAAGAATGTTAGTAATAAGTATTTTGTAAAGTAATGCAATTATTGTGACTTTATTTTTACATTATTGAATGGGAAATGTCCATTCCAAAGAATGAAATGCATCTTTTGCTTAAATATTAAGTGTCATACTTTCTAGTTCAATGTGTCTTAGTAAGCTGCATTTTTGATTGCTATGTTTTACTATATTTCTTATTTTTTCTGTCCCCCTGGTATTTTGAGAACCCTCGCTTGCAACATACCACCATATTATTCAGGTGTTTTATCAACATGGTATGTATTACCTTAGATTATTTTAATTTATGTAAAAAGTTAACCATTTCCTTTGCATTTGTGCAACTAATTGTTGAAGGTTACTTTATCTGCATATAAATTAAGAATAGAGAGTTCAGCTGTTTGTGATGGCACAGGCCTGTAATTCCAGCACTCAGGGCTTGAGGCAGGAGAATCAAAAGTTCAAAGCCAGCCTGGGCTTCATAGCAAGATCCTATCTCAAAAAAAATTAAGAAAGAGAAAATTTGTAAATCACGTACAGCCTAAGCAAAGAGTTTTTCTTGAGGGTGGAAATAATCTTGATTTTGATGTATAACTGGAACTGGTGTGGCAAGAGAGGGAATATAAAGAGGAATGGAGTTCCTTTTGCTCTCTAGAGCAGGGCTGTTCAGTACAGTAGCCAGTGTAGTTAGTTATTTAAACTAAAGTAAAAACAAAAAAAATGTGGCCTTAGGGCTCAGCAGTCAGTGTTGCTAGTGCCTACCATATTTGATGATACAGATGTAGGATATATCCATTTTTACACAAAGTTGGTGGATGGTGCTGCTCCAGAGAGAAATTGTCCTTATTTAAAACTTTGGCAGTACCTTGACACTCCATTTGTCAACTAGTTTTAAGACAGTTTGTATCTGTGGTGCCGTGCTTTGTGTAATGTGATTTGGATTAAGGCTCACCCGAATTGAAATCTCAGTTCTACCATTTATTGATCAGTTCAGTAAACAGGGACTAGATAACCTACCTGAGAATACCATCAGGATTGGTGATGAAATGAGTAACATAGTGCTTGTACTGTGCTTGAAGGCACATAGCAGGCTCTTAAGAATCTTTCTATTCTTATTTATTCATTCCCCAGGAAAGCACCATTGAGTTCTGAAGTGATGATTCTTAGTCATTCCTAATCAAAACAACAAAAAGTAACCCAGCTCTCTCTTGTTTAGAAATTAAAATTGGCAAGTCCACACCCTGATCTGTACGCAAATTGGATGTTTTGTTTGTTTTTACGTGTGTGTGTGTGTGTGTGTGTGTGTGTTTGTTTTAGAAAAAAATCACAGGTAACTGACTTTATTTGGCCACAAATAAACAGTTTTTACAATAATTGTATCCTCAAAAATTTTACTCATCTGGTGAGATTGTAGAGAAACTAGTGTTTCTAAGCCTAAAGTTTATTCCTGCCATCGTACGTCAGTTTGGTTTAGTAAAGTCGGTGGTGTGCTTCCTAAGTAACAGCCATGACTGTGATGACAAGGGAATGGGGAGGCATGTCAGTTTGCCTTCCGTGTATCAGTTGGCTGTGTGTGCAATAACAATTTCTAGAAATCTACTTAAGAACCTAAAACAGTAATACATATAAAATAAAATACATGTAACTAATAAAAGAATTAGGCGTGTTAGCAAATGACTGTTTTAGGAGATTACAACTATAATCACTTGGATGTAGAAAAGATAGGTAATGTAGATAAATACCGTTGGTGAATTTTTTTTTACCTATTAGTACTCTGTGATTTGTTTGGGTGACCTTTTCCTGAGGGGCAGGGGAGAATGTTGAATTCAGGGCCTTGTGTTTGCTAGGCAAGTGCTTTCCCACTTCTTCTATGCCCCAGCCATGCTTTTTGGTTTTGAGACTGGGTCTTGCTGTGTAGTCCAGGCTGGTCTAAAATTCAACTTGGATTCTCCTGCCTCAGCCTCCCAAATGCTAGGGTTTACAGCATGCACCACCAGAGTCATTTTTTTAAAGAACTGCCCATATCCATTAATTCTATAATTTACTTTTTGTTCTCATCTGATTATACTCAAAAAGAACACAACTGTTTATTAGCAAATGATATGTTTTTCTAAGTGTGTTGGTTTGGTGAGGGTTGTGGGTATTGTGTTGTGTGTGCCGGTATTTGCCCCCACTCCAATGAAAGGTGAGCTTCCTCTGAAAAGACTAAGAAGGAAAGGAAATTTTTAACCTGAACACTGGACAAAGACCTATGGTAAGGGCTACTGCAATGTCTGTAGTGGTAGAGCACCTGCCTAACGGGCATGGAGGTCTGGAGATCAAACCCTAGGACCACCAAAAAAAAAAAAAATTGCCTGTGCTGGTGTCTCACACCTGTAATTCTAGCTACTCGGCAGGCAGAGATCAGGAGGATCACAGCTCAAAGCCAGCCTGGGCAAATAGTTTGCGAGACCCTGTCTCGAAACTACCTGTCAGGGCTGGCAGAGTGGCTCAAGTGGTAGAGTGTCTGCCTAGCAAGTGTGAGGTCCTGAGTTCAAACCCCAGAACTGCCAAAAACAAAACAAAACAAAACAAGAAAATACTCATCACAAAAAAAAGGCTGGTGGAGTGGCTCAAAGTAAAGGCGCTGAGTTCAAGCCCCAGTACTGAAGAAAAAAAAAAAAAAAGAACTATGCTCCAGATCTTATAGACTTGTACCCTGTGCAGTGCAGTATTTACTTTAGTGAGCATTTACTCCTGCTCAGCTCTATGCCAAGCGTTAGGTTCAAGATGGTGGAAAGAGATAGAAGTCCCTTTGTACTAGGTACTGTGAATTTCGTGGTGGTATAGGAAGAGGTAGACTCCTACTAAAAACCCCTTTGCCTTTTCGTCTTTAGGAAGCTCTTCTAAAAGACCATCTCTCATCATCTATGATATAATGAATGAATTAGCAGGAAAGAAATTTTCTCCAAAGGACCTGGATGATGGTGTGTACAGAAATTAGTTATATTATCCCTATCTTATCTTAAAGCTTAGACTGTTTGCCTGAGTATCAATCTATCCTATGTTAAGAGCGAAGTTTAATTAGCTTAGTAATATTTGGGGTGAATATTTTGAGAAAACCAAATATTTCCTTAGCTTTACCTTGCATGTGACCTATTTTGTTGACAGGGTTTTTATTAATGTTAGTGAATTGAAACTGTATTTCATTCATAGCAACCAAAGCTCTTATGAACTTTCGATTTTCAGATTTGTTTTTTCAGTCAGCCATGAACGTTGTAAGTACCATTTCTTGCTTAAGTTCATTTTCCTTCTTCTGTTCATGTTTTTGTTTCTGTTTTATTCTTTCTCTAATACATATGGTTTTAAAAGGTAATATCCCTAGTCTTTGTATTTTGTATATTGTATCTGTTGCCTTTTTTCATGCCTCTATTCTGATTAGCTTTCAGAATATTTCATATTCAACTATCAACTATCAGTTAAATTTTTAAATTTATTTTTATTTTCGTTTTTTATTTTATCATGCTCATCATGGGAAAAATTTCTTACGGTTTCAGAATAAAGTACATCTTTGTTTCCTAAGGATAACTGCATTACATTTCAGTACATATCCTCCAGAGTTTTTCCTATGGGTACTGACAAACATGCTCAGACACACCTCCACTATGATATATTTGTTGACAGCAGTCAATATTTCATAGGAGGGAGGAACTATAAATATATGTGAATTTTATTTTTAAATTTTTTCATGTAGTTTTTGCTTGTACAACAACGCTGGTTTGAACAGTCCATATCTCTGGTAGGATTTGTTTCTAAGGGTTTTATTGTTAAATAAAAATAAATTTGTTGTAAATTTCACAAAACTTGGGTCTCCCTCTCCTAGTTTTTTATAACTTATTTGCTATCAACCAGTTAATGGAATAAGCATAGGTATTTGCTCAAAGAACGATATGCTTTTTTCCTTCATGTAACGAATTTAGCTTATAAGAGTGTCAGAGTAATACTACTTGGAAATTTTCAGTGCTCTTCTCTCCGAGATCTAGAACTTGCATACAAGGTACATGGCCTTTTAAACATGGGAGATAACCGGAAATTCATTGGACCTGATTTTCGACGAAACTTCTATTAGTAAGTATTAAAAATGTGTCCTTTTGTTTTAGTTAGTAGATTCTGCCAATGGGAGAATACCAGTGACCCTCCATATCTCTGCTCTGGTTTTGTCAGAATGCTTATTGTTTTATAGTATATATTAATTGAGCATTTAGAAATTAAAGCATGGTAACATTACCAGATTTGGAAGTCTAGTATGTATTCTTTGATAAACTTTAAAATAATATATCTTTTTCCTCTACTTCCTTTATGTATTTTCAAGTTGTAGCAGAATGAGTGCTTCTTCCCAATTCCTTGCTTTTGTATTTAAGGGCGGGGGTAGAGGGCTGATGATGGAGAGTGATGGTTGGGGGTGCATCTTACCAAGGTACACTGTAAGCATATATGACAATGTCACAATGAAACCCCCTGTGCCATTATATATATGCTAATAAAAATGTTTAAAGAAAAAGAAAATGGAGCACAGACTCCATCAGTAGGTTTGCTCTTAGGCAGATAAAACATAAAATTAAGTGGCATCCTGGCAGTCCTGTGTGAGGATTGTTTTCTGTCTGTCCAAATCCTTGCTTCACATTGCATGCTTTTAATAGGAACATGTTCAGTGTCTTTGTGCCAGGACTTGAGCGTTCACTGAGGAAGCTCAGTAAAATGACCAGTTGAGGGTCAGAAGATATTAATTGGGAGATAAGCACAGTTAGTACCTCCTCAGTCACTGGCATATGTAACTTGAAATTATTTGTATAGCACATCATTATATAACTATGCTATTTCACTCATCACAACTTTGACTAAGTGTGCTTTTTCTCTATGTTACAGTTCCAAGTTTTTCAATTTGCTTTGTCTGATGGAACAAATTGATGTCACCTTAAAATGGTATAAGGACCTGATACCTTCCGTAAGATTATTCATTATTTGTCATTTATCTTTGTAGATTAAGTCATCTCTACTGGTAAATGCTGTAAAATAATACTTGTATTTCTCTTAATCAGGTGTTTTTCCCCCACTCCCAAACATTGATAGCTCTTCTCCAAGCGTTGGATGTGGCCAATCGGCTAGAAATGATTCCTCAGATTTGGAAAGGTCAGTAACATTATTGTTAGGGATGAAAACTTTGATTTTTAACTGAATTGAACTCATTGAGTGAGGTCTGTTTCAAGGCCATTGCTCATGTTGAATATTGGGTGACTAACATTTGTTGAAAATGACCTGTGTGACATGAGAACAAGCTCATTTTATGAGCTCATTTGAGAGATGTAACTTAGGGAAGATTGGTGCTAGTTATGTGGCAGACTATACCTGATTGCTGATCTTTCACCTTAAAGCCTATGCAGCTGCTTTGTCACAGGTTGTTGTTGATCCCTCTGGTTCAGTGACAGCCAGAGGCTATAACTGTTCGTAGTTAACAGCCATGAGCATGGATTGTGTGGGGGTTTGTTTTTAAAATGTGTAAATTGGCTGCAAGGTGAGACACAGATACTCAGTTTCTTCTGCTGGTGACTATTATATCCTTTATCGTAATAAAGTTTCAATTTTCATGTTTGAGAAATTGAAACTATAGTCCTTCCATGCTACTTGATAAGACTGCTGTAATGACTGTATGAGAACAGTGAGCATAAATGCTGTAAAACGGTATCTTACATTTGGAGCTGGCGGCTGCCCAAACGTAGTGCATGTCTGTACTTTAACATTGACTGGAGGCAGGTTGCTGGCAGTGGCTTTCACTGCTCTTTACTTTTTTATGAACTATGAATCTCCTGCTGACTTTCTGGAATTCTGGGATAAGCTTGAATAGATAATGTCAGCAACTTTTTTACTCACCAAAAAATACAAATAACAGCCAGTAGTGGAGAAAGGTCAGCCAAAAGTTTTACATTTTGGTGACCCACTCTTGTTTCCCTTTTTTCTTTTAAGACAGTAAAGAATATGGTCACAAGTTTCGCAGTGGCCTAAGGGAAGAAATCCTAATGCTTATGGCAAGGGATAAGCATCCACCACAGGTAGGGGCTATCTTTAAACTCAAGTGTCATTGTCATTATAAGATGTGTTCTATCCAGCATCCTTTGATACTGAGGCCCATTCAAGAGTAGTTTCCTTGGTTTCATCTGTCATTGTTTAGAATTCTGCCACCCAAACCCAGATTTAGGTTATGATGCATATGTGTTCCTCTTAGCCAGGGTTTAAACTTGGGGTCTTGCACCACTTGAGCCGCTCTGCCAGTCCCAGAACAACATTCTTAAAGTCACTTTCATTCCTTTAACCCAAAGCAAGCAGCAGGAAAGTAGCTGTCAGTCCTGACAGTGAATAGCACCTTACTTTTTAAAAAAGTCCATCTAAAACAAAAACTCGTAGTTGAATTTGAAAGATGTAACTAATCAAACTATTCCAAGACAAGTCCCTTTCTTTTTTTGTGTGTTACTTTGTCTGCTGTACAAGTAATATGTTCATACGGTAAAATTCATTTTAATGGTCCTCTGGTAGTCTCCTGAACTTAAATTCCCATCAGACCAACTAGGCAGTTCTGCTGACTCTTAAGAACCTCTCAGCTGCAGATGGAATTTGCTGACTGTGCTGCTGATATCAAATCTACATACGAAAGCCATGATGCGAGGCAGACTGCTCCTGATTGGCCTGCCAACATTCTCAACTGTATAGCTGTCCTCTTTTTACGGGCTGGGAGAACACAGGAAGCCTGGTGAGTGAGTACAAGATCACAAGTGTACAGTAGAATTTGTATTCAGATCTAAAACATTTACCCAGGTCATAAACAGAAGTTCTCTAACTTGACTGTGTGATTCATAGTTTATCAGGAGTCCAACCAGAGTATGTACTGAGTTTTCATGGGAACTTACAATAAAACAGCTAAACAGCAAACTTCTGAAAGACTAATAAGCATGATATATTTAAGTAGAGTGAGGTTCAGAAAAATCCTCTTTCAGTTTCTGACCTTTATGTTTTCTGCATTACTTAAAACCTCACTTCTCTGCCCTCTTAAATGGAACAAAGTGATCAGGGAACTTTATATTTGAAAAACTGTTGATAATTTGAGTTATTGAAGTGTCATTTATAAATGCTGGCTCCCACCCCTACCCCCGTGGGCTGTGTGCTTAGACTACTGGAAACTGGCATTTATTAAACAGCCTTGATGAGAACCCATCTTTTTCTTGTGCCGCTGTATTCTGGATATATGTGTTTATCAGCACTTCACTCACATACTGATTTTCAGTGTTTGTGAATGGGGACCTTGTGCAGATTCATTTTTCCCATAAGTAGAGAATTCAATAAAAGAATACTTTGTAAGGGAGTCACAGTTAGGTGGTTCATTGCTGTATTTTGTGTTGGACATGAATGTATGTTCCATGGATTAGTAAATGCATAGTACTTTCACATGGCTTCTTGCCTAAGAAAGTGACATGATTTGAACATCAGTCCAAAATGTGTCTGTTAACTGTGTAGAGGAGAAGATACCTAACTTGTCTTTGAAGTGTGACACATAACTTGCTTGCAGCTGTGCTGGTAGTGACAGACTTTGGCACACATGAACCAGGCTGTGATGATTGGCGCAGGGGTACGGACCTCAGCTAAGTCATGGGAGCTGAATGTATGTGTTTCACCTTTGTCCTGCATGTGGCAGGTTAATGGTGTGCACTTACATGAGACTGTTGCCTCAATCTGAGCCTGTTCTTCACAAACAAGTTGACTGACCCAGGCCATGTTTTAAGAGCAGGTTAGGCTGTATCACATGTCTCTTTTCCACCCACAAGGAATGTATGATGTAGCCCTCCCTGGAGGACAGTCGATCCTCTGTAAGAGGATAACATCAGTTCTCAACACTGGCCAGTTCTCATGTTTACTTGTAAAACTTGTAATGTGAACTTGTGGAGTTTGGTGTGTGAGCAGGGGAGGTTTATGCATCTGAGGTGATTCTGATGCATAAGAACGAACCTACAAGTGTGTGTCTTCAGTAACTTAACGGTATAGTTAGGAAGAAAATGACACTCTTATCTCTAAATCGGGGCGGGTACAGCTTACTGATTTTCTTCTGTTTCTCTATTAGTAATCATCTTTCTGTTTGTACAGGAAAATGTTGGGGCTTTTCAGGAAGCATAATAAGATCCCTAGGTAAGTTGAAATTAACAGGCTGAGGTCTGTACTCACTGTACCAAGTGAGCTTGGTACAGGCTGGAATTAGCTGTATGGCCTTTGACTCTTACTGTGGGTGATTAGAATTTGATCACATCCTTAGTCATCATATTTGCCACTCTTTGATAAGCAAACAGGCAGTCAGTCTCCTATTGTCCATGGCATCTTGAAGTACAGTTTTTTGTCTGTGCTTAGTGATTGCAACACATTGGAGATATGTTTATAGATCTTCAATGCAAGTATAACAAATAAATATTCATTATCTTGTTGGGCCTTTAAATTTAATCTCTGTGTCACTTGACTTGAAAGCTATTATTGAGGATCTTATGAGTGAACTTACTCTGGATTTTGCCTTTAAATTTTTTTCTTTCTGCAGAACTGGGCATTGAACCTGCGGCCTCACGCTTGCTGGGCAGGAGCTCTAGTAGAGTTATGCCCCCAACCCTTTTTGCAGGCCTGCCTGGACCACAGTAGTATTTGTGCTTGCTGGCCAGGACCACCCTATCTGTACTTCCCCTTGTAACTAAGATGACAGGCATGCACCCCCATGCCCATCCTTGGTTGATATGGGGTCTTACAAACTTTTTGCCTGGATTGGCCTCAAACCTCAGTCCTCCTGCTCTCTGCCTCCCAAGTAGCTAGGATTACAGGCTTGAGTCACCACACCTGGCTGCCTTGTAAACCTTTGATTAAAGGAGTTAAGGAGTCCAGCTTGGGCCGCTTCACATTTCACCTTTATTTTACAGAAGTGAGTTGCTGAATGATTTTATGGACACTGCAAAAGTGTCCAACAGCCCTGCCCAGGCTATTGAGGTTGTGAAACTGGCAAGTGCCTTTAGCTTGCCTACTTGTGAAACCCTTGCCCAGACAGTAATGACGGACTTTGCAATCAACCCAGAACAAAAGTAAGTATGGCCTGACTCTTCATCAGGAGGAAGCAGGCTGTTTGTTCACATTTACAGCTCTATGTGTTCTGCATTTCGTTCCTCATACAGAAAGTCAGGGTGTAGTGATTTGATGATTATTGCATTTGTCATGCAAGCCAAGGAAGCCTATAGATCAGGTTCCTTTGTTTTTAAAATAGTTGGAGTGCTGCTGCAGGATCCCTTTTCCTGATTTCAGAACTGATGAGATTACGTAGATGAGTGTAAGAGAAAGGAAACATCCCAGTCTGATGGGCGGCAATGTAACCTCCAGTTTCTTTTCCTTACAGGGAAGCTCTGGCCAACCTAAATGCATTGACCAGTGACAGTGATAATGGGAGCAGCAGTGACAGCGACAGTGATGTCAGTGAAAACAATTGAAAGTGAGAGATGGCTTCGCCATAGCTGTTGTGGAATATATAACAAAGAGAGTAAGATGAGGCAGATTTAGGTCAGTTTGTCGCTGCACAGTAGATACAATGCTGACTTTACATTGAGCTTCTAACTGAAGCTCAATGTAAAGCATCCATTAACGCAGTGCACAAGGTTTTCCATGTACACAGCAGCACTGTCGTTCCAGATACGGACACACATCCTGAGGTCCGAGGCTCCTGGTGGAGACACGCCCTGCACACCTGCAACCTTGGCGGGGATTTTTCACTGTCATCATTTGCGTGCTGTTGCTCTGCAGCCGTTGTTGGCTTGTGTGCTGCTGTGGTGCTGGTCCTTCCTTGACTTTAGAGATAATTTAGAAAAGGTTCTCCTGCAATTACATCAAAATTACTGTTGGATCAGTAGTATCCCAATTTCAGTTGTATTTAGATGTGAATAATTACATTTTAGGGTTGGTTAAATGGGATAATGGCAGTTTGGGACTGCTCAAATGGTAAAATGAAGACAAGTAAATGTACTAATTATTGTACATATGTATTCTTGTTATTTTAAAAATTTCTAATAAAGCGTTTGTTTGGGGTTGGGAGTGTTAGCTTGGTAGCTCTTGTTGAGGATGCATGAGACCTTGTGTTTTATCCCCAGCACCACCAGAAAAAAATAACTTTTTTGTTTAGTCTGTGCTGGCACCTTTTTTGGTACTATACCTAAAGTGACCTAAATGGGGGCTAGTGTTGACAAAAGGATGCAGAATGTCTTAATATGGTTATATGTTGCTGATCAAGTTAGTAAAGACTTGTACTTGTCGAATTTATGTCTTTTAAATGGTACTGGAAACCAGTAAGAAATCTGAGGTTTGCCAGAGCATTCTTAGATTCGCAGACATTTCTACTACAAGCTACTTTGTACATGCATGGTTCCTAGATTTACTAAGGCACCTTGTGAGCTTTATCTTCACCCTGCCACGGTTCACAATTTAAGGGATGCCTGTTACTTATTAACCTGCTTTTCCATCTACACTTACCATCTTCTCTAGGCCAAAACTAACTGGAAACATAGGCATTTGGTTCTGTTTTCACATAAAATGTAAGGTCCTAAGGCATCTAATTGAAGGGCAAAGGGGGAAAATGACAGCAAATTTAGAAGACAACAAAAAGAGCAGTTACTCTTCAGAAGCTGGCTGCCTAGAAGGCTCTGAATTTGGCCCCATCTCTATTTAGCTTATCAGCGCCTGGAGTTGTCCGCTCCCTTAAGTACATTATTCCTGAGCTGTGTGGCACACCTCTTCCCATCCAGGCCTTAACTGAATCATGTTGTGCTGCAGTTAGTGACACGGGACATCCACCCAGACTGTCAACATACCAATTCGTGCAGGGCTTTCATAGTGGGTGATAGGTAGCTCAGGAGCTTTGATTTTTGTGCTACAGATATGTCAAACCTCTGTACTCTGGCTAAAAAAAAACCTGCCTTGAACTGTTCTGAGAAAAATTGAAGCCTACAGGATATGTCCATTGTCTTGTGTTTATGCTTATCTGACCATAGTCTTCAGCATGTTCTGTCAGTAAAAGATGCTTTTCTATGCCACATTTTTGCTTTTAGTTCCAGCTGTGCCTTCAGGTGTATGTCCGTATTCCAATTCCACCTCCAGTTTTCCTTAATTTCTCAGGTTCCTACCTCTGGTCATAAACCTGTACAGATAGTTTTTTCTTATGAAATGTTAAAGTGGACTGTTTCTCAGTGTTGGTGCTTTTTCTCACTTTGTGTAGTCTGGTTGCTAACCATCTACAGTCTCCCTACTTTCTTCACGTTCATACATCTCTAGTACTATATTCCTAAAAGGCATTTATTAAAACAAGTGGCGGCTTGGTGTTTCAGGACCCGTAAGTTTTTAAGGTCTGCTCTAGAAGAACAGTGCAGAATAAGACTTCTCAGCTGTTTGTACCGGAGAAACTTATTTATAACCTGAATGAAACATTCATTCAGATTTTTGGGGAGGAAATTTTTGAGCTATAACTCAGATCCAGTTAGAATCAAGTTTTGAAAAGCCTCAGGATTAAAAAGGGATATAATGTTTTAATGATGCCACAAGGTCTCAGCATTGGCAGCATATAAACAATCATATGTTAAAAAATCAAAAGGCAGCCTTTTGTAAAGTGGGGACTGAAGCTAGTGAAGTGATTTCTGAATAACTTTTGTAAAAGGAGCAAGAACAACCAGAATATCAAAAGAACAGATGGCAGTAAGGACTCTCCTGCAGATGGCAGTAAGGACTCTCCTGCAATGGGAAGGGAGCAGTCTTAATATATATGGAATAAGTTGTTCACTGTTGCCTCAGAATTAGATTCTAATGTATGGAACTCCTTAGAAACTAGATTTCTGGTTCAGTAGAACATTTGAGGACTCTAAAATGGATATTATTATAGTCAAGGGAAAGGCTCAACAACATTGAAAGTTCCTAAATGGCTTTAGAATCAAATTCAAATCTGGAACCTAGGTCATAGTAGATGCCAACTGGATATTGAGTGCCACCTCTGCAAAAGTTCCATGGACCTTAAAACTTTTTGTCTGGTAGCCTTCACTGTGTAGATGCCACACCAAGAACTAGGCCCGGAGGTTAGATCACTAGTTATGTGCCCATATTCTATAAAAGAGGGTAGTGTTTAATCTTTTTGGGCTGTAGAGACCGATACCAGTTTTTGTGGGTAGTGGCCATGATTTCTTTTTAATAAAATGGATTAGGTGCAGTTCTGTAACATTTGTGATATATTTTCACATTGCAGCACAGATGTGTGCATACAGGTAACACATGCCTAAGTATACCAGATGATACAGACTTTACTGTTGGTCATGGTGAAAACAGTTTAGAAAGCACTGAAATGGTATGTGCTATGAGGTGGAATCTCTAGCATGGATGGGCAGGGCCAGTTTTATAAAATCTCTTAAGACTTTAAAGGTGAAATGGAATTTTACTAGCAAAAAGGGTATGCTTGATTTGGTTGATGTAAAGCTATCTGCTAGGATACAGGACAATGAAAAGGTACACAAGATCTGGGCAGTGAATAAGCCTTCAGCCTGGCCCAGGTTTGGGCCTATTACAAAGCACTGTCCAGATGAACCTGCTGTGGACTTTTCAGATGATTTAGTAATGCTGGGGATCAACCCCAAGAACGTATTTTCAGAGCTTAGCAATATTTAAGACTTGAAAACTAAGAACGTCCAAGAGGAATAAAGGTGATGACAATTTTTTCCCATGACAACCTAGACTTTGCTGCTGGTACACTGATGGAGTAGTTCCTGTAACAATGGCCCCTTTACTGTCTCTTGCCTCAGAACTCTTCCAGAACCCATTCCATAAACTTAACCAAGCGACAGAAACCAAGGTTACCCCACCACATGGGTAAGAGCTGTAAATGGCCAGTGACACACCAGCCCCCCCCCGCACCAGATATATCAAATGGAAAGAAGCCTAGACCAGTGGGAATGGTGATCACTGGGCCTGATGAAGATAACTTGACATGTAAGCCTTTTTATTTTCCTTTTAACTCAAATGATATTTTCTGTACCAAGTTAAGGCAAGTTACTTTAAAACTGGTGGGACAACCTATTTAGGACTTGGAGACTACTTTATCCAGAACCTTTAAGAGACCAAATGATTTAATACAAAGTAGCCTGCCTCAAAAGAAATAAGCTGAAGTGAAACTGATCTTCCCTAACTTCCCAGTACTGTACCTTTCCCCCAACTTGGCTCTTTGCATTTCATCTCCTTGATGTAGAGCTGAGATCCCTTTTGACTTTAAGGGCTGTAGAGGATACCTCAGGCAGACTGAGCTGGACTAGGCATGAGGAAAAACAAGGTCTGACAGTATCATCCCATTTCCTAATTAGTAATGGGGGTGCAGAGCTTTGTTAGAACTGTGTACTAATATTTGAGAACCAGCTGTTATTTTTGTCTTATTTTGTTAAGCTAAGATCAATCACTCCTGGTAAACTCAAATAATCACATCTGAAGGGAGGCTCTCAGGACTCCAAGAGAAATTAGATTTTCTGGCAATCTCTTCAGATTTTTCTGTGAATAAAATGTTAATTACACTCACTTCTAATATAACAAATATGTAAGTTTAGGTTTGCAAGTAAATGTATTTTGCAATTTCATGTCATTCCAAAGGGAAAGAAAGACTGAATTCAGAACAGCCTGTTATCTCCACATAAAATTTCCTAACCTCCAGTTAGTGCCCAGTGTGCCTCTTCCTTGGGAGATCAAGGGCAGTTCACAAAGCAGGAGCGCCCATCAGAGAAACTCAGTGTATTTTATCTATTTGCAAGGGAACTCGAGCATTAACATCATCTCAGGCCAAAGATGGACATACGTACTGTACCCCCAAATCAAAAAACAAGGTGAATGGTGTGCAGAGATCTGAATCTACACATGTACACTTACCAGAAACATAAACTAACTCCCTCATGATATGCAGATACATTGCTTGGAGAGGGGAGAGTGGCTCCTTAGTAATCTTATGAACACATAACCCCCACAAAATTTTAATTAAAAAACCGGCAATGTTTTTACTTAGAGATGGTAATTTTTAAGGAGTAAAAATAAAGTCAACAGGTAGGAATTAATGTTTACCCAGTATGCGTTGTTCTAGTCTTTAGCAAGGGGAACTGAGAATTATCTGGGTCTTAGAGCAGTCCAAATGAAAAACACAAAATTAATTCGATTCCTTCAGTCAGATTTCAGAATCACTACCTCCACCCAAGTATTAGAAAACAGCATGAGTAGGAATGGTTTGAGAACTGCTTTATGTAGATGCATATAGATGTGTGTGTGCTGGGTCACAATAAAAAGTAGGTTTTTCCTGTGGGTGGCAGTAAAAAAAGTTTGGGATGCAAGCTAATTCCTCATGCCTTCAAACCACTAAAATGTATCTCCAGCTATAACTACACTGGCGTTTTAAGGCTTGTACATCCCTCTCGATTCAACCAGCAGAAATCAATTCACCCAAACATTCAAAAGCCAAGAAGCAGGCCTTGGACTTCTGGTGACTCGTTCACAGCCTGGAAACTGGACAGAAGTTCCTACTTCTGCTTCTCGAGTTTTCTGCTCATATGACAAATTGGAAATGGTACTTTCTGAAAAGGGATAAGGTATTCAGTTTTCATCATGTTGCTTTATTCAGTTTACTCCAAGGGCAGAATCAAGAGTAGGGATCACAAACATTATTTTGATTGGCTCACAAGCCTGATCAGTAAAACCTGAAAAACAGGAAATGTTATACAAGTTGCAAAGGAAGCACTCCTGGAGTTCACAGACACGATAGCAAGTGGAACGATAATGCAACAGGTGTTAACATTTAGCACAGGACTGTAACCTGTTCTAGACAATTCTGGGACCCTTGTTGCAAACCCTTACATCACTGCTGATTTCCTTGGAAATGAAATAGGACGTTACACAACTCTTCCTACACCTTACTCTTGTTGCACTCGAGTGGTTCCTATTCCTACAGCACTGGCATATGCTGTCAAGATCTCCACTATCTGTTTAGTTTCTAGGGTCATTCGAGCTTCCTTCAGCCAGTCCTGTGCCACTCGTCTGGACTCCCCTTTCAGCTGATTGACAAACTTTGCTGCCAGCTCCAGGTCACCATGCTCAATGCAATAGGAGGCATATGACAGTAACTTAAATGTGTTTATGTCCTCAGGGTATAGCTCTGCCGGTGGCTTCAGTTGTTGTGATGGGAATAGGAGCAGGGACTGCAAATAGGAGAGGAAGTACTGGTACAAGCTATTTCTGGTTTCATCAATCATTGCTACCCTTCTGGCTAGTTTTTGGACAGCATAGAAACGGGCCCTCAGGGTCTCTTCACTGTAAACCCCCGAGTCAGAGACTCTGGAGGAATAGCAGCAGTTAAAGCTTGGGCAAATTCATTATCAGAACAGTTGACTCTGATAGCCTCAACTGCACTCTCCAGCGGGACAGTACGCCTATCTGCAGATGAGGTCTTCATGCTGTATTTTAATGCCTCCACAGAAAGCCAGAGTTGGTGGGCTTTTCTGGCTTCTTCTTCAGCAACTGCATGACCTAGAAAGAAAAAAAGACATAGAAAAATGCTTTTCTCCACCTGATTCACATATATTCACAGAACAGATGCACTTTCAATAAGCTAAATCATACATGTGGATGATGAGGCCAGAGAGCCTCCTACAATCCACCTTCCCACTACACATTTCTGAGGTGTTCTTTCCTAGTTAGCCTCTTCATACGAGGCAATAAGGCAAGGCAGAGTTTGATGAGGACTTGTTTTTATTAAAGTCATGGAAAAAACTGGGAGGAAGTATAGAGTACAACTAAGTCTCTCTTCCTCCCCTCCATGAGACCCAGAACAATGCATGAAGTCATTTACATCTGCAGGCTCCCTAATTCAGATGTTTTTATCTTTAGTATTGAGAAAGAAACACATTATTCACATTTAAGGCCACCGGAAAATTTCCGCAAAAATCTGGAAGACTTCAAATGAACTTACTGAACTAGACCGGATGTTGACACTCCTTGAATACTGTGCTTATTTTTACTGATCTATGGTAAGATTCCATTACATCCCAAAGGAACTTATTTTGTCAGTGTCCTTGTTGCCAAGACATGTCCCTTCCAATGGAACACATAAAGGCCTCAACCTAACCATGTGGAGGGTAGATACAGTATTCAGTAAAAATCTCCAGCACTTATGGAAAGAACCTTGAGGCTACACTGGTCTTCACCTCCACTAGGGCACACACAACACAAGCAAAGAATGTGAGCTAAACTGCCTTGAAAATAGCGATCTCATGTCTCACATAGGTTTAAATTTTTAGATCTTTTTTATTTTTTGGCGGTACTGCAGTTAGAAGTCGGGACTCAGCCTGGTGCCTGCAAGGCAGACTCTTAACCACTTGAGCTGCAGCCCATTTTGCTTGAGCTATTTTTGCATATGGTCTTATGTTTATACCTAAGTCAGCCTAGACTGTGATTAGGTCCTCTTTTCTAATTTCCTCTCCTAACACTTTGTTGAAGCTTGTCAAATCTGGAGCCAGCTTTCTAAGAAATGAATAAAATTTAGTGGAGTGACTTTTATTACCTGTATTACCTGACATTCATCCATGCCCCCATTATTCTCTTAATAAGAGATTACTCTTAAGAAGCTGCTGCACTGAATAAGATTATAACAGATGATGCTCACTCTGAACAGCCTGCTCAATTCCTCTCAGTCTTGCATAGGCAGTGTTTATATCCAGAGTAAAGTTGTCAACTTGCTCTTGACTGAGACGACGAAACTCTAATTCTTTTTCAGAAAGTTTCTCACACAGACCCTGAAATAAAACAAAATTGTTCCATGTATGTCACCTACCTGGATACTAATCTCTCAGCAACTGTTACTTCCTGAAGCAATGAAAGCCTTTAAAATCTCAAGCAACTGCATTGTGTATAAGGTTTCAAAACTTCTGACTCACATTTGATACATAATTCTCTATAAATTTTCTGATGGGATCTAATTGAGTTTTTACAGTCAGACTTTAAATTGCCAACTTTAGAAATTATTGTATTGCCACCCAAACATCATATCTGATCATGAACATGCAGGCATCACTGGCAACTCTCCCCCTATTCTTCGACAGTCCCAGAATACATTAAAAGGAAAGGAGAAAGGTGAGGGATGTAGCCTGGAATATGGGATGCCCTGGATTTGGTCCCCAGTACCATCAAAACAAAACCAAAGCTGGGTGCTTGTGGATCTTGCCTATAATCCTAGCTACTCAGGAGGCAGAGATCAGGAGGATCACACTTGGAAGCCAGCCTGGGTAGTTTGTAAGACCCTATCTTGAAAAAATAGGGCTGGTGGAGTGGGTCAAGATGAAGGCCCTGAGTTCAAGTCCCAGGTATTAAGAACGTAAGTGAGGAGGGGAATGAAGGCCTCACCTGCTCAAATTCATACTTCAGTTCCTGCTCTTGCACCCGAAGGACGTCTCGTAAATGATCAGTGTGGGCAGCTGCTTGTCGGCGAAGCTGGGTTCTCATTTCATTCTCCATAGCATCTCTGACTTCCTCTACCTGTGAAACCAAACCCAGAAATGATTAGGTAGTTCTCAATTGAAAGAGAAGGACTAATAAGACACTGGTGACAGCAGCTTCCATGTCCTAAATCCACCATTATTTTACTCCCTTTTTTTTTTCTATGGGATGTTTGAACTCATGGCTTTGTGCTTGCAAGGCAGTCGCACCTCCAGCTCCTGTATTTCTTGTATGAATCAGACACCTGAACACTGGAAGGCAACTCAAATAAGGTCACACAGCTGTGGCAAAAATCAAATTTCAAACATGGCTCTCTCTGACCACAAAACTTGTGCTTCCTCCTGATTACCAGGCTGCCTGCTATATAGAACAAACACTGTCATTTCCTGAATCACACATCCCCTTGAGAAGTAAATACTTCTAACTCAGAAAAGAAATAACTAGGTAGACATAGGATCAAACCTAGCATCACCATAACCATCTCTGTGTGACCTTGGGGATTTTCAAGTCTCCATTTTCTCAGCTGTGAACAAATGCTTACTTTGAAAAATCATGAAGAAAATAAGAATCTGGCAGTTACTGAACACGATTTCTTTTAAAGCTTCATTGAAACACTTTATTTTAACATGAATTTAGATTCAGTGTGGGCCAAATCAAACCAAAAATATAAAAAACTCATCATGTCATGGGTTATAATACAAATTATTTAACACTGATTATTTTGAATTCATTACTCATATTTTTCTCAGAAACAACATAAATCAATAAGTCCACTCAGTGTTTAGGAAGTGTTGGTCCTGTGCTTACCAGAGCGTACTACATGCTTTTAACCAACAGTTCGCAGGGCAGACAAATGTCTTCTCAGGAAATGTCCACTTAATGGAGGAAGCAGACACTTGAGATTGTGATGCTTGTTTCCAAGTAAGAATTTGAGGAGAGGGCCTGTTGCAAAGCATTAACTCCTGTTCAACCTCTTTTTCCCTTTTATGTTTAAAAGAAACAGGGTACTATGGCAGACTGATCCAGAGGTTCTGTTTTAGACTAAAGGGGTTGGAAAGTCCTTCCTGAAAAGGTGACATCTAAGTTTAGACATAAGGTTTAAAGAGAGCAGCCAAAACAATGTGGTGAGCAGAGAAAGCATAAAGGGCCAAGAGATAGTGAAGAGTCAGGCATGGTGGTACACACCTGTAATCTTAGCTACTCAGGTGGCGGACATAAGAGTTGGGCACCAGTGGCTAACATCTGTAAACCTAGTTACTCAGGAGGCAGAGATTAGGAGGACCTCAGCTGGAGGATAGCCCTGGGCAAACAGTACATGAGACCCTACCTCGAAAATACCTAACACAAACAAGGACTGCTGGAGTGGCTCAAGAGGTAAAGTGCCTATCTAGCCAGCATGAGATCCTGAGGTCAGGCTCCAGTATTGCCCCCTCTCAAAACAATAATAAATTACTCAACACATAGAAGGGCTGGCAGAGTGGCTCAAGAGATAGAGTGCCTCCTAGCAAATGTGAGGCCCTGAGTTCAAACCCAGCACCGTTAAAAATAAAAAGGAGGTAGAGACAGAAGGACTGATGTTCAAGAGCAGCCCAGGTACAAATGAGACCTTATTTTAAAAATAAAAGGAAAAGGTTTGGGGGTGTGGCTCAAGTGGTCAAGCTCTTGCCTAGCAAACTTGAGGCCCTGTGTCCAATCCCCAGTAACTGAGGGAGAATGTGATATAGTCAAGACACAGAAAATGAGGGGTATCCTGGCTAATGGAAGGAAGGCATAAGATTAAAAGGCCTTTTGGCATTGGCTAAGAATTTAGATTTTTGGAGCCAGGTGTGGTGGCAAACGTGTAATTCTAGGACTGGGGAGGCTAAGGCAGGAGAATCAAGAGTTCAAGACCAGCATGGGCTACATAGCAATACCCTGTCTCAAAAACAACAACAAAAAAAAAGAATTTGGATTTTACGATAAATGAAACAGGTAGTCACTGGAGGATTTTCATTAGTGTAGCATCTGATTAGACTCTTACAAGAACCATGAAAATAGATATGAGAGCTGGGTCTGAAAACAGGGAAACTGCTAAGATGATAACTTCAACTAAGGTAGTGGTAATGGAAAAGGAAAGTGAACAGGTTTAGGATTTACTGTGGATGCAGAACTGTTAGTCTGTCACTGGACTAGATGTGAAATTGATGAGGAATAACTAAGCATAATCCTGGCTTAAATAACCCAGTAGATGGTGATTTACTTAGAAGCTACTCTAGTAGCTGGGATATAGGTTGAAATGAATCAAGAAATCTGTTTTGAACACAATGAACTTAAAATAACTACTTAAAACCAAGCTGGGGATGTGAAGTATGCTGATGGTAAGAAATCTGAAGTGAAAGCAGAAGTCACAGACTGAGACATTAGCAGATATAGAGGGTATTTAAATTCCACAGCCAAAGGATGAGAAAAGACCACTTGGAGAAAGTTCAGGTGAGAAAAGGTTTCAGAACCAATAGCAGGGATGTCAGTACTTGAGAAGCTGGGCAAGAGGTCAAGGCCAGCAAGGTGGGAGAAAGGCCAGGAGGGTATGGGGTCTGGCAAGCTAGAAAGAAAGCACTTCAAAGGTGGGATAAATGGTAAGTTTCCTATGTCAGACTGAATGCCACATTCAACAGATGATGTGTCCCAAAACATTGCTCTTTCATCTTTTTTTCTTTGTGTGTGTGTGTGTGAGACTGGGTTTGAACTCAGGGTTTCAAGCTTGCGAGGCAGGCACTCTGCCAACTGAGCCACACCTCCAGCCCTCATCCATTTTTAACCACTAACCACCTAACATGACTGATAGAAAAATATATTCAAAAGTTAACAGAGATTCTTTCAGCCCTGCTTTAAGGGACAGAAGCTCTGGATAATCCTGGATAACAGATGCCTATTACTTTCTTACACTTTTGCATCTGCTCAGCATAACAGAACTCTGCTAAACCAATCCTTCCCTAAAAGGACTAACTCCACTCTAAACGTGGGTTTGAAAAGACTTACATCTAGTATTTTAAAGCCAGTAACTGCCAGTATTATCTGTAGAAGACAATCAAGTTAGTGTTGCTTTAAATGTTAAGCCATGATTTTCATTTGCACCTTTCTGTCCTGTTCAGCCTGTATTTCACCTCTGTGGTGTTCTAATGCTTTAGCCACTGCAGAGTCAAATGCCCGCTTTTCTTCCAGCTTTTGTTTTTCCAAGGCTAATGCAATGTGCTGCTTCTCTATGGCTTTCTGTTGTGCTAGTTCTCTATTTAGTTGGTCAATGCGACGATGTGCATGAGCAATCAGGGAGTTTAGATCATCAGTAGACAGCTTATCAGCTAAAAAGATAACCACATCAAAAAGTTAGTAACTTCAACAAAATTATAAGTAACTGCAAGGGAATTTGCTTCATTTGGCTGTAATTTTACAACTGGGAAAAAAAAAAGCAAAAGGTAGTTAAATTTTCTAATTCAGTCAGAAATAGTGTATAGTAATTAAGGATTTGTCAATTCCAAGCAAAGTAATATAGGCATCACATAATTTCATGGAACCAAATTAGTTGTTCTAATCTGACTTAATTGTAAGCTGAATTTCTAATTTATTCTAATTTTGTTTCTAAAGACAAAGCCTACAGATACAATCAATTCTATACTTTCCATCATGTATATCTATGTTAATTATAACAGGCACCCAATTAAAGACTGTTTTCTGCTAAAACTCAAATTAACATTCTCAGACATTTCCTTAACAAGAGTTTTGTTTCATTTTATAAATATGTATTTTCTAGGATAGTGATCTTCAACCAGGGATGCCTATCAAATTACTTGTAGAATTTTTAAAAATATTCATGCCCAAATACCCTCATTAAGGGCTAAATCATGTAGGGTATTAAAAAACAAAAAGGAGAAGAAAGGAAGAAGAAGAATGGCTCCAACATCAAAATACAAAATGTCAGTATTTCCAATTTTTTTAATTATATAATTGTTGTCCTGGGGGTATATTATGACATTTACAAATGTGCTCACAATATATCTTAAATTCACCCCAAATGTGAGGATTTCTATATGGCAAATGATTCAGTTTCTCACAAAACAAGTAGAAAAGCAAAGATGGCATTTAGAGATTCATTGAACAAATCCAATGCATGGGACTTCTTTGGATATTGATCTGAATATAAACTGTAAAAATTAATTTTATGAAATAATGAGTATTTGAACACTGAATTATAATAGTAAGGAATTAAGTTTTAGACATAATAATGGTATAATGATTTTAAAAACATACTGAAAGCATTTATAAGTGAAAAGATATTTGAAGTTTGCTTCAAAATAAGAGGTTGTGAATATATGAGACAAAACTGGTCTTGCATTGGTAATTATTCAAGTTGGATGATGGATCCATGAGAGTTTACTTTTCAATGTTTGAAATTCTCTAAAATAACAAATTAAGCAAATCACCACTCTACCTACCTACCTACCTATCTGTAATTTACACCCACACACCTTTCTTGTCTACAGATTCTGAACACTTAAAATGTTCCTGAAAAATACATGAATGCCCAAAATACTCAATTTGGATTTATCACATGTAACGTAATTCTACTTGCTATTTTTTTTACATGGCTTAATATAAGAATCATGGGTTCAATGAAGACATAAATCTTTTTTAAGACTCAAGCCAAATGCCTTTAAACATAAAATACATGTAATTACTCACCTAAGTCAGAAATGCCTACAAAGAAAGAGAAGGATAGTTACTGATCATTAATTAGGAACATCCAAAGGGAAACAAAAAGGAAACAGATATGCTGGGAGCTGGTGGCTCACGCATATAATCCTAGTTACTCAGGAAGCAAAACAAGGTTCGAAGACAGCCTAGGGAAATAGTTCTCCAGATCCTGTCTTGATAATACCCAACACAAAAATGGACTGGTAGAGTGGCTTAAGTGGTAAAGTGACTCCCTGTCAAGCATGGGGACCTGAGTTCAAACTCCCCCACAAAAAAAAGAACCAGATATTTTAATATTGGAAAACAAAGTAAGTTTATTTCCTAAAATTTAAAGAGATTATAAAACAGTATATATCAAGGTAAATTAGTTTTGGTTTCAAGGGACTCATCTCTATTTTCCCAAAAACAATCAACTTAGCTTTTGCATATAAATTACAAATTTTCTTGGGAGTAAATTTCATTTAAGAGTGAAATTTTACTTATTTAGTAAAATACTAAGTTACAGACACTACATTAAGTCACAGTCTTGACTGAAATTTCAAATACTTAAGGAATTAATCCACTTTTTCTTTTTTTTTGGTTGAGACAGGCTCTTCCTATGTCTTGCAACCTTCCTGCCTCAGCCTTCCAAATGCTAGGATTACAGATGCATGCCACCACATACAGCTTCTTTGGGAATTTTAACAGTAAACTCCAGCTTAAATTTACATTAAACCTATGCAAATTAGCCGAAGAACTATGACTGCCTGGTTTGAGGGTAAAAAAGAAAAAAAAAAACGTTCTGAAATTTGAATGATGCTCCCCATGATGATCACAAGGACCAAAGTGTGAAACATTAATAGGAAATAGACCGGCAGCAAATCTCAGTAAGAGCTTCTTAACATCCTGAATTTCTTCATGACCTTTGAGTCCAACAAATTGAAAGTATTTTTCCTCAAAAATGGCTCTAAAAGTCAGTTGCTTAATCTGGAGTTTAAACGAAGGATAAAGATCTATCCCAGTGTTGCAGGAAAGACCGGCAAAGTAGGACAAGGTGACACACAAACATTAATCTCAACACGGCACATAAATATGGTGTAGGTACTACAGACTATAAGCCACGAAAGAGAGATACCCTGGCGTTCTCGCACCTCATTCTTAACAGTGGCAAACCCACATGCACCTTCCCAGTACTGTCTCCTTCCTTCATTCATGGAGATGTCCATTCTGAGTCTGAGGGTATCATAAGCACTTCTTTGTATGTGACATATGCCTATATCCTTAATAATACTTATGCTTTGCATGTTCTAAGACTTCCTATTCTATGTAAGTGGCATCCTATTCTATGTATTCTTCTGTAGCTTTTTGTTTTTCTTTACATTTATATTTGAGACATATACTACTGGTTCATTTGAACTAACATATATGAGACATACTTAGCTGCTTACAGTTTTTCTTTTTAGTTCTGGGGACTAAAGCCAGGGCCTTGTCCATGTTCAGCCTATGCCACAGTGCCACAATGCATTTTTATATGAGCATAAACCTTAAGCATAGACCTGAGTTGAAATATTGGATCAGGGAATATATAAATCTTTAGCTTCACTAGACATTGTAAATCACAGCTCAACAAACCAACTGCTAAATGTCCCCTAGTGTCTTTCCTATTCTTCACTTTCAGTGCCATTGGCACGCATGTTAGGTGGCTCATATCAGTTCACCCTCAGATTACTGCAGCAGCATTTAAGCAGCGTCCTCATCCTTAGGCTTTGGTCCCTATACCCGCGATCTCATAAAAATGAATCTTCCAGGTGGGCATGGTAGCTCATGCATGTAATCCTAGCACTCAGAAGGTGAAGGAGAATGATAGCTACTTGAGGTCAGCATGGACTACATGCTCAAAAAAACAAACAAAAAAAATTTTTCTGTTTATCACAATCATACTGTTCCTTTACTTAAAAGGCCAAAAGGGTGTTCCATGCTACCAATAAAAATAAAATCAATCAGAGTAAAGTGTAGATAGTGGGTAAGAAAGAAATCCTGGTTCTACCCCTCAACCTTGGGCCGGTTACTTAACCTCTTTGTATCTCAGTTTTCTCCTCTATAAATGGGGATAATAACAAACATTATCTCATAGGACTGTTGTGAACTTTAAATAGGTTAATATATGTCGAGTGCTTAAAACACTTGTGCTTAACACAAGTGCTTAAAACACTATGTTCCATAGCATTCGGTATATTTAGTACTGTGCCCAGTTATGGAGAACACAGGAAGACTATTAAACAATGAAAACTTATAAGAGGGAAAGGGAGGGGGTGGGGGAAGGGGGGGAGTAATGACCCAATCATTGTATGTACATATGAATAAAGGAACTAAAATTAAAAAAAAAAAAAAAAAAAAGAAAATTTACAACTTACTGGAATAAGACCAAAATAATTCATAACACAAACCAGTACTGAGTTTTTTGGGGTTTTCTTCTTTTCTTGGTGGTATTGGGATTTGAATTCAGGTTCTCTCACACTAGCTAAGCAGGTGCTCTACCACTTGAATCACTCCACCAGCCCTTTTTTATGCTGGGTATTTTTGAGATAGGGTCTTGCTTTATTTTTTTTATTTCAGGCTGCCTTTGAACCATGATCCTTCTTATCTCTGCCCATAGCGAGGACTACAGGCGTGAGCCACTGGGAACTATCCTAATGAGTTTTAATAGGGTCTAGGGCCTAGCCATGTTCCTATTTTAGACATGGGGATGTCTATAGAGGGCTGGAGTAATCATGACATCATACACTATCTCTAGTGGTGCACAAGGAATCAGTAACACTGATTGGTTCTGCAGATGAAAACTGCATGACTATGGGCAGAAGTAAAATGAAAACCACCAAACACCATTTTTTTGTCCTTCAAATTCTATTATAATGATGGCTGGGGCCATTGGTCAAGTGGCAGAGCACCTGCCTAGCAAGCAGAAGGCCTTGAGTTCAAACCCCACCTCAAATTTTATCATGAAAATGTATACTACATTTAAAATATTAGAAAATTAAACAGATATTGCCAAAAACATACTGCAAGTGACTTTAACTTTTTAAATGACATGTTTATTTAGCACAGGGTTTCTCAACCTTGGCAGTACTGACTTTCTGGGCCAGATAATTCTTTACTGTGAATACTAGTCTGTACCATAGTATACTTGACAGCATCTCAAGCTGCTAGATGCTGGTAACAGCCCCCAACTGTGTTATCCAAATTATCTCCAGATGTCCTCTGGGAGGCAAAATGACCTGGGTTAAGAACAACTGTTGTAGTATCTTCATGCTTTACAATGTGGCTCTCCACAACCCCACCCTCCCACACCCCGTCCCCTAGCAGATGCACCGGATCCCTGATTCACTGCCAAAGTTCACTGCAGTCTAAGCTTTTGCAAGTGGGGAACCAGAGTCAGTTTCTATCCATGGGATTTTAGGGTCCCTAGGTAAATTCTCAACAGAGTGTTATTGTCATAGAGTAGTCATAAGGTATGCCTTAAATAATTCATTACAGATACTTTTAAAGTAACAAAAGCTTTGATGGAGTCAAGGTTATAATATCACTCTAACTCACCTGGATTCCATACTTTTTTCATTCTTATTTTTTGAACAGCAGAGATTAGAATGGAATCATGAATTATGGAATTAAACACCGAATGAAATTCTGCTCCCCATGGTTAAAACTACAGTATTGTCACAGGTGTGTTATATCATGTTTGTGGTTGAAACAATGTACTATATACCAAAAGAGATATGCCAGAGCATTTGGAACAGATGAACGGAGTTGAAACAGGTTGAAATTAGTGCTAAAAACTACAAAAAGGAAAAGTGCCAATACTTCCATGGTACTTACCCATCCCTTTCCACCCAGGAACAACTTCTGGAGTAATACTGTCCAGCTCCCGCCTGAAGTCATCCCGGGCTTGAACCACCAACTCATGATACTGAGATACAACCTTAGCCTCAGACTGAGCTGCTTGGACCTGAGGAAACACAAGGGTTAAATATAAGGGTGATGCTCAGTAAAAGGGGAACTATTTGAATGGGAACCAGTCAGAGGGGAAAGAACTACAGGAGAAGGTGATGGGGTACGGCAGGGGGCGGTTGAATATTATCAAACTATACTATATGCATGCATTAAAACAGAATAATGAAACTCACTAAAAATTATTTTAAAAGGGGGTATAGGAAACAATAATATAGAGGGGGCAAATATGATCAAATATATTACCTGCATTATGGAAATAACGAAAAATTCCTTTTGACTAATAATGTACATGTAGGAAAGGGAAGGAGGGAGGAAGAGAAAGCCTTGTCTATGTTTCCTTCTAATTCCTATTCAAATACCATGGACAGGCTCTTTCCCATCTAACTGTGCCCCCTTCTCCCTTTCTCTGGGTCCCAAGAAACCACCCTATAGATCACGTAAGTACAAAGAGAAGATCTGCTACAACATTATAGTTTTCCTAAGTGACAATAACTATTGACCAAAAACCATTACCTATTACAGAAAGTACTTAAGAGACAGGTGAATTTACTGAAGTTTCTGATACTTCTATCTTATGTGGTAGTGATATCCTTATTTCTGCATTGTAGTACACTTGTCTGGGGATGCCTGTAAATGTGTAAAATTGGATTGTATTTCTTAAGAGTACTTCACCAAAGATCAGTTTCATGAGCCATCCCTTCCTGAGATGTAAATGATAATTTGATTAAGTATCATATGGACACTTCACCACATTTAAAATGTAAACATTTTAGGGGCTGGTGGAGTGGCTCAAGTGGTAGACTGCCTGCCTAGCAAGTGTGAGACCTTAAGTTCAAACCCTAGTACCACCAGAAAATAAAATGTGAACATTTTAAAACAAAAAAAAAAGAAAAAAAAACTAGAAGAAAATACCAACAATACTGGACAATCTATTTGGTACCCAAAGCAAGTGGTTTTTTGTTTTATTTTTTTGCAGTATTAGGGTTCAAACTCGGGGTCACCAATTATGTCATACTCCAGCCTCTCCCCTCCATTTTGCAGTTCTGGGATTTGAACTCAGGGCTTTGTGCTTACAAGGCAGGCGCTCTACTGCCTGAGGCAAGCCTCCAGCTCTCCTAGTCCTTTTTTGTTTTAGCTATTTTTCCAGATAGGATCTCAAATTTTTGCTTGGGTTGGCCCAGAACCATGACCCTCATAATCTTGGCCTACAGAGTAGCTAGAATTACAGACGTGAGTCACCACGCCTTGCCCCAAGAAAAGTTTTCAAAAATAGTAACAATTCCTTGCAGGTGAAAAATGGGCAGACAAGAGGAATCTTATTAATTTCCTGAATTCTGAAAATCCTTTCACCAATAGATTACATTTAAAAATATAAAACATTGTAAAGACTGAAAAATGTACCTTTTTGACCACATTATCCAGATCAACTATCATGTTGTGGAGTTTGCCGTCTGCGGCAGTTATATGAGGTTTGGTCCCAGCAACTTCTTTTTTCTTTGCATTTTCAATTACACCTTTCATCTTCTCTAACTCTTCTCTGGAAACCAATTGAACAAAATTTAATATAACAAGATTTAATATAATTCCTTCCCAACCGTATTAAAGAGTTTTGATGTGAATACAACATACAATTGTTAAAAACTTGTGAAAGAAATATAATTTGAAAAAAAAACTTCTCAATGCTTTTTTATAGGCAGTAGGCACAGAAACTTTTTACCAACAGGTGAAAACCCTTAGCCAGAAGCTGTATCTACTACAGTGACCGAGAGAAGCAGCATGGTATATGGGACCCAGACTTCAGAAGAAGACAAACCTCCATTTAACTCCCCTAGGTGGGTCCTCATGTGCTGCACACACTTGACTAGGGATTAGAGGTCTTTATGAGAAGAATGTGGCACAGTGCCTTCCACGTATGAGTGCTCAATGAATGGCAGCCATATTGGAAGAGGCAAGGGAGGAGGCCAAGGGCCTCACTGAACAAGTAAGTAACGGGTCTTGAGAACCCCTTACAATTTGGAATATTTCAACAGACTTTGGTCTGCCTACGAGAAAATACAGAACTCAGCCAGACAAATGTCCCAGTGATGTGAACATAATGTCTTAAGTCTCCAAAAAGATATGCTGGCTTTATTAGAAGACTTCTCATTCTTTATCGATAATTTGTATGCTAAGAAAGATAGTAAAATTTTGAATGATAATTATCCCACTCATATTGATGAGAACCTTCACTGAAATGTAGGTTTCCATCTTAGAAGTTGATCTTATACTTGTTTCCATGCTTGACCCTAGTTTTAGCCAACTTCCAGGAATCAAGGTCCAGGCATAAAGCCAGATATACCCACTGCTTTGGTAATTAAGGTGCATATATTGTAACATTTTAAAAATTCTGATACAACCACCCAAAGCATTCCAGCAAAATCTTGAAATTACAGAAGAATCTCAATAAATGTGTAGACATCACCTAAGGCAATAATTCAAAGCAAACCTGATTTTTATATGAGATCCTTTATATCAGTTTCCGCCAATTTTATTTTTGTTTAAATATGTTTTTTAGCCTCTCATTATATTTTTATTTTATTACTTAATTTTTCAGCAGTACTAGAGTTTGAACTGAGGGCCTCAAGGCTTGCTAGGCAGGTGCTCTACAACCTGAGTCATGCCTCTAGTCCTTTATTGCTTTAGTTATTTTCAGTTAGGGTCTCATATATTTGCCCAGCGCCAGTCTGGGATCACAATCCTCCTACCTACAATCTCCCAAGTAGCTGGGGTCACAGGTACATGCCACCAACCACGCTTCTTGAGTGAGATGGGGTCTCACTAACTTTTTGCTGGAGCTGGTCCTGAACCACAGTCCTTCCAATCTCTGCTTCCCAAGTAGCTGGGATTATAGGCCTGAGCCAAAGAACCCAGACATCCTCTCTCCTTTTGCACCTCTTATGCCAATTCAGATCAAGCATACACAGAGAAGGGGGAGGGAAAGGTTTCTCTGCTTTCTCTTCGTTCAATACAGACAGTACAAAGAAAGCTCAGCCTAAGTAAAGGTCACCAAGAGGCCCTAATTACTTGTTAAAGTCCATGAGTAATTACTTGGCTTTGAGAAGGGCATCGGCAGCTTCATCTACTGCCTTTCTGCGTTCCTTCAAAGCACCCTCCACTGTGCGCCACTGAGCAGACTTCTTTTCACCTGAAATCTAAAACAAAAATATTTAATTATGTAAACATGATTAACTGGTATTATCATCATAGAAAAGGCCAAAAGATCAAATGCTAAAATGTGTAAAAATAAATTCAAAGGTAAAAAAATATATATACAGTATTCCTCCAGAGTAAGAACTCATAATCTAAGGTTCATGACTGGGTATAAAGTCAATAACCATCTGGAATCAACTGTCCTTCCACAAAATGTTTAACAACAAAAGCAACAGTAGAAAATACGCAAATAACTGGAGGCTGAATAACACATTGCTCAATGATCAGTGGGTCATAGAAGAAATACGAAAGGAAATCAGAAAGTTTCTGGAAGCTAATGAAAATGAAAACACCACCTATCAGAACCTATGGGACACAGCAAAGGCAGTCCTAAGAGGAAAGTTTATAGCCATGAGTGCGTATATTAAAAGGACAGAAAGATCTCAAAAGACCTAATATGCTACATCTCAAACTCCTAGAAAAGTAAGAACAAGCAAAATCCAAAATAAGGAGAGAAATAATAAAAATAAGGACCGAAATTAATGAAACAGACCAAAAAAAACCCCAAAACATTATATTTTATATTAAAAAATATTTTTTATTTTTATATTATTGAAAAAATAAACAAGATTGACAAGCCCCTGGCAAATCTGACTAAAATGAGGAGGGAAAAGACCCAAATTAGTAAACTCAGAAATGAACAAGGAGAGATAACAACACACACTAAGGAAATCCAAGGCATTATCAGACATTACTTTCAGAACCTATATTCCAATAAATTGGAAAATCTTGAAGAAATGTACAAATTTCTAGATACTTATGACTGTACAAAACTGAACCAAGAGGACATTAACCACTTAAACAGATCTATAACACATAGAAATTGAAGCAGCAATAAAGAGTCTCCCAAAAAAGAAAAGTTCAGGACCTGACACATTCTCAGCTGAATTCTATCAGACCTTCAAAGAAGAACTAACACCAACACTCCTTAAACTTTTCCATGAAATAGAAAGGGAAGGAACACTGCCTAACTCATTCTATGAAGCCAGCATTACAATCATTCCAAAACCAGACAAGGACACATCCAAAAAGGAGAACTACAGGCCAATCTCCTTAATGAACATCAATGCAAAAATCCTCAATAAAAGAATGGCAAACCGAATCCAACAACATATGAGAAAGATCATTCATCATGACCAAGGCATCTTCATCCCAGGGATGCAGGGATGGTTCAATATATGCAAATCAGTAGATGTAATACAACACATGAATAGAAGCAAAGACAAAAACCACTTGATCATCCCACTAGATGCAGAAAAAGCCTTTGATAAGATCCAACACCATTTCATGATAAAAGCTCTAAGAAAACTAGAAACAGAAGGAATGTACATCAACATTATAAAGGCTACATACGACAAACCTACAGCAAACATCATACTTAATGGGGAAAAACTGAAATCATTTCCCCTAAAGTCAGGAACGAGACAAGGATGTCCACTCTCCCCACTCCTATTCAACACAGTCCTGGAATTCCTAGCCAGAGCAATAAGGCAAGAAGAAATAAAAGGAATACAAACAGGTAAAGAAATAGTCAAAGTATTTCTGTTTGCAGATGACATGATTCTATACCTCAAAGACCCAAAAAACTCCACCCAAAAACTCCGAGATACCAATTGCTTCAGCAATGTAGCAGGATACAAAGTCAACTTACAAAAATCAGTAGCCTTTCTATACACCAACAATGAACAAATTGAAAAAGAATATAGGAAAACAATTCCATTTACAATAGCCTCAAGAAAACCCCAAATACCTAGGAATAAACTTAACAAAGGATATAAACGACCTCTACAAGGAGAACTACAAACCACTGAAGAAAGAGATCGAGGAATACTACAGAAGATGGAAAGATCTCCTGTGCACATGGATTGGCAGAGTCAACATAGTAATGGCTATTCTACCAAAAGCAATCTACATGTTCAAGTAATGGCTATTCTACCAAAAGCAATCTACATGTTCAACGTCATTCCTATCAAAATCTCAATGACATTCATCACAGACATTGAAAAATCTACCCTGAAGTTCATTTGGAAACACAAAAGACTAGAATAGCCAAGGCAATACCAAGTAAAAAGAGTAACAATGCTGGAGGTATCACAATACCCGACTTCAAACTATACTACAGAGCCATAGCAATAAAACAGCATGGTACTGGCACAAAAACAGATATGAAGACCAGTGGAACAGAATAGAGGACTTGGATATGAATCTACACAGCTATGCCCACCTTATTTTTGATAAAGGCGCCAAAAACATACAATGGAGAAAAGACAGCCTCTTTAAGAAATGTTGCTGGGAAAAGTGGTTATCTGCCTGCAGAAAACTGAAACTAAATCCATGCCTGTCACCCTGTACTAGTATCAACTCAAAGTGGATTGAGTACCTTAATATCAGACCCAAAACCTTGCAGTTAGTACTTGAAAAAGCAGGGAATACCCTGGAAACATAGGTATAGGCAAGGACTTCCTCACAGTAGAACTCCAAGCAGTCCAACAACTAAGAGAAAGGATAGACAAATGGGACTATATGAAATTTAAAGGCTTCTGAACAAAAGAAATGTTCTCTAAACTGAAGAGACCACCCACAGGGTGGGAGAAAATATTTGCTAGCTATATATCAGACAAAGGACTGATAACCAGAATATACAGGCAGCTCAAAAAACTAAACTTCACAAAAATTAACAAACCAATAAAGAAGTGGGCAACTGAACTAAACAGAACATTTTCAAAGGAAGAAGAAGTCCAAATGGCCAAAAAACATATGAAAAAATGCTCACCATGCTTGGCCAAAAAGGAAATGCAAATCAAAACCACACTAAGATTCCACCTCACTCCTGTTAGAATAGCTATCATCAAGACCACTACCACCAACAAATGGTGAGGATACAGGAAAAAAGGAACCCTCATACACTGCTGGTGGGAATGCAAGCTAGTACAACCACTTTGGAAAACAATATGGAGGCTTTTTATAAAACTAAGCATAGATCTGCCATATGATCCAGCAATACCAGTCCTAGGAAAATACCTGAAGGAACGCGACTCAAGTTATTACAAAGGCACTTGCACGCCTGTGTTTATTGCAGCACTATTCACAATAGCCAAGCTATGGAAACAGCCAGGAAGCCTCACTAACTTTGAATGGATTAAAGAAATGTAGTATTTATACACAATGGAATTTTACTCAGCCACAAAGAATGAAATTTTGTCATTTCCAAGTAAATGAATGGAACCAAAGACCATCATCTTAAGCGAAGTCAGCAAGGCTCAGAAGGCCAAAAATTGCATGTTCTCCCTCATATGTACATTACAGACCTAAAACAAGTGCAGCAATATTATTAGTGTGTATTAAGGGGTGAACACACACAGGAGGAATAGGGAAAGGGAAGGAAACCTAAAACTTGAATGTGGTTTATGTGCTAACTGTAGAGGAGCCAATAAAGTAATCTTAAACTGGCAGAGGCTACTATGAGAAGGGGACCAAGAAGTAGTGAAGAGATGAGGCAGAGATGAACCAATGTGGGTTTCAATACACAACACTAGGAATCTCTCCATATAGCTATCTTTATTTCAAACTAGAAAAATGCTATGTCTTTCTTATTATCTCCTATGGTTTCTCTTCAAGAAAATCAGAGAAGAGGGCAGAACAGGTTCTGCCCGAAGCCGGGGGGATGGGAAGGGATGAGGGAAGTAGTGCGGAGGAGGTGCCTCAAACAATGTATACACATGTAAGTAAATGTAAAAATGATAAAAGGAAGAGAAATAAAATTTATAAAGTTAACAAGCATGAGGCTGAGTTCAAACCTCAGTACAGCAAAAAAAAAAAAAAAAAAAAAAAAATTATGTTCCAGTGCATAAATTTTCTAGGGAAAGACTATTTTAAAATTAGATTCTTAGGAATATTAACTACAAAAAGTCAATGACAGCTTTTCCTAAACTGTCTATGGATTTTAAGTCATTCTTCAAAAAGTGCCAATACTTGAATTTTTCTTAAGTGCAGGACTATCAAAAGCATAGTTTAAGCATAACTATAAAGTTTACACAGTTATAGAGTACTTATTAGTCTAAAATGTTATTATTCAGAATGCCATTTCCTAATTCATAAGGTCTAAATCAATTATTCTTAGAAATCTTCCTTGAGATGAAATTAATGCTATGATTTATATTATTTAAAAAGAATTGGGAGAATAGCTCAGCTTACCATGTGCAAGGTCCTGGGTTTGGTTCCCAGTACCCTTCAAAAAAAGTTTCTCTTAGGACTGGAGGCCTAGCTCAAGTTGTAGAGGGCAAGGGCAAGGCTTGAGTTCAAGGCCCAGTGCCACACACACACACAAAAATTCCCTTGAAAATCCCTTAAGACAGGTTCCAGCCTTTCTATTTTAATGTCTGGTTTTGGAACTGATTGCTTCGTCTTTGAGCAGAATTGGTTTATATTCTTACTGAAAAAAAAGGAATAAAGAAAAAGATCTAACACTATAATTACTATCAGTGCAGCAAAATGCTCACAAAATTAGAAGTGCTATAGAATCTAGACCACTAGTGTCATAGACAAGTCACAACTTCCATCCTTCATTCTACATCACATACACAATGTACAGAATGTTACTGGGAACTGCCTGAACTTTTTTTTTGGCAGTATTGGGGTTTGAACTCAGGACCACATGCTTGCTAGGCAGACACTCTACCACTTGAGCCACTTCACTAGACCTGTTTTGTATTAGGTATTTTTAAGGTAGGGTCTCTCAAACTATTTGCCTGGGGCTGGCTTTGGTGATCTATGCCTCCCAAGTAGCTAGGAAACAGATGTAAGCCACCGACACCTAGCTTTAAAATTATTTTTAAATTAACTATTTTAAATTATTTTTTTCTCTTTTCCCAAAATGCACATAGATTAAACTACATATGTTACATATGGGTAGGAGACAAAAATCTTCTTATCTTAAAAGTAACACTATGCCGGGATCCTGGAGATGAACAGGAACATACCAATTATTGAAGAATACAATACTTCTCCCTATAAAACAAGTGCTCTAACACTGAGCTATACCCCCAGGTCCCATGCTTGCTGGGCAGGTGTTCTACCACTTGAGCCACTCTACCAGCCCTGTTTTGTGCTGGATATCTTTGAGATAGGGTCTTGTGAACTATACTGCCCCTGCTGGCTTCAAACCACAATCCTTCTAGCCGGGTGCCGGTGGCTCAAGCCTGTAATTCTAGCCACTCAGGAGGCAGAGATCAGGAGGATCAAGGTTCAAAGCCAGCTCAGGCAAATAGTTTGAGAGACCCTATCTCACAAATACCCCCATAAAAAAGGGGTGGTGGAGTGACTTCAAGTGTTGGCCCTGAGTTCAAACCCCAGTACCACAAAACAAAACAAAAACCCACAATGCTTCTAATCTCTGCCTACTGAGTAGCTAGGATGACAGGTGTGAGCCATGGGCTCCCAGCTACATTTCCTTTCTTGAATTTCAAATAAAATGGAATTTCCTTTTAGGTTTTCAAAGGTTGTAATTTCCAGCAATTAATATCAGGAGTCTACTTTAACTCTTTTGTGATGTACATAAGACTAAAACAATGTAATGCATGTTTAAACTTAAAAAAAAAACAAAACATACAGTTGTGGTAACAAAGTAACTTTAGTTATCATGCATGATTCTTTACCCTTGACATTTACATTTACATACTTATTTTAATACTTAAATAACTTCATGTTGAGGTATTTTTCCATGCCGAATAACTGAATGGAATTATAGAAGAAATTCTTTTAGTAATAATCAAAATTATTACTTTAGCTGGTGGAGTGGCTCAAGTGGAAGAATGCCTGCCTTGCAAGCGTGAGGCTCTGAGCTCATACCCCAGTACCGCAAAAAAAAAAAAAATACTACTTTATTCTTTGAAGTGTTTAATGTAAGTTAAATAATCAGCACATACTTTTAAAATAGGTGATGTCTGGGATACATAGGATCACCAGTATTATTTCTTAAAATTTCATGTCAGTCTAAAAGTATCTCAAAATAAAAACTTTAAGGAAATGGTTGGCAGTTTTCAAACCAAAAAAGTAACAAATACATTCAAGCACTACTAAGATATAAAAGCTAATATAAAATAATTATTATACTGTATCAGTGTTGTGGGATTAAAATAAAGTACCACACACATAAAAGCCCATAGCACACGGAAGATATCAGACTATTAAAGCCTACATGACTAAGTCCTCCTTGGCTTACCTCAGAATTATCCATGGCTGCCTTCAATATGTTGGAGTGTGCATTGATGGCTAGGACTGCAGCATTCTGGGCTGCAATTGCCTGCAGAGTGATGGAAGCAGTTTGACTCAGAGCATCTTCTAAGCTCTTGGCTAAAGCTGGAATAAAATTTAAAAAAAATACAGGAATGGATAAATGTTGGCAAGTAATTGAATCTGGATTGTGAGTCTATCAGGGTTTATTGCATTGTTTTTGCTTTTATGAATATCTGAATTTTTTCACAGTAAAAAAGTGTTTGAGGATTTTAAAGGGAAAAAAGTGCTTAAAGAAGGCTAACATATTCCAGTGGAACAAACAGGTTTAGAATATTCTAAAGGCTATAAATATAGTATAACCACCAGCTTTATTCATTTTATGTAACAATTGTATAGACTCACTGAGAAAAAGGTGTCCACCATGTTCAACTGCTCAGTAAGAAAGAAAACCTATAGCAAAATCTTGTTATGGCCAGGATCAAGGAGATAACAGACAAGAGAAAGAAAAAGACAAGAAAATATGCAAACTAAAAAGGCAAAGCCAGCTTGGAATAGACAATGTTTTTTCCACAGAATGACTCAAGAAATAGACACTAATGTTTAAAAGGGGCTCCCACCTCTTAAGATCATACAGAAACTTCTATATGCTTCTTCAAAAATACAAAAAAGAAATTTAAGATTTTTTTAAAAGTAGAGCAAGAGATGATTTTGAATATTACATTAAAATAGAGAAATACTCATTTGAAGAGGATCAATGAGGATAAAATTGTTATTAGAGAAGACCAAAAATTAGAGAATAATGTGGAATGTGAGACAAAAACAAAACGTAACTTTGAGCACAAGAAGCTAAGCTAGGGATGAACAAATGGAACCTACTGAACCACATGTGGCACCTCTGCAACAGATAAAAAGACAGCAAGTGACAAAATACCAAGAAAACTGAGTCAGACTGAAGTTTAACTAAAGAGCAGGGGTATAAAGTGAGCAAGAGTCAAGGGAAGGAAAATGTGATATTTGGCTTTCATGACAGGCCTGTGTTAATGGTGGACATCTAAGCGTACACAATGATCAACCACTACAGAGGCCCACGGAGAGTCAGTTACTGACAGGTCACCTGCTACACTATCCTCTATTCACTGTGTTCTAATCCTTGATAAAAACTACATACACATACACATTTTTAAAGTTTAGAGAAAACTAGGAGGTAAGAGTCAAGATCCTGAATGCTTCACTTTGCCCAAACTTAAAGGTAAGAACTGGACAAAATAAAGAGCAGTTAAGCAGCTGACATCTCCATCTCAAATTTATAACTTAATAACCTAATTCAAGGGGCTGGGATGTATGGAATACCTAATTCAGTGGTAGAATGCTTGCCAAGCATGTGCAAAAGGTCCTGGAATCAATCCCCAGGACCACAAAAATAAAAATTAAAAAATTAAAAAAAAAAATTAGATCTAAATGTACACATATAAAAAAAGAAAATTAGCTTAACTTAATTCAAGTTGCCCATGATAAAGGGACCAAAGTAAAGAGTGAAGAAAAAATATGAACTAGTTAAAAACAATCTCAGGAGGCTGAGGCAGGAAGATCATGAGTTAAAGATCAGCCTGGGCTACATGTTGAGTTCAAAGCTAGCCTGAGCTACATGGTGAGATCCTGACTCAAACAAACAAAAAACTCAATTTGAAGCAGTCAAGAAGTCTGAAAAAATTGAGGGATGGAACAATTCACTTATTTAGAAGTCATTTAACATTCTCAACTACCTGTAACATGACCAAAAACTCCAAAGAATATACCCAAAAATCCCAAAAACAAAACTCCAAACCAAGCCAAACTAATATCCTATCCCATGCCTATTCTGTATCTTCCACTCTTTCATGTATTTTCTCACAATGGTGGCTCCTCAGAATAGGGCAGAACCAATGCATCAGTAGGGAAAGGAACCAATCAAGGCAGAAAGACAAACAGAAATAAGTGTTGCTCCCAGGAAAGACAAAAAAAGATTGTAACAGCTGCTACAAGAATTTAAAAACAACTTTCTGATCAGCAAAAAGCTATATGCTTCACTACCTCTACAGACATAAATATACAGAAGCACAGTTTAAGTTATATTGCACATGCCTTCTTTAAACAGGAAAATGCATTTTTAGATTTTTTTGTTTTTTGGCCATATTGGGGTTTGAACTCAGGGCCTCACGCTTGCAAGGCAGGCACTCTTATCACTTGAGCCACTCCACCAGCCTTCTTACATGATGGGTTTTTTTTGAGATAGGGTCTCGCGAACTATTTGCCCTGGGCTGGCTTAGAACATGATCATCCTGATCTCTGCCTCCCGAATAGCTAGGATTATAGGTGTGAGCCACCCGCACCTGGCTCTTCCATTACTTTTTTAAAAATATCAAAAAACTCAACATAAAATTAAGCTGGATGTGGTGGTGTCCATCTGTAATCCCAGTATTCAGGAGATGCAGGCAGGAGGATTGAGTGGTCAAGGCCAGCCTAGGCTACGTGGCAAAAATGGGCTACAAAGTAAGACCCTCTCTCAAAAAACAAGTAAAAAAGAAACTTAAAAAGACATTTGCTTGTTAGCTGAATACTAGCAACATGAAGAATGCTCCATTTTTCACCAGCTTCAGGTAAGAGTGCTAATAAGGAGAGTACAGAGGCAGGGCCATAAGTCACAGAATGAGCCACTGTGACTCACACACAAGTATTTGCAAGTTTAACATGCTGAAACATAAACAATCAATTTCTGTTTCCTAGAGTATAAAGAATCTTCAGCATTAACCATGAAATTAATGGATAAAATGCATGTATTATTTGGAATGTTATACAACTATGCCTTAAGAATAGTCCATATCACTTGGTAAAAGGAGTTTAGATGGGAACACAAATGATGAAAAATGATAATGGGAAACAGAGCAATGACACTAAGGAAACAAAATAAACCACAACTACCTAGAAGATGACAAACTTGTGCTGATGGCTTAAGACAGCAACTGAGAGACTACTTCAAATACTCAAGAAGCTACATGATTTACATACACTCAATCTTAACTTGCTCTTGTTTTTCCTGTTGTGCAAGGCGAGCTGCAACTTCTTCTGGTGGTCGCTCTCTTATAGATGAAGATGCTTCCTCTTGCAGCAGAAGTAAATAAGAGGAAATTAAATTTCAGCAAAGAATTTTAACAGCTAATGAGATACAAACCAGTTATATTAACACAAGGCATTCTGATGGGAAGGATTCCAAAACCACATTATCACGCTTAATGATTCCAAAATGGAAATAAGGGATTAGCTGTTGACTAATTTCTTTATTTTCAAAGAGTTACTCAAACTTACAAATCTAAAAATTCTAAGCAAGTCTGAAGATTTGAAACCAGTATTAATGTATACTTACATAGTGTCTAGGTGTTACATAGCATTAAACAGTTCTGGTAAGCATACCATTGATAATACAACAAATATAAATAATTAAACTACCTGAAGTTACAGATGTGGGTTTTCCTTCACCAATTTCAAGGCGATCAGTTTTTGCAGGTTCCTCATGCTGAACTGCAGGAGCTGGGACAGAAAGCGCATCACCTGCTGCAGAAGTAATTTGAGCTGCCTCTATAGATACTATAAATATATGTTACTCATGGTATTTATACTTTCCTGGGTTAACAAACACACAGAAAGTCTACTACTACGGCCCACTTCACATCTGGCTACTTAAGAACAAATGCATCTATTGTCATGTTTGAGTAACACACAAATGGGTACCATCCTCCACATAGACAAACATACACAACTGACAAAGACTAGTAAAGCATAAGACAGGGAAGTCTTGTCAACCCATCTGTACTTTATCCCTCCTTACTTCAGGCAAGTAATTGTGTTAAATCTTTATATGAAGTGGATGTGAGATTTGCGTAACATGGAAAAAAATAATAATGAAGGAAAAAAAGAGTCTGTACAAAGACAGACAAAAGAAAGCAAGTAACCAAAGAATGATTTATAATTATTTTGAAGAGTGGTTAAGAGATGAAGGAAGACACGTAAGCAGGAAAAAGGCAACAGTTTCAAATACAAAGAAGAAAACTTCACAATGAAGACAGTAAGTTTGTGAAGAACAGAACTCAGTTTTTTTTTTAAGGTCACTTCAAAAATGACAACTTCAAAGGAAGTTTAAGACAATCAAGAGCTTGCAAATTTATAAACAAAATTGTTAATGAAAAAGAAAACAATTCTAGAAAGGAAATAGGAAGAAACAATAAAATGGTTATAAAAATTTGTTTTAGAAAATTGAAGGCCCCATTTAAGAGATAAAACTGGATTATTACAAAACCCATTAATTAACTAGCCTCCCCACTTCTGCCCTGGGTCCCTTATCTATTCACAACAGCCAGAGTAATCTTATTACAGTAAGTGCCAGATAGCAATTCCCTGGCTCAGCACCCTCCAATTCCTTCCCTCCTACTCAGAATATAAAACAGAACTCTTAAATGGCTTCCAAGGACCTCCACAGTCTTCTGTCCCACTCCACTCCGGCCTCATTTGCTCCTTGCTTACATAGGTCAAGCCTTTGCACTAACCAATTCCACTGCTTGGGATGTTTTTCTACACCAGTCTTTGCTCTAGTCCTTACTCACTGTACTTAAAACTGCAATATTCCCCCTCCCACACTGACATCCTATTCATTTTACTTTTACATGATCTCTCTCCCTCATCCCACCAAGATTAGCAGAGATTAAAAAATAAAAATTAAAAATCCTGATTTATTCACTGCTATGTCCCCAGTGCCTAAAAGAATACCTGACATATAATAGACACTCAGTGAATATCTGCTGAATGAATGTTATGTGATTTAATCAAGGACAGAAGTAATTAAAGAGAAACTCAAGAAGTTCAAGAATAGGCAAGTGCTGCATATTAGGGTGCTATTATTGGTAAAATATCAGCAGGAGCTATGCAAGACACATTCATCACTAAGAAAGAAAAGAGGAAAAAGAACAGATAAAGTAGGGGAAAAAAAAAGAGGTGGGAAAAGAGAATAAATTTTTTTTTCCTGATTTACTTTTTTAAAATTATTATTCATTTATTCACATGTGCATACATTGTTTGGGTCATTTCTCCCCCCTGTCCCCCCCTCCCCCAGCCTCCACCCTCTTGCCCCCTCCCCCGAGAATAAATCTTTAAAATCTAAACTGGAGAAAAGACTAGGAGTCATGGGGAGGGGATTAAAAGAAAAAGATAAAGCTATTATAGTCAAGGCAGTTCTTAAAGTTACACTTACTTATTCATAATAATGCCTAATTTTGTGTCCCACTCAATCCCTAAAATGAGGTAAGCTGGGGACCAGTAAGAGTCCTGCATGGGGCGGGGGCCTCCTCTTACTATAGGTTTAAATGCATTAAAACAATTTGTTCACCTATAATTTTAAAAGAATGGTTCTAATGAGTACCTGTTGTTGAAGCTGGAGTGTCTCCTTTCTGTTTTTGGACTTGTGAGGCAGGCTGTTTAGATTCCTTCATTACTTCTGAGACACTAGAGATTTTTAGTGGACCAGACTGAATCTTGGAAATGAAAACATTTACCATTTAGAGTATCGTACTGTTTTTTTAAAAGGACAGCTTTGTTTTAAAAATTCAAGTCTTTCAGACATTTAACATAAAATTATCAACACTTTGAACACATATATTTTTCATAGTAAGAAAAGCCCATCATTACTTAAGAAAAAAAAAAAATACAGTCCAAAGCTGTCATTTGAAAGCACTAAGTCATATCTTAGCACTACCAAAGGTTTCTTTCAGGGCAACTAATAAAGTACATGATGTATGTATGACCTTCCCTTTAAACATCATTCCTTTCACCCATACAACACTCAGAGGGCTAATTCATTTCCTTTCTAAGTCAAATTATGTATTCAGTTAGAAACAAATAATTCATTAGTTTATGTGCAGGACCATTCAGAGGTAAGGCTGCAAATGTAAACGGAGCAGATTACTGAGGGTACAGAATGTCAACCTCAGAACTAGCAAAGCTCACAAGCCACAGCAAAAAATGAACACAATGGCTAGTTCCTCAGAACATTTAACCACTCCTGGCTTTATTTTCCTTATTCAGTGTCTGATACAATCTGTAATTTTTATATTCTGTTGCTAACAACAGGAAATGCTTGAAAGTTCGTAACAGAGGTATCATGAAAATGTGATAGTGCCTATTTGATTTTTTTGAGGCACTGGGGTTTGAACGCAGGGCCTTACACATGCTAGACAGGCACTCTTAATGCTTGGACCACTCCACCAGCCCGATAGTGCTTATTTTAGAAATTCTCTGAGCCAGGTGCTCTTGGCTCACACCTGTAATTCTAGCTACTCAGAAGGCAGAGATCAGTAGGATCGTGGTTCAAAACCAGCCCAGGAAAATAGTTTGCAAGACCCTATCTTGAAAAAACCCATCACAAAAAAGGTGGAGTGGCTCAAGGTGTAGGCCTTGAGTTCAACCCCGCCCCGCCCCCATATTGATATGAAGATGGGCTAGACTATTTTAGGAGAGATCTGGTGGGTGGAGAGCAACAGGTATAGTTCAGAAGGTAATTTTAGATATGAAGTGACAATGGCAAGAACAGTGATAATGCAAGAAAAAGAACAAATATTAGAGATTAAACAAAATAGGAAAGCTAACAAGAAACAGGCAACTATGGAAATCTCTAAGAATTCTAACCTAGCAACCTCACAACATGGTACTGTTATTTAATATAAAAGAGCAAATCGGGGACTAGGGGTGTAACTCACTTGCACATGCACATGCACAAAGCTCTGTGTTCAAATCCTAGTACCACCAAAGAGAAAAAAAAAAGCACATCATGAAGAATTTAAGTTTTGACATGGTACAGTATAGATATGCCAAGTCATCCCAGTGGAAATATTATACAAGGTAGCTAAAGTGGAATGAGCAGAAATCAAATCTATTTAGAGAATACAAAGGATGACACTTTAAATCATGTCAAGCAAGAAAAGATCATTGTTCTGAACTTTTCAGCCTCAACCTCAGGCTCCTACAATTGCTTCCAGCTATTTCTCAGGGGTCATATAGCTTAAAATAGGCCAAGGATTTTAGAATGAATCCATAAGATTCTGTATTATAGCTACAAATCTGGCGTTCTCAGCCAGTACAAACATTTTAAAGTTCATATGAAAGAATAAATGATGTAGAAGACTAGCCAGGAACATTGTGAAAAAGTATGGCTGGGGTGGGGAAGAAGTCTGTTTTTACAAATATTACCTTTACGATAGGATTTTCTCTGGTCTATGTTAGATAATGGAGAATAATAAAAATCCACACCATTTTGTTTTGATTTTTGGAGGTACTAAGGTTCAAACTCAGGCACTCACTCTTGATAGGCAGGTCCTCTACCACTTGAGCCACACCCCCAGCCCTTTTTTTGCTTTAGTTATTTTTCAGGTAGTGTCTAATGCTTTTGCCCAAGGCCAAGTCCAAAATTCTCCTACCTCACTATATAAGCCATATTTAAATGGAGAAATATGAGTTTAAAATTTTTAATTTGGTAGGAGAAGAAAGGGAGAAACTGAAGAACTCGGAAAAAATATGTGCAAAATTTCAGGAATACTAAAAGATACCCCTGTCAACCAATCAGCATGTAGCTGAATATCCTGTGACTCTGTTTTATGATCTAAAAGGCGCCATAGCTAACAGTAACATGGGCTTTGTCATGACTGTTCTACATTGTTTTTAGTGTCCTAAGTCAGAGGTTGTAGCTGCAGTGGTGTGGGCTGACTTACATCCACATTTATACCCCTCAGTCCACAGAGCAACCACAGTTACCTCTGCCAACATGCCTCCTCAATTTACCCTTATGAAAGGCAATTATTTTCAAGGTAGTATGCACTAACTGAGCACTTACAGAACTCCCAAAGGCTAAAAATCCATCTTTGCAGATAACTACTTCTATTTAAAGAGAACTAACTATACACTTGGCAAGTTGCACTGAGTTATATATAAATAATATTCAAGATGAAAACAGTTTGCTTTTAAAAGTTATTGCAAGGATAATTTGAAATGTTGCTTAAAGCTCTTACCGGCTTCTTTGGCAATGGAACACTATAAGGTGCAGAACCAAGAACCACCTCAAAGAGTCTGTCTGAGTAAGGTATGGTTTTCTCAACACTTTCCCGGAACTGGGAATCCCATCTGGCATACAGGATTGTGCCACCAACACCTCCACCGACAAACAAAAGGCCAGCTCCAGCAATTTTGCCAGCAGTCAACCTAAGTGAAAGAAATGGGAGTCACAAATATTACCTTGGCTTCCCCAGACCAATGAAAGACTCAGAGACCTCTAACTGCTACTTCTCTATCACTAAATCAGATCATAGCAGCCAAATTCACCACCACGGCTGCACATCACCTTCCGCTGATTTTTTTTAACATGCCTACAATAAAAAATAATAACATTTGCTTTTAGAAAACCATTTTTTAAAAAAAGATGGTATCTACAACTGAAAGAATGAAGCAATTTACTATTTTTTTTTCCATTTTGGTGGAACTAGGGTTTGAACTCAGAACCTCAAAATTGTTAGGCAGGCTCTCTACCGCTTGAGCCATGCCCCTATTCCTTTTTGTTTTAGTTTAATATTCAAATAGAGTCTCGAGGGTTTTTTTTTGGGGGGGGAGGGAGTTGACTAGGTCTCACACTTGCAAGGTAGGTGCTCTTACCACCTGAGCCACTCCAACAACTGAGTCTCAAGATTTTGTCCAGTGGTGGCCTCAGATTGTGATCCTCCCACCTCTGCCTCCTGAGTAGCTGGGATTACAGAGATAAACCATCATGTCCACTTTATTTATTTTTTTTTGAGATGGGGGTCTCACTAACTTTTTGCCTGGGCTGGCTTCAAACCATGATACTCCCACCTTGGTCTCCCACATACCTGTGATTATAGCACAATCTACCTTTTAATACTTAAAACTCAGTATTTAATGCTCACAATCACGAGATTTCCTCTGAACCCCACCCAAAAGAACTATCACTAACTTTCAAAGCTCTTCTTCCTTAAATAAGCATTTCTGTAAGTACAAAGTAGATCCTTTACAAAGAATAATAAAATATCAAATTAGAACTAACAAATACTTTTTGTTAACTTACAACATGCTGAATTCTGGATATAAATCTACCCCCATAGAATGAGAAAGCAAAAAACAATAATATCAAGTGAAAATAGAACATATGCAAAAATACACCAATGTAAAATCAAAACATTTTAAAAACACGACAATTGAGAACACAGAAATCAGTTAAAGCTGAAGGGATACCGAGCTGAAAGCCTTAGAGCATGCCTCCAGCCCACACCCTTCTTCTTATGACAATGTGAAACCATACTGCAAGCTGACCATAATCACTAAATCCATGGGTTAAGGACATATTATTTCTGTAGTAGGAGGTTGTAAGCAGCTATTTCCCATAATCAAAGAAACACAGACACACAGACAGACAGACACACACACACACACACACACACACAGCTTAGCAGCACACAATAAAAAGCCTGGTTCCAGGGAGACAAACTACATACCCAGAACTTCTTGAAGTAGAGTATCTACGGCATGGTCGCAATGGACGGAGAACAAACTTCCCACAGAGACAACTCTAAAGGAGGAGGAGAAAACATTAAAGGAATCTGGGAAGCTTTTTAGGGTTAGTAATGCAGAAATAATACTTTCATTACAAATGTCTTCATTAAACAAAAATTTTGTTATCAGGGAAAAAAAGGTGATGCTTCTTGCACGCCAAAGCCCATCTAAAATTACTTTTAATTTTTTGGGGAGGATAACTTTATAGTGGAGAAACCTGTCAGAGGCTATCACCAAGAAGTTAATGTCCAATCATCAGTACTGACACCATGAATCTAATAATATGACATTTGATAGTTGCTGCTTTATTACATTGGTACTAAGTTAGAAAAGATATGTTGTTGTCTGCTGATTTTTCTTTTGTATTTCAACAAACTCAGGCTTTCAATTATGTATCACTTCTGCTTCATCTGATTTCTGTGTACTCATTTGTTGTGTTTTTAAATGTTTTGATTTTACCATTCCTATATTTTTACATATGTTCTATTAATACTTGATATTATTTTGCCTTGCTTTCTCATGGGTTTATTTTAAAAAACAGTTTTTTAATATTTTTATGAGCATGTATTAGTTGCACAGGGAGGTTTCACTGTGACATTTACATGTGCTTACAATGATGATGTATCTTAATTAGATTCAACTCCTACATCATTCTCCCTTACTCTCCCTTTCCCTCAGCTTAATATTTTAAAAAGAGAATTATCTGACAAAGTAGCACTTTTAGGTGTTGTATATGCTATCGTTTCTTGAATACCAGTGGGATTTGCCATAGGTTTTCATCTTTATTTTATTTTATTTTGGCGGTACTGGGGCTTGTACTCAGGGCCTCACACTTCCTAGGCAGGCATTCTACCCCATCTCAAAAATATCCAACACAAAACAGGGCTGCATAGTGGCTTAAGTGGTAGAACAGCTGCCTAGCAAGCATGAGGCCCTAAGTTCAAACCCCAGTACCAAATATATACTTGGGCCCTATGCTCCTTTGCATAGCTGCCTGCCATATGTATAACTTATATATATATTTGAGATAGGGAAGCTCACAGTTCAAGGCCAGTTCCTTATCTTTCATGGCCAACAAATAGAAATGATTTTATCACAACAAATTAGTTCTTAATCTGAAACATAGTTCTTGCTTTAAAAAAAAAATCAAGCATTCCATTCATTACCCTACCATCATATTCTTAGTATTTAGTTTTCTAAACAGAACTTTAATAGAAAAACCTATATTTTTAATAGTTTTATCACTCAAATATGAATCCCTAGACTTACCTAACTTCTTAAAAAATGATGTTTGCTGCTCTTCTAATCTGTATGTTTTCCTTCCAACAATTAGTTGTTCATGAACCTGGTTTGATCTGAAGAGTTTTTGGCTAGATTTTGAGAACAAGTGCAATTTTTTTTTTTCAACTTGATTTTGCGAACAAGTACAATTTTTTTGGCAGTGCTAGGCTTTGAACTCAGGGGTTACACCTCGAGGGTCTCTCAAACTATTTGCCAGGGGTGGCTTTGAACCCTGATCCTCCTGATTTCTGCTTCCTGAGTAGTTAGATCACAGGCATGAGCCACCGGCCCCTGACTTTAAGTGCAATTTACTGTGTTCTGTCCTCTGTATTTCCTGTACACTAGATCCAGACACATGCTCACACTCGTTTGCCTCTTTAAAAACTATGGGATGCTGGGCATGTGGCACATGTCTGTAACTGCTGCACTCAGGAGGTTAAGGAAGGAGAATCTTGAGTTCAAGATCAGTGTGGGCTACATAGTGAGAACCTACCTCAAAAAAAAAAAAGCTGTGCTGGGCACTGGTGGCTCACACCTCTAATCCTACTTATTCGGGAAGCAGAGATCAGGAGGATTGTGGTTCGAAGCCAGCCTGGGCATAGTACATGAGACCCTATCTCGAAAAAACCCATCACAAAAAAGGGCTGGTGAGTGGCTCAAGGTACAGTCCCTGAGTTCAAACCCAGTACTATGAAAATTTAAAAAAAAAGAAAAGAAATAGTAATATTAAGTGTGGATTCATTTGGACATTTTGAACACTGCTCTTCATCTGCTACCATCGCATGACATTTCCACGTGTTGTTCTGTCACTTTCATCTGACTGCCACTTTGAATGACTGCATGATACTCCACTAAGTAAACGTCCTATGTTACTTAACTAAACTCTCATATTTGGACAAAAGTGACAAAAAAAAAAAAGGCTCTGTTCTGTCATGTTAGTAACTGTTGAAGTTTAATGTCTGGATTGATTATTGGAAATTATCAAAAGTGGTATCTAATTCTATCATTTTTCATTCACGTATGACACATTTTATAGAAATGCTTCCCACCACCCACACTTTGGTCACTCAAAAGTACAGCTCATATAGGAAAGGCAGATAACTGCTTGATTCTTACTCTTTTTATTCTTTTATCCCCTGATGATGACCAACTGTGAGTGGTGGGCTGGAGATACAGTTCAGTAGTAGCACACTTGCCTAACATGGTAAGGCCCTATATTCCATCCCCAGCCACAAGGGAAAAAAGTTGCTGGGGAAGTGTCTTTATTTGCTAATTGTGGCAGATTATATATATGTTTAATACTTTTATTAGTATATGATAGTTATACAGGGGGTTTCTTTGTGACATTCACATATATTGTACCCCAGTTTGGTTCATTCCATCCAATTATTCTCACTCTTCGCCATCCCTTCTTAAATGACTTCGACAGGTTTCAGTCTTTAATATTCATACATGTATAGAAAGTATATCAATAAGCCTTGCGCCAGTGGCTCACACCTGTAATCCTAGCTACTCAGGAGGCAGAGATCAGGAAGATTGAGGTTCAAAGACAGCCCCAGGCAAGTAGTTCTCAAGACCCTATCCCTAAAAAAAAAAATCACAAAAAAGGGTCCTGAGTTTAACCCCCAGTATGGCAAAATAATAGGCCCTCTTAAGCTCTAAAGGGTATGCTTCCCAGATTGTTAGGACAAGAAAGCTACTGAGAACCCTTTAAGGGTATTATTCCATAACAGCAGCATAAGGAACTCAAAATGAAAAAGGGCTTATCTTGAGATGTGTAGGTGTGGTCTTGGTCTAATTGGAGGAAGTCCAGTAAGATTCATAGGAAACTTTACAGTTCTTCCTTATTCATAGGAAACTAATACGGTTCTCTTAACTGTATTGACAAAAACCATGCCGGTTTGAATTTAGAAGGAAAAAAAGAAAACAAAATAAAGAGGCTTTGTCTACAGAAATATCTATTTGCAGGTGCAAAATAGGCTACATTTTTAGAGAAGGACTAACTCAAGGAGTGGAAACAGGAGCCCAAAGGTTTTTAAAACTAAGAGCCGTCTGGAGAATCATCCTCAAATAGCAGGACTGAATTGTAACCAACAAATTAGTAACACATGCCCAGCTAGAGTTTACATTTGGGTACCTCTCAGTTTCTCTTTAAGCTAGTGTCTATTCTGTGCCTGTCATTCCATTATATAATGAATCATAGGGAGCAGCTAACTTGTCTGTTTAGCTGGCTGGTCTCTAGCTCAAAAAGAACTTAAGGAAATATGTCCTAAGGACCACATTCAAAATGTCTCATCTGCATTAGGATATGATTTAGATGACAAAATTCTGGTCCCAGTGTTAATGCTGTGATGGGATGAAATTTTGGAGGGCTTAGAAGGTAAAGAAAACCTGTCTTATTTGCAGATTTATTATATACAGTTTTGAACAAATGCAAACAAAATATTAATAAATTTTTAAAAATGAAAAGAAATTTCAGTTGGGTGCCAGTGGCTCACATCTGTAATTCTAGCTACTCGGGAGGTCAGCCTGGGCAAATAGTTCGAGATCCTATCTCAAAAAACCTCATCACAAAAAAAAGGGCTGGCAGAGTGGCTCAAGTGGTAAGGGCACCTGTCTAGCAAGAGTGAGGCCCTGAGTTTAAACCCCAGTGCTGCCAAAAAAAAAAAAAAAAAAAAAGTACTCAACACACATACACACAAAAGGCTGGCAGAGTGGCTCAAGTATAGAGCACCTGCTTAACAAGCATGAGACCCTGAGTTCAAACCTCAATACTGCAAAAAAAAAAAAACAAAAACTCAGAACCAAAAATTTTAAGTTCCCATGCATGCATTACATAGCTCAACTGATACAGAGAACCTCTTAATCAGTCCTGTGTTATCATAGGTTGTGTGATCTGCTGTTTCTCTTACCCTTCATTTTGTGAAAACACACCTCCCAAAAAGCAAACGCTGCCCAAATAGCAGGAGAAAAGTGAGTGTGCTTGAGTAATATAGTAAAATACTTAGATCTGTTGAAACTTCTTTAGCAGAAGTTGAGTGGTGTTATGGGAAAAATTAACCAGACATCTGCGGCACAATATTGAACTCTATGCATCCTGAGCATTTATGTTTTTTCCTCAACTGCAGCCTCCTTGCAACCCCATACCTGTGGATACCAAGAGTCTAATCTACTCTATGTGTCTGCAGGAGGGATATCACTTGTAGTGAGAGGACTGAGTGTATTATTTAATATCATTGCAATAACATTGCTATACCAAATGCTCTTTCAGAAATTTGGCATTCCTCTGTGAAAAATGAGTACTATGTACTCTTCCCTTAAACAAGTACAGGCTTTGTTAATAATTCATTAATATAGGACAGTGAAAGTGATGTACTGTGCCTTCTGAGACTAGGCCATAAAAAGAATACAGCTTCTGCATGGCTCTGCCTCTCACCTTACTTGCTCTTGGAATCTAGCTGCCAAACTGAGGAAAACTAGACACATAAATGACATGTGTAGATATTCCAGCCTTTGCTGAGGTATCAGCTGCAGTCAGTATCAACTTCCTTACTGAAAGTAAGGAAACCTGGGAAAGGACCTTGGTCGTCTGACTGCAAACCTCATGAGGGTCAACGAGTAAGAACTGCTCAGCTGAACCCAGGCAACCCCTAAAACTTAAGTGAGTGAATTGAATAAGCAACATTGTTATTTTACCCTCAAGCTCAACTCAGGGTAGCTGTTTAGGTAGCTATA